GAAATAATAAATTGAAATAAAATAAATTAATCTGAATTTTTAATAATTAAATTAAATTTTTTTATACTTATTGCATTTAACATTTTACGTAATTCTTAGATTACGTGGTAATTTTTTAATAATTTTTTATTCATAGTAAGAAGTATAATATTATTTTAATAGGAACCAAATTATTATTGAGATTAAAGTTTAAATTTTGTTTATAATTTTAATTTGTTTAAATAGTTTATTATTTACAAAATTAGACAATTGTGTTAAATTGTTATTATTAAATTTGACAAGAATAAAAAATGAACAACTGAAAAGTAAAATATTAATTTTTTTCAATAAATTTATATTTATAAACATTCATAAACTTTTTTTATAATTTTTTTCAAGTCTATGTCAAAAAAGCAATGTTGGCAAAGAGCGTCGTGAACAATTTTTCTATACTCAGCCAGCACTTGCCGCCGTGGCTTGTCCAAGCTCTGGCGAAACAAAAATTCTGTACTGCGCCAGCACTAATTGTCGAGGCTCGGCTAGACTACGCCGAACAATCGTCTGAGTACTAAGCCAGTGGTGAACATCGGCACTACACTGGCATTTCCCATTGGGTACAAGCCTTTTCCTGTTCAAATTTATGCTGGGAATTCGAAGCCAAATGTAGATGCCTATTTCGATGAGTTTATCGCCGAAATAAACAAATTACAAAAAAATAGCATTTTAATAGCAAATCAAAGATTTAATGTAAAAATCCACTGCTTCATTTGCGACACACCAGCACGTGCATTTATAAAAGGGACAAAGGGCCATACAGGGTTTTACTGCTGTGAAAGGTGCAAAATAAAAGGACAAAAAGTAGACGGAGTAACACAATTCCCTCTTATAAATTCGGAAGAAAGAACAGACTCATGTTTCAGAAGACAATCGCAACGACGTCATCACAATTACATATCTCCACTATTAAAAATAAAGCCATCTGTCAATATGATTCTAATGTTTGTCCTGGATTATATGCATTTATTGTGCGAGGGAATAATGCGAAGATTAATGTTTAGCTGGTTTATTATTTCTGGACGCGCCAAAGTCGGTCAAAATTTAAAAAATGAGGTTTCAAGACGACTTGTCTTAATAAAAAAATGTATTCCTTGCGAATTCCAGCGAAAGACAAGGTCCCTAAAAGCGTTAAGTAAGTGGAAAGCAACCGAGTTCCGATTTTTTTTTGCTATATTGCGGTCCAATAGTCCTAATGAGAATCTTAAATCAAGATCGTTACAACAATTTTTTATTGTTGCATACAGCCAGCCGAATTCTATGTAGCGATAATTTATTAAAAAATTATCAGCAGCATGCAAAAGTCTATTTACAACACTTTTTTGTTGAGTTGCGAAGGCTTTACACGAAAATGCAAGTTCTAAATATGCATTGTTCGATACATGTTGCTGATGACGTTTTGTCAATGGGGTGTAACCTGAACAAAATTTCCGCTTTTCCGTTCGAAAATTTTTTAGGAAAACTAACCAGCCTCCTACGAACTCCACATCGGCCTCTCGCTCAAATTTGTCGCCGAGTTCATGAGCTACAATCAATTGATCCTCCTAAACCTCAAAAACCTTACAAAATTCAGATTTTAAAATCTGTTGATACGGAAATTTTGAAGTTGAGGTATAAAGAGTACACATTAACAACTGAGTCGCCAGATAATGTTGTGCTCTTAAAAGACGGCTCAATTTTTGAAATAAAATGCATAAATAAAATTAACGAAGGAATGGAAATTCAAGGAAATATTTGGGAAATCAAGGAATCGTTGTTTATGTATCCTACAGATTCAAAAGACTTGCACATTTTCCAGTTGGATAGCAGGAGTAATCAATTATCGACTTTTGATATCAATTTTGTAAAAACAAAAATGGTTAAAATCGAAATCAATCTAAACAAAAATGGTCCAATGAAATTTTATTGTATTCCGCTTCTTCATTAATTTTATTTAACGCAATAAAATGAAGTTAATCAGGGTCTCTACTAATCGGTAAATCCGGGAAATAGCCGGAAGCTTAATTTGACCGGGAAAAAACAGGAATTTTTTTAACCAAATTAAAAAAAGTTTTATTATTCTAATTTGATTTTTTATAATATCGCTTTTTATTTAAATTTGAATAGATATTTATACTGTTCTCTAAATTTGAATTAGTTAAATTTAATTAATTTGATTGTAAAAAATCAGTCACTGATTCAAATATAGTTAGTAAATAAAATAAAAAAAAATTATCGAATTAATAGAAATTATGTAAAATTCAACTGAAAATAATTAAATTTGTTTAAGAATTTCATTAAAAACTTTTTAATAAATCGAATTTTCAAAGTATTTTAATTAATTAATTCATAAGGAAATGAATTTTATTAAGAGTCTCATTCTAATATATTCATGTTTCTTAATTGAAATTTCTTTACATTCTATTAAAAATAATTAAATTCTTTTAGAGAATTTTATTTAAATTTTTTAAAAATAATTAAAGAAAGATTGTCACCCTAATTATAATTATAATTTAATTAATTATAATTTTAATTAATAATTATAATTTTATTTTTTAAAATTTCTTTTCAATATATTCAATTATTTTCATAAATTGTAAAACTTATTGCAGAATTTCAATTATTTTTAATACAATTTTAATCAAATTCCTTGAAAAATTTAATTATTCTTATAAATTTTATTAAAATTCGTCGAAAGAATTCAATTATTTCTAGAAACTGTAAAAAAAATTCTTCTCTAGAATTCAATTATTTTCATAAATAGCAAAATTCTTCATAGTTAGAAAATTCTTTTGACTATTATTTAAAAAAAAATCTTCACAAGAATTGAATTATTCTTATAAATTTCCATAAAATTCTCAAAAACAATTCAATTATTTTCATCATTAATAACATCCTTTAGAAGGATTCAATTCGATTATTTTTATAAATAGAAAAATTCTTTGCAAAAATTCTATTAGTACCAATACATTTTAATAAAATCGAATTAATGAAAATTTTAATTATAATGACGAACAGGCAAGATTAATTAAAAAAATTCTTTGCTTAACTCAATTACTTTCCAAATTTTAAATTAAAATTATTAAAAAAATTATTATTTTCAAAAAATTGAAAGAAACTCGTCAAAAGAATTTAATTGTTCATAAATACTCTAATAAATATTTTTTAAACCATCTGTAGATTTATTTATGTTCGAAATCAAATAAATTTAAATTTGATAAAAAAAAACCAGGAAAAAATTAGGACAAAGTCGGGAATTTTGTTGAACGAAAATAGTAGACAATTTGTTTTACTTAATTTAAAATTATGTAATTAAAATAATGTCATAAATAGAAAAACTTATATAAGAATATAGAAATATGTAAATAAGAAATTTGTAAAAACAAAAATGTTTAAAATCGAAATAAATCTAAAGAAAAAGGGTCCACTTAAATTTTACTGTGTTTCGCTTCTTCATTAATGTTATTAGAATAAGAGTTGTCAAAAGATTTTGCGTTTATATTTTAATATTTTTTTTATATTTATTTATATTTTTTATAAAATAAAAATGGTATAAAAAATCTTAATTTTATTATTTAAATACTAAAAACATAATAAACTTTTCAATTTAACGCGCTAAAATGTTAGCTGGTTACATTCTAGTTTCTGACAGTATAGGTAACATACAGAAAAAAAAATATTTATGTACCTTCCTGAAATTGAATGATTGGTAGAAAAATTGCGCTCTTATTTAAATGATTTATTTTCTAAATATTGAAATAAAAATTTAATTTATATATTTTATTCAATATTTTATATCCAGCATAAAAGAATATAATAAAACTTTATTTTAATGCAAATAGTAATTATTAACATTACGATCCTAAAACATTTCAGTACTAGAATGTATCTATTTTTGTAGTGCTTGTTTGTAAAATATTTGATTATTCTTTAAAATAATTTAGTAATGATTTAATGTAATTTAAATTTCTTTAAAACTATTTTTTGAAAAAATAATATTGAATATTCGCGCCATAAGACAATCAATCATTTAACAGTAGTAACGCTTGCGCAGTTGCGTTCAATATAACTCATTGTCAATTTGGCAACTCTGCATCAGTTGCAAATCTGCTTTGAAAGTTCGAGCCTGTCTGTGATTTCTGTTTCTTTCTATTAACTGATTTTACGAATAATATATTGGACCAGGATATCTTCCAAGGTAAGAAAATAGTATTTCTTAAAGAATAAATATAGTTTAGGTTATGATTAATTGTTTCTAAAAGTTTTATTACCAAATTATTAGATGAATTTTGAATTGTCTATTAAACATAACCTCAATGTTCGTTTTTCAAAGTTGAATTTAATTCATGTACATATATTATAATTGTTTTTCTTTTTTAATATTTATTTCTCTTGTTTACTTATTTATTAATGTCTATCTTACCATTTTAATTCAATAATAAACTGTAATTATTAAAATTATCACTAATATATTAATGAATTATACATTATGTCAATGTCAATAGATAAACAATCATGGCAAAAATGGTCGAAATGAAACCCTATCAACTAGTAAATTTCATTGAAGAAGATGAACAGACAATAACGAGATCTGTGGACATTACGTTATTAAAATGGATTCGGTGCGACCAATCAAGAAATAAATTGGTTACAAAATATATGCCAGGACCATATAATGACAAGACTAATAAAATATTATACAATTTAATAAAGAAAAATGAAGCTCCTCGTGATAATTGGCCAGAGTATGATATTAAAATAGTTGGACATGCAGGTAAAGTATTTCTTATTAAAATTTGATCATTATAATATAAGTTTCTACTAATCTTATTTTAAACAATCTATTTAATTAACATTATTTTATTAACTAATTTTCAACAAATTTGACGAATGCTAATTTATAATTTACTATTTCATTTTTAACATTGTAGACACCTACGAACAAGCGATCAATAGAATCAATTATTTGAAAATTCAAGAATTTGCCTACACCACAGATCCCGAAATAAACAAAAATGAGAAAAGAAAAATAATTGAACATCAAATTAAATCATCATATGAAACATTGCCAGATGTGCCGAGATTTACACAAGAAGTAATTATACCTTCCTCAAAAGCTGATGAACCGAAGGATAATAAAGGTAATTTTATTTCTTCCTTACATTTATGTATATATAAACAAATAAGAATTATGATTAATAAAATGTAGAAAAATGAAATTTATGTAACCTAATATTTCAAATATTTGCAAACTATGTTAAAAGTCAATTCAAGTAAAAAAAATTTTAGGTTATGTGAATATTATCAATAATAAAAATTAAGACAAATACATTTTAGATAAATTAAATTTATGGCTCATTATATTTGCAAATAATGAAATTTCTATTTTACGACTTTTGATTACATGAAACTTATGTCAAATAATAATTCTACAATAATAATTTTGATAATTGAAAATTACTAAACTGAAATATTAGGGAATAATCATACGCCCCGATGTAATCCAATAATAAATTTTATAATAAAAGTTATATTTTAATATAATAACTATTTAAATTAAATAATAGTAATAATAGTAATAAAAAATTACTAATGATTATAATACTGATTTATTAAACAATCTACTAATACCAAAAAAAGGAAAAAAAAAAGCAAGGAAGAAAATTACAAGAAGAAGTGTCAGACCATCAACCAAAAATTAAAAAAGTAAAAACTTCTGCACTGGATACTCGGACGGAAAGCGAATTCAGTAAGTTTAATGCCGTTATAGAAAATTATTTCGATATTTTAAATTAATTTTACTTCTTTAAATTTCAGGTCATTTATTATTCTACCATGATGACGAAAGCAGCAGTGACCTGAGTGACGGTAAATAGTCTTTATTAATAAAGTACACACCTATAAATTATTTGTATTTTAATAACGAATTTGCAAAAGAGTAAAACGTTCCGAAAATATATTAAATTTTAAAAAATTTCAAGTTTCTTAATTTTATCGTCAAAAAAGCAATCTTTAAACAAATTTATTCATTAAAAAACTTTCCTTGAATTTCGTTTTGTTTGCTCTATAAACTTTGAAATTACCGCGAATTTTAATGCAAAATTAAAAAATGATTTTATTGTAATATTTTAAATAATTCTTCAAAAAGTATCATAAAATTATGATTATAAAATTATTCAACGATTATTAAAATGAATATTCAACCATTACAATAATTTTTTTGTTAAAAAAATCTTCAATAAATAACAAAAATAACTCATTTTATGCAGGAAAATCAAGTAACAACCGTGAAAAAACAGCAATAGACAATGCCGATCTTACATTTTTGGATGGATTACCTTCTACATCAACAGCCAATTTACGTGAGTATAATCTAACTTTCAATTATTCTTTTGTTCAAAAAATTTTCAATAAATAATAAAAATAACTCATTTTATGCAGGAAACTCGAGTAGCAACCGTAAAAAGACTGCAATAGACACTGCTGATCGAATATTTGTGGATAATTCAGCTTCTACCTCAACAGGCAATTTACGTGAGTATAATAGAATTATTATAAAATATATTTAAAAAATTAAAAATTGTAATGATAAATAAATGTAATTATCAACACTTTTTATGAATATAATTGAAATATATATATATATTCATTTTATACAGAAAAAGGGAATAAAAATAATATTAAAAACAAGAATCTATTGAAGGACGATAACAATTCAAGTGAGTATAATTGGATAAGAAAAAATCATTTATAATTATTCAAAAGTACAATTTGTAAAATTTTTTGTAGAGTATCAATTTATCCTAAAGGATTTAGTTCTAATAAAAAATAAAGTGGAAAAAATAGCTGACGATATAACAGTGATAAAGGCCATTCTTCAATCGAATAAAGCTGCAATGTACTCGGGCCAAAAAAGTTTTGAAGAAGATTTTAAATTGCAATTGCCTTTTACAACATTCGAAGATTTTTCTAAGTTCTCCGAAACTTTGTCAACAAACGAAGAATGTTGTAATCGATTCGTGAGTAATATTACATTGTTCTTAGTTTATATGGTGTGCAGGCTTTGCACTTATCTACCAAAACCTGCTACACCAGATCATAAGCTTAATCCCAATATATAGAAACTATTTATTGCTTTGATTTAAAAATATTATTGGTTTGCATAAGTATATTTAATTCAATAATATATATTCTGATTTGGTTTGACTGCATAGTAAACATATTTTAAGTTTGATTTAAACAAAATGTTTGAATAAAATTAATTGTTTTCTCAGTGTATTTATTACTTTTTTACGATTTACTACTATTTAGAAACTTTTTAAAATTTTTGATACTAAAAGCTAATTTAATTTAATATCTCAACAATTTAATTATTTACACATATTAATCACATTTTTCGCTGAAAATCAATTATTTCTAATATTTACTATTTCCTAGTAGGTCAATGAAATGTTTTTATTTAAATAACTAAATTATCTATGTTTTAATAAGAATTGAATTAAAAATGAATTTTAGTTATAATTTTAGATAATTAAATATTAAAAGCGTTATCCTAGTATGAATTTTAATAAATAATTAAATTTCAAAAAATTTTAAATCGGAACCTTTGAAAATGTTAATATGTTGTAGAACTATAAAAATAGTTAGATATTTATTATTAAAAAATTATTTATTTATTATTTTTCTAAAAAGCTATTGAAGTTTTGAATAATTTTATTTAAAAATTAAATCTACTTTAAAATTAAAAAAAAAATTAATTTTTGGGTAAAAGTAAATCAGAATAGGTATTTTATTAAACATTATTCAAGTACGAGTAATTGAAATTGGAAATTATGAAAAGAAATTAGTCTTTTAAAAAATTTTAAGTAAAACTTTTTGAATATACTGTTAAATTCTTGTAACAGTTTAAAAAATGTATTTAAATTTACAATATTAATTTTGTTAAATTTAATTGTAATAAATTTTATATTTTAAAAAATTTCAGTTTTTTACTTTTTAAAAATATTTTTATATATATTTGTAGTTTTGAAGAATTCGAACTAAAAATTTGGAAAATAATTGAATTTCAGAGAAATCTAGAATTAATATTATTCAATATTCGATTAATTTGCTTTAGGATCCGTGAAAAGAAAAGTGAATATTTTTTATGAAAATCAGGAAAAAGTTAGGAAAAAATAAAATAAAATTTTTGTGAATTGACTAAAAGGAATTTTTTAGTCGTCAAATTAAATTTTTCGATAGTTATGTTTTTACTACTTTTATCAATCTTTAATATTGGCCTGGGTCAGAATAACTAGTTACATAAATTTATGTTTTATTCTTTCAGAAAGCTTTTATTGATTACTTATCGATTAATACAGATGATGGAATTAGAAGATCATTGACTATAATTATAAAAAAATTTTTCTCAAGAGAATTAGTTGGTTCATTTACGGCAGCAAAAAAAATGCCAAACAAACATTTATTCAAGGATTTTGAATTTTGTAAAAAATTATTAGGTAACTATTTAAATATTTTACATTATTTTGCGTATACAAAGCACAAGAATCCTATCGAAAATTAATTAATTATTTTTCAGAAGTTTATGTTATAAAGTTTTCTACTGCTGAGGATAATGTACTTTCTCACATCGGGGCCGTTTTTAGCAATTCAAAAGACTGGGACGGACAACGAAAGACAAGATAAAACCAGTTTCAGAAGTTTTATTATCAGTATTATAATAATTCATCTTCTTACAAGATTCTTATAATTTTATATTTGCTATTTAATTTTCTATTTAAAAAGTTGTCTAATCTATTAGTAAAAAATGTTTATAAAACTGTTATCATAATCCATTGTTTATTGACATAGTCAATTTAAAAAGTTCCAAATAAATTAATTTCTAATATAATTGATGTATTTTTGTGTAAAATTAATTTAAACTTATTTAAATTTAATTTAATTTTGAAAAAAATCTATATTCTGGGCCACGTCAGGGCCCAATAGGGGCCATAAATCGGGCATCCCCATTTGGGCCAGATCGGGCCGAGTGTTTCATTCTGATCTGGCCCTAACCGGGTTTTCCCCATCGGGGCCCTACTTCACCAGATCAGGACCAGATCAGGCCCATGACAAAATTTCTACACGGGTAATAAAATTCTATGCAGAAATTCAATTATGTTCAAACATTAAAAAAAAAATTCTCGTCAAAATTCCAATTATCTTTAGAAATAATTAAATTCTTCTCCGAAATTCAATTATTTTTCAAAAATTTTCCTCAACTCAATGATTTTTAATATCTACTATTTTTTAATAAGATTTTCCAAAGTAATTCAATTATTACATAAAAATTAATAAAATTCTACTCAAACCTTTAATTATTTTTATAAAATAATAAAAATTTCACAGGAATTCAATTATTTACAAATTTCTTATAAATTTCTTCGCAATCATTAAATTATTTTCATCAATAATAAAACTCATTGCAGAAATTCAATTATTTTTAATACAATTTTAATCGAATTTCTCCAAAAATGTAATAATTTTCAAAATTTTTATTAAAATTTGTCAAAAGAATTCAATTATTCAAAATTTTATTGATAAAATTCTTTATGAGAATTTAAGTTTTAAGAAACATGCAATTATTCAATAAATTTGTTTAATGTATTTAAAATTTAAATAATTGAATTCTAGTATAATTTTCTAATAAATTTCACAGGAATTGAATTATTTACAAATTTTTTTATAAATTTCTTCGCAATAATTTCATTATTTTCATAAATAATAAAATTTTTTTCTAAAGATTCAATTATTTTCATAAATAATAAAACTCATAGTAGAATTCGAGGGGGAATTTACTCAGGGAGTCAAGTGTACACTCTCCTGGTAATACTCGGTAATACTTGGTAATACTTAATAATACTTAGTAATGCCTGGTCATACGTACATTCTTTAAAAAACTTAAAAAATTTATTAGCATAAACAATTACATTTGTTATAAACAAATGATTTACTTATTAGACAAATAAATGGCTTATTTCTGCAAAAAGAAAAACTGTTTTTCTTGTTTTTACGATTTTAAAGTCATCTAAAGCTCTACTTGATTATTGGTAACTAGACAATTGTTCATTTAATTATTGTTAATAACAATTGTAATTATTAAATTCAAAATAATTTTTTAGCAAAATAGACTTAAATTACTTAAATAATTTTTGTTTGCAAAAAAAAACAATTGTTTTATGAACAATGACCAAAGTTATCTATTTGTTAATTAACATTGTATTCAACAATTTAAATAAATTGCATTATCCATTATTATTTATCTGGTACACATACTAGACTAATTTAAATGGTTTTCGATCATGTGCAATGGAAAAATAAAAATATAAACATGATTTTTTTTTTAAATATTGTAAATTGTTAACTTTGAGTAACAAAGAAATACAGTCGAACCTGGATAAGAGAGAACTGGATAAGCGAGAAACCTCTATAAGCGAGAGTTATTTGCTGGTCCCGTGACTTAGACTTCTGTAGTTAAGAAACTGGATAAGCGAGAAACCTCTATAAGCGAGAGAAAATTGCCGGTCCCTTGAACTCTCGCTTATTCAGGTTCGACTGTATAAACAAACACAGTAAAAAGAAAATTTTATTTTAAGGCACGAAAGCTGCCTTAAATTAAGATGCAACATTTTTAAGACAGTCAATGTTGAATTTACGCACGTTTTTCGTATCCTTTAACATTATAGCAGACAGTGTTGAATTTAAGGCAGCTCTTAAATTAAGATTTACTTTTTAGTTTTTACTGTGAATAAAAATTCAAAAATCGGTTTAGAGGAATCTGTTATAAATTTTATCTTTTTTAATTTAAGTTTCATACTCGGAGACGTTTAAGGAATATAATACAATTTTAATTTTTTTGTTACGACGTGAAGAACATATTTCTTTATTAACATTGTATAAACCAATAATATAAAAAATTTAAAAAACAATATTCAAATAGTGCAATTTAAGACGAAAAAACACATATTTTGGTTTTTAAATCCGTCAACTGGAACTCGAGAAAAAAATTTTTTAATTTAGCAATACTAAAAAATTTTGGTTTTTAAATCCGTCAACTGGAACTCGAGAAAAAAATTTTTTAATTTAGCAATACTAAAAAACTCAATATTGTTAATAAATTTTACAAAAAAATTTTTTGGCTTAATATTTTCAGGGATTATTCTTAACTACATTAAGAGTATAACAAATATATTTTGGTTCAAAATGAAAATTTTTTAGATTCAGGTGATCCGTTTGGTAAATTCTGACCCGTAAAAGAAAATTCAAACCAATTGAAATGATATTTTTTTTATTTACGTTTTAAAAAAGAGAAAATTCTCAATTAAATTATTATTGTCTATTGTATGTACAAAATATTTAATTATTTATTTCTCTGCGTTTCATTGTAGTTTTTATTTTAAATAATTTTGTTGTAAATTCTGCGTATAAGAAAGTGAAATTCAATGTGTTATATTTCTGTTAATAAAGATTAATGCTCAATAATATGTGAGTAATAAATAATAATACAGCAAAGATATTAATATTTGAATGCGGGAATATTTTGGAAATAATAGGTAATACTTGGTAATAAGTGGTAATACTTGGTAATAATTAGTAATACTTAGTAATACTCGGTAATACTTGGTAATAATGATAATAAGTGAAACAGGGAGTCAAGTGTACACTATTTTTACTAGTAAATTCCCCCTCGCATATAGTTTTAAGTAAAATGTTTTCTTATTTGACTCGGATTGGTTATATTTTTGTCAGGAAGTGGTCCGTAATTTTTCATTTTTAGTCCTTAAAGTCCGTATTTTTAAATACTTTCACTAGTTCGAGCCCAGTATTATTAATAATAATTATTTATTAAATAGATGTTCCAGCTGGAAAGCTCTTAATTCCTACATTCCACGCGAATTTACCAGAGTAAGAATTTTTATATTATTTGACTATTATAATGCTCTTTGAATAAATTAGGGAAAGTGCTCTAATTATTGCGAGTGCTTTCGCATTATTGCGGCTTTGTGAAAATTATCATTTTTTACTCTTCTCTTAAATGCTGTACCTACTTAAAAATTATTTAAAAATATTTAACTATACCAAAATGTTTTTAAAATTATCTTAAAGCTTACTTTAAAAATGCACAATTATTTCAAATCGTTTTAAACAATTAATTTAATTATTTGAATTTGAATTGTTTCTTACCAAAATAATTGAAACGATAGACAGGGTTGTGACAGGTCAGGGAATTCAGGGAAAAAGAAAATTAAATTTTTGTGGCAACCCTGATAGATTTACTTCACTTACTGTGGGCTAAATCTCTATTCTTGTGACAGTAATTGACTTGCCATTATTAACTAAAGAAAACAGATGTTTTCGTCATTGATTGTAATTTTAATAAATATTAAGTTTGAAAAATGTTATCTTTCCTTGCAGTGCTTTAAATTATGGTTCTGTTGGTTTTATTTTTGGTCATGAAATGTCCCATGGATTGAGTGGCACTGGTATGTCTTGAAACAAAAATTAATATACTAAATAAATATTCTTATTTGATTTTTAAAATTCTGTTACTATCTTACAACTACTAGGTCTAGAGTATGATGGAAATGGAAATCACATTCTATGGTGGCCAAGCGAAATGATTCATGAATATTTGAAGAAGGCTAAATGTTTCGTGGATCAATTTAATAACTATAATGTAAGTAATTCTTTACGTAAACTTTACGTCCAGTAATGTTTACTTTAGTTGAAACCATTTTTAAATGAGATAAGAAAAAATATTTTTTTTTATTCAGGTAAGTGGAACGCAAACTCTGAGTGAAAATATTGCTGATACTGCAGGTTTGGTTGCAGCTTATAGAGCTTACAGGAAAAAAATGAAGAAAGGCAGAAAGGGTCAAAGTTTACCAGGATTGGAAACTTTAGATTCAAATAAACTTTTTTTCATTTCTTTTAGTATGGTAAGTGTTTAATTAGTCTTTTAGTTTAACCGTTAAAAGCCCAAGTGTGTGATTAATATGAATTTAACTTTGCTTTCTCTTGAAGAAGCTTTGTATTGAGAAATTGCGTCTCTGAAAAGATGAAGATGAAACAGAATTGTAATTTTTGTTTGCTTTTTACAGACATTTTGTCATACTGCAACATCGCAAATTTCAGCATTAGATGAAACTGATACACATTCAAAAAGATCTGTCAGAGTTAATGGTGCCGTGGCGAATGTGGAAGGATTTAATGAGGCATTTAAGTGCAATAATGTCGAAAAATGCACACTTTGGAATTGATTAGACTCAAGTTCATCATCATTGGATATTTATGACTATAAAATAAGCTTTTGGAAAATTAACTTTTCATTTAATTTAAATTAATTTAGTTTAATTCCTTAATGAAGTTTGTATTGATATTCTTTGATGTCTTCAATTTTTTTAGTTTTTAAAATTATCATTATTTAATCTAATTTATTACCATTTTAATAAATACAGTAAATTTTTTAATGTTTAGTGTTTTGTTAAAGTTAATATAATTCTTAAAATAATTGAAATATTTTAATGTTCTTAGACTTAACTTAAAAAGTTATCACATGTATTATTTGTTGAAAAGGACTCCGCAGGATAAACATTAGTTTCAGGTCCGAGTCGAATTTTCTGTAAGTTTTTAAATTTAATACACTTTTCTTCATACTAAATGTAAACTTAATATTAAAAATATATAAAAAATATAATATATTATAATTATAATATAATAATTATAATTATAATAATAATAAAATATAAATTATTTCAGAAATTATATTAATTTTAATTTTAATAGAACAAGCAAACTCAAGAATTTTTTTGATGTTTCTAGAAAATTAAGTACATTTGTTTTGAGTCTTAATTTTTAACAACTATTGTAGTGGATTATATGGAAAATATGTTAATTAATACATTTTAGAAAATAAAAAATTCTTTATAGCAATTAAAAATGTAGCATTTGCACAATTTTTGTAGTTTAAGTTTAATTGAAAATAGTAATTCAAAATTTATTTGAGAATAATTTATAAATTTCGAAATATTAAATATCTCAATTTTATAAGCGTTGAAGACTGGTAAGATGGCTAGTTTAAATATATAACAATATATAAATAGATATAGTATCGTATTTATACTATGAATTTATAATATATATCGTTATGGTAATATATTATCTATGTAGCAATAGGAATAGAGTAATAATAATAGAAAAAAAACTATTTTACTATGTATATAACAAGTGTATCACAGGTAAACAATAAAAGTAATATTAACACGTGCATGCGTAAGAGAAGAGCATATAAAAGTGTAAATTTTTTTATAACCGATTTTATTGTTGAATTAAGAGCCATTGGAGGTGAAGCTTAGAATAATAATTATTTTACTCAAGTTTTATTTAGTTTAGAATATGTTTGAGATCGTTAATTTGTGAGTATTTAAATTTTTAACATTTTTCATTGTTATCTTAATGAATTTTAATAATTATAATTCTCTTTCTATTTATTCTCATCCAAAAGTTTATGACATTTAGAAAAGCTTAATTATACAACTTTCTGTTTTTAAAATGATATTTTTCTGATACTCTAAACATTATTTATGATTTATTATTTACATTTCAATTATTTACGAATTTTTTTTATGAATTTCTTTGCAATAATACAATTATTATCATAACTAATAAAATTTTTTACAAGGATTCAATTATTTTTATACGTAATATAATTCTTTTTGGGAATTGAATTATTTTTATTAATAAAACTCATTGTACAATTTTAATTATTTAAAAATTTGAGATAAAATTCCTTATGATAATTATTTAAAAATTTATAGTTATTTAAAAAAAATGTTTGATAAATTATACTTGTTAGAATTCCAATTATTTTTAATTTCTTATTAAGAATTCAATTATTTTCAATATATTTTTAATAAAATATCAGATTGAATTATTCTTAAAAATTTTGATAAATTTCTTTGAAGAAATTCAATTATCTTTATAAATAATAAAATTCTTCTCTGAAATTTATTTATTTAAAAAAATTTAAATAAAATTCTTGGCAAAACTTCAAAAATTTTAATAAAATTCTTAGTAAAATTGCAATTATTTTCATAAATAATAAAGCTCATCGCAGAATTTCAATTATTTTTAATACAATTTTAATCGAATTCCTCCAAAAATGTAATTATTTTCAAAATTTTTATTAAAATTCGTCAAGAGAATTAAATTATTCAAAATTTTATTGATAAAATTCTTTATGAGAATTTACGTTTTAATAAACATGCAATTATTCAATAAATTGTTTTAATGTATTTAAATAATTGAATTTTAGTAGAATTTTCTAATAAAAATAATTGATTTAAGAATAGATTTGAGTTAAAATTTTAGATTATAATGGAATATTACAAATAATAAAATTCTTTTTAGGAATTCAATTATTTTCATAAATAATAATATTTTCATAGGATTTTTACTATTTTCAAACACAATTTTCATAAAATTTTTCGAAAAAATTCAATTATTTAAAATGATTTTTATAAAATTTTTCGCTAGAATTCAAGTATTTAAAAAAAAACGCAAACATTTAATTATTTTTATAAAATAATTAAAAATTTCACAGAAATTGAATTATTTACAAGTTTTTTATAAATTTCTTCGCAATAATTTCATTATTTTCATAAATAATAAAATTTTTTTCCAAAGATTCAATTATTTTCATAAATACTAAAACTCATAGTAGAATTTCAATTATTTTTAATACAATTTTAAGCAAATTCCTCGAAAAATGCGGAAAAATGTAATTATTCTTAAAAATTTTATTACAATTCGTCAAAAGAATTCAATTATTTAAAAATTTGTTAATAAAATTCCTTATGAGAATTCATTTTTAAGAAACATTCAATTATTCAATAAATTATTTATTTTTGTATTTAAATAATTGAATTATCGTGGAATTTTCTTATAAAAATTGATTTAAAAATTAATTTTTGTTAAAACTTTAAATAATAATTGAATACTAAAAGCATTAGGATAGCGTGCATTTTGAAAAGGTTTCAAATTAAAATCTTTAAAAAATATGAATTTTTCATACTTTTAACAAACAAATATGTAGAATTAATTTTTTTGAAAAAATTTAATTGAATATTCTTTTAAAATTACCAAAAGTTTTTATTTTCTTATTTTTATTCTTTTAATAGAAGAATTTCTGAATAATCGAAATTTGATAGAATCGAATTGTAAACAAATGGATTTGAAAATTCTTAAAGAAAATTTTTTCAAAAATTATTAAAAATAATTGATTTTAAAAAGTAATCATGGTCAAGGAATAAGTCAAAATTTTGTCTGGAAATCAGGGAAAAGTCAGGGATTATATAGGCACTTAGGTGAAAAATAATTAGAAGAGCCGATAATAATTGAAACAATAGAAATGATATTCGGTCGTAATAAAAAAAATTACTTATTTATTGTTCAACTCACTGTAAAATAAATTTAAATAATAAAAAATTAAAAGATATATATGATAATAATTTAATAGTAGTAATAGAAATAATTATTGTAAATATGGTAAAAAAATAATAATAATAATAATAATAATAATAATAATAATAATAATAATAATAATAATAATAAATGTTCTAGAGTTTTCTTCGGATATTTAGTCATTGTTGGTTCGTACAAAATAGTTGAGGGTAAGTCACTTGCACCCGAAAGTAATGGAGAGAAAAATATTTCGGAAATTTGCACAACCAGTGAATGTCATAGTTTATGTAAGTTTATTGTTTATATTATAAGTAAAAATATGTTTCTTTCAGATACTATTAATTTATTTATTTAGTGGAAATAAAATAATGCATTTGGTAAAAAAATTTAGAAATTTAATTGAAAATATGAAATTTCATTTAAAAATAAAAATAATCTCAGGGTTGACACAAGTCAGGAAAACCAGGGAATTTTATAAAAAAATACTTTAAAAATATTAAGTTTTTAAGTTTAATTGTTCAGCTATCTTTAAAAAAATGAAAAAGATCTTTAATCTAATTCTTCTTGAATTTCTTTTTGTTACCTTTTTAAATATAATTTTTGTGCGACAAATTCTGCAATCTGCATGGAAAATTCAATCTTTCAGCCAGCATATTAAGAGAAGGAATGAATGATACAGTAAATCCTTGCGAAGACTTTTATTCCTATGTTTGTGGTTCTTGGCCAACTAAGTATCCGGTTCCTGAAGATAAATTTAAGTTGGATGTGAATTCAATGATGGGAGAAGACATAAATTTAATTCTAAAAAGTAATTCAACATTATAACATGAATTGGAAAATTAAAAAATTTATTCTACGGTTTATGTGATTATAATTTTTTTTCATTATTTACTGTCTTTTTTTTTCTTAGAAATTTTGGAAAAACCATCGAGTCCCGAGGACAGTGTTCCATTAACATTAGAGAAAAAATGGTTCAAATCTTGCATGGACGAAGGTAGGTAATTGCTTATTTCCTGCAAAACATATATTACATTTTGAATGATTACACCGGTTTATAATTTAAAATAAAATTATGATTCATTTTTTCAATTATTTTTTTCAGTAAGAATTGACGAAAAGGGTTTGGAACCATTGACGAATATTTTAGAAGAAATAGGAGGTTGGCCAATGGCAATGAATAAAAGTGCATGGGAAAATAAGAAAATAACTTGGCAAGATGTTGCTCAATATTATGCTGAAATTATCGGTGGATACAGTTTGTTTGATATCAGCATTCAACCTGATTTAGATAATTCCACTCGTCAAATAATTGTGGTAAAAATTAATTAGATTTTAATTGATTTTATTGAATTTTTAAAAAATTTAATTCTATATTTTGATAATAATTTTATGTATAAAATTGTACAGATTGATGAACCCGAGGACTCGTTGATTATTAAAAGAATGTTTGATAACAAAGCGAATAGTTTTTCTTATGAAAAAATTATTTCATTCAATTCTAATTCCGATAATGCTAATATTGATCGCAATGGTCCAGTTTTTAAATATATGAGACTTCTAATTAATGTTGCTAGAAATTATTCAAAATCGATATTAGGAGGAACGAAAGAAAATATCGTAGACGATGCCTTCAATTTAATAACGTTTCAACAATCATTGAAAGCGGTAATATTTGAATTTGTTTTTATTCAGTTATTAAATCCCCTAAAAGTCGGTAAATTTGTTTAAAGTCCGTAAAAGTCAGTTTTTTTTTTAAAAAAAAGGTCCGTAAAGTCCGTAATTTTATTGAAAAATCAAGAAAAGTTCGTAAATTTAACGATACAATTTGGAGAATTTTTGAGAAGTTACAAATATTGAAAAAATTCAATTATTTTCAAAAGAAAAAAAATTTTTTGCAAAAATTAAATTATTTTTAATACAACTTTAATAACATTTCATGAAAGAATTCCTTAATAACATTTCTCGAAAGAATCCAATTATTATTTTCTAAAATTTTAATAAATCCTTCGAAACAGTTTAATTGTTTTTATAAATAGTAAAATTCATCGCAAGAATGAAATTATTTTTCATGAATAATAAAATTCTTCTTAGAAATGCAATTATTTTCAATACAATTATTAACAAAGTCGATTGTATTCAATAAATTAAAGAAATTTTTCAAGAAATTCAATTATTTTCTAAAAATTTTAAGAAAATACAAGAATTAAATGTTTAATTTTAATTATTAAGAAATACAGGGTGTCTAACGGTCAGGGAAAAGTCAGGAAATGACAGAAAATTTTATTGAAAGTCAGGAAAATTTCTAAAAATTTATACAAAAATTAAAATTTTTTGTGAACAAAAAATTTTTTTAATTTAACAAAACTTAGAAGATTTTTATTATTCTTTCTTTCTATCATTAGATATTAATTTATTGTTAAATATGTCAGTTACCATATTATTGTCCCAATAAGAAAGCAAAAATAAAATTAGTAAAAAGTCAGGGAATTTTTTTCTTAATCTTTTGTTAGACACCCTGAAAGAGGATTATTGTAAAAACTTGAAAGAAATTGTTCATAGAAAATGCAATTACTTTAAAAACTTTCAATTAAAATTATTAAAGAAACTCAATTATTTTAAAGAAACTCAAAGAAATTTTTCAAAAGAATTTAATTAAGATTATGAAAAACTTCAATAAAATTCTTCGAAGAAATTAAATTTTTATCAAATTTTTTGATAAAATTCTTTGCCATAATTCAATGATTTGCATAAATTTTTTATAAATTTTTTCAATTATTTTCATAAATAATATAAAATTTTTACAGATATTCAACTATTTTCGTAAATTATAAAATTCTTTTTATTAATTCAATTATTTTCATAAAAAATAAAATTTTCGCAGGAATTTAAATATTTACAAACACAATTTTCATAAAATTTTTTCGCAATAATTCAATTATTTTCATAAAGAATTTTCATCTAGAATTCAATTATTTAAAAAAAATGTTAATAAAGTTCTTCGTAAGAATTCAATTATTTTTGAAAATTTTAATAAATTTCGTTGCAAGAATACAATTATTTGAAAAATTTTTTATAAAATTCTTCGAATCAATTTAATTATTTAAAAATAATTTTGATTAAATTCTCGGCAAAAATTTCAATTATTTTCAAAAATTTTCCTCAATTAAATGATTTTCAATATCTACTATATTAATAAAATTTTCCAAAAGAATGCAATTATTTTAAAAAAATGTAATGAAATTCTGCGCAAACATTTAATTCATAAAATAATTAAAATTTTACAAGGAATTCAATTATTTACAAATTTTTTATAAATTTCTTCTCAATAATTTCATTATTTTCATAAATAATAAAACTCATCACAGAAATTCAATTATTTTATATTCAATTTTAATAGAATTTCTCGAAGAATGTAATTATTCTTAAAAATTTTATTACAATTTGTCAAAAAAATTGAGTTATTTACAAATTTGTTCATAAAACAAATTAAATAAAAAAAATCTTTATGAGAATTTTCTAATAAAAATTGATTTAAAAATGAATTTCAGTTAAAATTTTAAATTATAATTATTAAATATTAAAAGCATTATAGCATGAATTTTTAGAAATAATTGATTTCTGTAAAGGTTTCAAATTAAACAATTCTGTTAAATTAATTTTTTTTCAAAAGGTTTATTTGAATTTTTTTTTGAAAGTTATGTTATTTTCAAATATATATTTAATTGAAGAATTTTCGAATAATTGAAATTTCGTAAAATTGAATAGTGAACAAATGGATTTGAAAATTGTAAAAATACTTTTTCGAAAATTATTAAAAATAATTGTTTAAAGAAGAATTTTAATTTAAAATTCCAGAAAATAATAATTGAATTGAAATATTGCAAAAATAATTTTGAAGAAGTTTATTATTTATATTCATTACACTGAAAAAAATTAATTTGATTCAAATAACCGATTACTTGACTATTATCAATTAAACATTTTCTTGGATCAAATAATTTTCATTTAAGTCAATTAAATGGTTCAATTCATATTTTCTTCAAATACTGGAATTATTGGTTCAAATACAATTTAATTGATTCAAATAAAAATGATTTGATTCAATTAAATATTTAATTGAAGATTTTATTGAATTGAAATAAAATTGAATGCTTATTTAATTGAATTGATAATTTAATTGAATTGATACTTGTCAAGTAATCGGTTATTTGAGTCAAATAAATTTTTTTGTCAGTGCATGATATATTAACAAAAATGAATATTAAAGTCATTGGGAAAATTAAAAATAAGTTTTACGATTGAAAAATTTTATTAGATTCAAACTACTCCGGATATAAAAGTCCATATGGACTTAGTAAACAGTAAAATGCGGATTAAGGATTTCCAGCTATATACTGATCGAAAAAATTATACAAAACAGAGAGCAAAGGTAAAAAAAACAGTCATTTTTTATTATATAATATAATAGTAAATAATTATAACATAATGATTAATTTAATTAACATAATTTCAGGTCCAGGCTTCTCACTCATTAATTAATTTTTAAATTGTTGCAAATTGTTTAGTTTACTGAAAAGAAGTAGTAGAAAAATAGCTATCGAATTTTATAAAAATTTCGTACTTTATTTTTATCTTATTGTTGCTAATGATTTTATGTATTTTATTCTTAGATCGATTGGCTCCAAATGATACGAGCCTTATTCGTCAATACTAATATAGTTATTCGTGCATCAAAAAAAGTGGCTTTATTTGATACAATGTATATTGATAGCTTAATTGAACTTTTAAATCGTACACCTGAAAGGACGATTGGTACGATTTACCAAAAATTTACAAGAAATAATTATTTTTTCTTCTTATTTTCCTTTCTGTAAAATTTATAGATATATGTATAATTGAAAGATATAATTATGTTTCAGTGAATTACATTCATTGGACTTTTATAATTGATGTCCTTAAATATTTAGACAAAACGACAAGAGATTGGTTAACGGATATGACAAACAGTGCTATGGGTATCATCAAAGAATCAGAAAGGTGTCAGACTTTGATTTTATCATTGAATTAAAAAATTTACTGATATAAATGTCCTTTATATTAAAAATTAATTATTTTTAATTGATTTTTTTAAAATTATTATTAATTATCAAATAAATGAAATTAAAAATTCGTAAATTTTCTGAAATTTCTAGGTGGGAAGTTTGTCTGAATGATATGCCTTTGAAGGATGGGATGACTATCGAATATATCAAGAATCACTTCTCTAATGTGACAGAAAAAACTGTAAGTTACATTTTGCACTACTTTTTTCTGAATTATTAATATTTTCAATGAATAGGAAATATTTATCAACTTTGGACTGCCTTAATTAATTAGTGGAATTTTCACTAATTTATGAGTATAACAGAAAGCAAAATAAAGTAAAATAAGTCGTAAATATAGTAGAAGAAATATTAATTATTTATTTGTACAGGCAAAAGATATGGCTGAAGAAATCCGTAAAGAAATTGATAAAGATATTTCGAGGTCCACTTGGATGAATAGTGAAACAAAAATGTTAACAAGGAATAAACTTAACTCAATGAATGTTCAAATTGGTTATCCAGAATGGTATTTGTCGTCGAGTAATTTTAGCCAACACTATGATGGGGTAAGTATTTTAATTTTAACAAATTTTTAAAACGATACTTTCAAATCTTTATAATTTCACTTGACACAATTATTTACATCAAATGAATTTTATGTCAAATGACATTTTTGTCAATTGAAGTTTATGTCAATTGAAATTAATATTCAGTGATTTTGATGTCAAATGAAACTTATGTCAAGTGATTACAATTAAAATTTGTAATTTTGCAAGCAATAAACATTTCTTTGCAGTTGCAAGTTGGTCCAGATTATTTTGAAAATGCAATGAATTATTTTAAATTCATATCACGAAATTATACAAAGGATTTTAGAAAACCATATGACAAAAAACGGTATGACATTATTACTATGTATATATATTTCTGTAATAATTTTATGTTAACTATAATTAATTATACTTCCTAAATTTGAATTAGTAATTTCTGCTAATTTATTAGCAAAATTTACTAATTCAAAGGCAAAAAGTCAGTCACTAATTCCAATTAGTAAATATTTTTACTAATTCAAATTTAAAGAGTATTTGGAATTTTCAACTGTTAACCATATTTTAATTAATTATTATATAAATAATTAATTAAATAATTATTATTAAATTATATGTAATGTAAATGCTACAGATGGCTTATGTCACCAATTATGGCAAATGCTTATTATTTATCTTCAACCAATACTATAGGTAAGTTTGAACGAAAATTATTGCACTTCTTTTTGCGTAAAAACTCATTTTTTTATTTTTATTACAATTTTCTGTATTTAAAACTAAAGATCTACATTTTTACAGAACCATGAGCTAACAGAATAATTTTCATGCAGCACTTGCAAAATAAAATGAAAATCGCCTATTTGAAGTTTTTAATTTTAATTACTCATATATTAAAAAAGAATTTGTTTAAACAATAATTGGGTAAGACTCCGTCAGAAAAAAAGCGATTTGCAAGTGGTCTTCCGATTTCTTCGAAACCTTGGGAAATAGAAGTCTTATATGAATTAAATTTAACCCTAAAAGGATTTTGAAAAATTTTCAAAATGGCGGCCGCTACGCCATATTGAAAATGAGTGTTGCGTTTTTTTCAAAAATTAATAACTCTGAAACTTTTTGATCGATTTTAATAAAATTTACAGGCGATATAGTTAAAAATACGTAGTTTAATTTGATATTATGAACAAAAAAAAATTTCCAAAATTTGTCAAGAAAAAAGTCAAAAAAATTTTTTGAATTAATTTTTAGTTCAGTTGGCCTAATTTTTGAATTTTCTAATAAGTAAATATCGATTCCTTGTAATTTCACCTTTCATTTTATAAAAAAAAATTTATGGAGACTCTAATAGTTCTCGAGATATTGCGACTTTAGTGGGAGCGCGTACCGCGGAATTAAACTCCGTAGCGAGGCGGAATATGAAGAAATACATATATAATATTTTACTTAATTGTTATTTATTTTCCTCTAATAATGTTTGAGTTTCCTAATTTAATATTTTCTAGTATACATATTATTGGTTAATTTGGCGCGACTTCTTATCCCATATAGATGATTTACTAGAATATTTGCGAGATATTATTTTATTTCTCAAAACATCACTTTAGTATAATTTTAGCTCTAAAAAATAATTGTAAGACAGAATGCTTATAGGTAAATAATGTCTTATTAAGTAATGAATCATTAATCAAATTTTAAGTAAAAATACTTTTTAAACAACATAAGTCTTAATTGAAAGAATTTTTTAGAATAAGAATAATAATTAAACAAAAATATCTTTAAAACTAAAATAGATTTGAACGATATTTTATAGAAAAAGATTACAATTTGTAAAAAAATTTGTTAAGCAAATATTTAAAGTCTCAAATTCTTTGTTTAATAGAATATTTATGTGCCAATCTTTCAATTTTCAAAAAATCTTATTTATTGGAATATATGTTTAAATAAACTTTTATTAATACAATGTATTATTTAGAAAAAATGATATATGAAAAAATGTATAATTTAATTAACTCTTGTATGACAAAAATTTTTCTTAGGCAAATGGTAATTTTATAGAATGTTAATTAAAAAGAATATTAATTTACAAGAAATGAAAGTGAAACGAATTCTAATTTAATAGAATACTTAAATGTCTGAATTATAATTTGGCAGCATGTCAATTCGATCGATTTTATATTTGTAAGAAATTCAATTTGACATAACATCAATTTATAAGAAACACTTTTTCGTAGAATTTTAATTTATCAGAATTGTAATTTTGTAGAATATTAATATTGCCAAATCTAATTTTAGTAGAAATCTGCTTTATCAGAATGATCAAATGTTCGAATCTTCAAAATTTCTAATTTCATTTTTACCTACAATCAATGTGACATAAATATTTGGCGCAAATTTTAAAAATTTAATTTCTGATTGGTCAATTTTTAAATTTGCGCCAAATATTTATGTCACATTGATTGTAGGTAAAAATGAAATTAGAAATTTTGAAGATTCGAACATTTGATCATTCTGATAAAGCAGATTTCTACTAAAATTAGATTTGGCAATATTAATATTCTACAAAATTACAATTCTGATAAATTAAAATTCTACGAAAAAGTGTTTCTTATAAATTGATGTTATGTCAAATTGAATTTCTTACAAATATAAAATCGATCGAATTGACATGCTGCCAAATTATAATTCAGACATTTAAGTATTCTATTAAATTAGAATTCGTTTCACTTTCATTTCTTGTAAATTAATATTCTTTTTAATTAACATTCTATAAAATTACCATTTGCCTAAGAAAAATTTTTGTCATACAAGAGTTAATTAAATTATACATTTTTTCATATATCATTTTTTCTAAATAATACATTGTATTAATAAAAGTTTATTTAAACATATATTCCAATAAATAAGATTTTTTGAAAATTGAAAGATTGGCACATAAATATTCTATTAAACAAAGAATTTGAGACTTTAAATATTTGCTTAACAAATTTTTTTACAAATTGTAATCTTTTTCTATAAAATATCGTTCAAATCTATTTTAGTTTTAAAGATATTTTTGTTTAATTATTATTCTTATTCTAAAAAATTCTTTCAATTAAGACTTATGTTGTTTAAAAAGTATTTTTACTTAAAATTTGATTAATGATTCATTACTTAATAAGACATTATTTACCTATAAGCATTCTGTCTTACAATTATTTTTTAGAGCTAAAATTATACTAAAGTGATGTTTTGAGAAATAAAATAATATCTCGCAAATATTCTAGTAAATCATCTATATGGGATTAGAAGTCGCGCCGTTAATTTATAATTTATTATATGTATAATTTTAAAATATCAATAATTATATAATAAATTATAAATTAACCAATAATACGTACTAGAAAATATTAAATTAGGAAATTCAAATATTATTAGAGGAAAATAAATAACAAAATTAAGTAAACAAAAATATTTATTTTAATGAACCAAATACGTTTACTAAAACTATTTATTTGAATCAAACAAATCTTTTCTCTTGAAATAAACAAATTTTTTGGTTATATTAAATAAAATTTTTTGGTTAAGTGTAATAAGCATTTGGTTAATACAAATAAACGTATTGGAAGAAATTTTTTGGTTGAATCAAACAAACGTTTGGTTGACTGTATAGCAATGCATTTATTTGGTTGATTCAACCAAAATTTGGTTGATTCGAACAAATTTTTTTCTGAGTGTACGAATCTAATGTTAAAATTTTATTTTTCAAATTATCCGATCCACTATGACGGATTCAAAATTATGATTTTCTACATTTTTAAGTAAATAGTCTAAATATTAATTTATAGATTAATATTTACAAAAAATAATTATTGGGATGTTTTAGAAACTCTTTTATAGAAATTTAACTTTTTATACCTCTGCTCTTTAAAATCGATTATTAAAGGAATATTTAAAAAAAATTTGAATCCGCCATGCCATATTAGATTCGGTAATTTAAAAAATAAATTTTTAACATTAGATTCGTAAATAGCGCTTCCAAATATCGCCCTTGACGTTGTTTTAGAATATTTACTTCGAAAATGTAGAAAATTAAAATTTTGAACCTGCCATATTGGATCCAAAATTTTGAAAATTAATTTCTAATATCAGATTCATGATAAACGATCGAAAATAGCCCCGAGTAATAAATTTTTTTGAATTTTTGACAACACTTATGTGTTAAAACCTTGGATATATTGTGGTGCATTTTTATGACCCACTTTAATCATCCGCCATTTTAAAAATTTTTCAAAATTAAATTTTTGGCAAAGTGCTATCTTATAGTGCAGCTAAAAATGAAGGCAAATGTGACCTGGAGAATTTTTTGCATGAAAATTAAAAAAGTTATGAATTTTTTTTTAAAAAGTGCATTTTTCCTATGTATTTTTAATGGGAAATTTCGATGGATCTCTGGCACGTGTTAATATTAATCAATCGGCTTCAAATTTTGGGAAATTTTTTTTTATTTTATTGGAACTAAACTGGGGGGTGGCGTAAACAAAATTCGAAAGTCGCATTGTTACGGACACCCTATTGTGCACGTTTGTACGCTCGCTTCATATTCCGCCTCGCTACGGAGTTTAATTCCGCGGTACGCGCTCCCACTAAAGTCGCAATATCTCGAGAACTATTAGAGTCTCCATAAATTTTTTTTTATGAAATGAAAGGTGAAATTACAAGGAATCGATATTTACTTATTAGAAAATTCAAAAATTAGGCCAACTGAACTAAAAATTAATTCAAAAAATTTTTTTGACTTTTTTTTGACAAATTTTGGAAATTTTTTTTTGTTCATAATATCAAATTAAACTACGTATTTTTAACTATATCGCCTGTAAATTTTATTAAAATCGATCAAAAAGTTGCAGAGTTATTAATTTTTGAAAAAAACGCAACACTCATTTTCAATATGGCGTAGCGGCCGCCATTTTGAAAATTTTTCAAAATCCTTTTAGGGTTAAATTTAATTCATATAAGACTTCTATTTCCCAAGGTTTCGAAGAAATCGGAAGACCACTTGCAAATCGCTTTTTTTCTGACGGAGTCTTACCCAATTATTATTATTTATTTAAAAGCTATTACAGCGGCGCAGCTTTCAACTCCCATGTTCAGTGAAGAGTTACCACTGTGAGTAGTTTTCTTTGTTTGCGACTGTGAGGTCACGTGACTTGGAGATAATTTGCAATTAGAAATTGCTCTAGAATTTTAGAAAATTTAGAAAATTTATTTATTTAATTTATTATTTATTCTTATTTTATTATTTTATTATTTATTTATTTATTTATTTATTTTATTTAGAAAATCTAGAAATCTGGAAAAACCTTGGAAAAACCTGAAAAAGTCAGGGAATTTTGATCGAAATCCTGGAAAATTGTTGTTTTCTAAAGTTATTGTGTATATTCTTCAAATCTAATTTCACTTAAATATTTCAGAATTAATTTAATTTTAAAAGAATTGCGTTAACAATGTTCATAAGTAGATGAACTTGAAAAGATTTTGATTTAAAATTTTGTAAAAATTTCAGTTTTAAATTTCTTTAAAGAATAAAATTATTTTCAAAAATTTTAATGAAATTCTTTGCGTAACAATTCAATTTTTTCAAAATAATTTTAATAAAATTCTCATCAAAATTTCAATTTACCTTTGTAAATAATAACATTTTTTTTTCGAAATTCAATTATTTTTAAAACTTTTTATAAAATTCTTGGCGGAATTTCAAATTCTTTGATGAAAATTGTATTAATTAATTCTTAAAAATTTTATTAAAATTTGTTAATAAAATTCTTTATAAAAATTCAATTTTAAAGAATAACATTCAATTGTTTAATAAAATATTTATTTTTATAGTTAAATAATTGAATTCTCGTAGAATTTTCTAATAAATATATTGATTTTACAAAGGAATTTCAAATTAAAATCTTTGAAAATTTGAACTTTTCATACTTTTAATTAAGAATTCGATAGAATTAATTTTTCTCAATAAGTTTAAAGGACTTTTTTTTATTATTTGAAGTTTTTAATTTCTAATATATTTAATTGAAAAATGTCAGAATAATCGAAATTTCGTAAAATGAAATTTTAAACAAAAGAATTTGAAAATTTACAAAGAACTTTTTCAAAAATTATTTAAAAAATATATTGACTTAAAGAAAAGAATTTCAGTTGAAAATTCTGGGAAAATTCCGTTTTTTAACCTGGAAAATCTGAAAATGTCAGGGAATTTGAAAAGAGCAAAAGCGTAGCAACCCTGAATTAACTTTTTTTTGTAAAATTCAGAATTGACTGGGGTGTAATTTTTTAATTTGACTTTGACTTTCGAATCGATTTTGATTTTGACATTGACTTTCAATTTCCACTTTGGACTTTTATTATGACCATAACTTTAATTTTTATTTTCACTCTGACTTTGATTTTGAAAGTTAAAATGAAAATGAAAGTCAACGTTAAAGTGAAAGTCAGAGTGAATATAAAAGTTAAAGTCAATGACAAAGTCAATGGCAAAAAAATTAAGAGATAAGAATTGTTTGAAATAATTTCAAAGCTCAATCCATTCAGTATTTTACGAGAAAAATGAATTGTAAAACAATATTGATATATTATTATATTATTTTTTTTAATATTAAATTAATTAAACATATTTTTTTTTAATTCTTTCTGCAGTGCTTTAAATTATGGATCTGTGGGTTTTATTATTGGTCATGAAATGTCTCATGGATTTGATGGCAGTGGTAGGTCTTTAAATAATAATTTTCAATTTTAAATACAGTATTATTATTCTTTATATTACTATTATTATTATCATTCTAAAATTTGTGTAATATTTAATTATCAGGACGAAAGTATAATATAAATGGTAATCGCATTCCTTGGTGGTCAGACGAAATGATTTATAAATATACGAAGAAGGCTGAATGTTTTGAGACTCAATTTTACAATTATAAGGTAATTAAAACTCAATTTGTACCTATATCAATTGTTAAACAAAAATTTTTTAAAATATATATATTTTATAAAAAATTTTCGTATAAAGGTAAACGGAAAGCAAACTCGAGATGAAAATATTGCTGATACTTTGGGATTGATGGCAGCGTATGGAGCTTACAAGGAGAAAATGACAAAAGACAACATTAAATATCAAAGTTTACCTGGATTTGAAAATTTTGATTCAAATAAAATGTTTTTTGTCTCTTATGGTTTTGTAAGTTATAAGTTATATTTTTAGTACTAGTTAATAGCTTGTAATTGTTAGATTTACTTAAATATAATGTTTGAATTGTTTGCTTTTTTAGTACTAATATATTTTTTTTTATAATTTGTGACGCTTTTTGGTGAAATGGACCTATCTTCAAGATGAATTTAGGTTGTTTTTGTACAATATATAACATAATAATAAAATTTCTAATTTCTAATTTCTAATATAAATAATATGTATAATTTGTGACGAAAAATTATTTTTGAGGTAGTTTTAAGAAAATTTTGGGTCTTTTTTAAAAATACACTAAAGTAATTTTTAATTTGTTTTATACAGGCCTCTTGTCTTAGTGCAACACCACAATTTTTAAAGAAGTTGAAGACTGACGAACACTCAAAACCTTCGATTAGAATTAATGGAGCACTGGCAAATGTCGATGGATTTAGTGAAGCATTTAATTGTCCTAAAGAAGAAAACAAGTGTAGATTATGGAGTTGATTAGAATAATTAATTAATTTTATCATTATCGTTCATAGTGAAAAAAATCTTATTTTTCACGATATCAATAAATCAAATTTGACTGAGAATTTATTAAAAATGACCAATGAGTTTAATTATTTTTAATTACAATTATTTTAATGAAGAAATAATATTTACTATGGTAATTAATGTTTGTCATAAATTACTATTTTATACAGAGTAAATTTTACTTCTTCTAAAGTAAATTTTTCTAATTTAAAAAAAAAATTTTTTTTAATTTTTCTCAAGAGAAGAAAAGATTCTTTCCAAAACAAAAATTTTTTAATAGTGAATTTGACTATTTTTGAAGAATAGTAAATTTTTCTAATTTTTATAAAAAAAATACTTTTCTTCGGAAATTAAAAAAATTGTTTTGGAAATAAATTTCTTTAATAGTAAATTTAACTAAAAAGTTTACTTCGGATTTTATCAATTTTACTAGCTGGATTTAACGAATTAAAAGTAAATAAAAAAGTTTACTTTTTCAACAGTTAATTTTTGTATAAAATTCTTTTTTTAATTTTCTATCGACGTAGTACAATTTGTTATTAAAAATTATTTTCCAACATAAATTTTACTATTTCTAAAGTATATTTTTCTAATTTTTAGAATGATTTCTTCTAAATTTCTAAATTTTTTCTAAAATACTAAAAAAAAAGGTTTTGTAAAAATAATATTTTTAATTCTAAATTTCAATTTTTTTGGAGTAAATTTTATCAAGTTTAAATCGAATATATATATACATTTTTTACGTGTGACTAATTTACGTTGATTAATTTTGCTTCATGATTAAATGGTAAATATTTTTTAGAGAGTGTTGACTTGTATTTAAACAAATGAGTGTTAAAGTATACAATGAATTGACAAAAAATATTCTCTGAAAACGATATACTTCGTGCTAAAAAATGATCAAAGTGATTCATTATCACATTTATTTTTCATCATCATTTCTCTTTATCTTCAGCTTCTTGTTCTTCTTCTTCTTCTTCTTCTTGCGTTAAACGACAATAAACACCTGTATATTTGACTGTATATTTAACAATTTATAGATTAAATATTAGAAAGTCGATTATTATTAAAAAAATGCCATTTGCGTTGGTTTGCAATAGTTATTAATATTTGTAAATTTTTAAGGTAAATTCTATAAGTACAAAGAAATGGCATATATAGTAAATGAATCATTTTTAAAATACAAGTTATTTATATGCATATTCACTTTGTTTCTCGATATTGATCAGGAAATTAAATGCATATTGACATTAAATAAAAAAAATATAAATTTATAATCAAACAAACAGGGTCATTTGAAAAGAAATAAAAACTTTCTTTGCATAGTAAGTACGTTAAGTAAAAAAAGTGGGGCTAAAAAATTATGTGCTATTTCCTCTAATATGTTGCTTTTAATTGTTTTATCAAATTTTATTTTTATACTTTTTATTAACGAAATTTTTTTAAATTATTATTAATATTTTTTTAATTATTGATAATATTTTTAATTTAATTATTATTAGTATTTTTAATTTAATTATTATTAATATTTTTAATTTAATTATTATTAATATTAAAATAATAATGAGAGGTATAATAAAAAAATAATATTCTAGCTAGCAATTCGAAAACAAAAAATACTGTTTTAAATTTTTTTAAATTTAAAGACTAATTTAAATTAGTAAATATTTTTAGTAATTAGAATTTGGAGAGTAAAATTAAAGAGAGTAATATTGAAGTTTTGTTTACCTTTTAAGTAAACTTTTTGCTTTCGAATTAGTACCTAAATGTGACTAATAATTTAGTAGAATTTACTATTTATTAGTAAAATTCACAAATTCAAAAAAAATTACTAGAAATTACTATTTATTAGTAGAATTTACCAATTCAAAAGCAAAATTGTTTATTAATTTGACTTAATGACTGTATTAATTCAAATTAATAAACATTTTTGCAAATTTAAATTTAGAAAGTAAAGACTTTTTAATTTAAATAAATTCTATTGTATTTAAGAATAAATGTATGTTTTGTTTATTTTTTTCTTTCGTTACAAAAAAGAAGTTGATATAAAAAAAAAAATATGTGAAAAGGCAATTATAAATATACGGAAATGAGATAAAATATAGTATTTATGAAACAGATAAATGAATGCAGAAAATTTTAAACTGATTTTGTTTTAATTTCCGTTAAGGATAAGAAAATTCCCAGTCAACAGCATCCTCTTTCTGGTGTTATACGCAGTTGCGTAACGCGAACCACATAAAAGAGTCGTTGCGAGTAAAAGCGGCAAGAGTTTATTGTTGAATTGTGGCGCTGCATGAGGTGCCATTTAGGATAATTATTATTTATTATAATTATATTACTCACAGTTTATTTATTTTGGAAAATGTTCAACATTGTTTACTTGTGAGTATTCATATGGTTTCATTGTCGTTTTCGTGTATTGGAAATTTTAATTGAAAATTGATTTAAATTGTGGTCTTCAAATTAAAAATAATAATTTTATATAGAAATATACAAAAAAAAATTTTTTTTGCAATTATTGATGCAAATTATTGGTGCAAATTTTATATACAATTTCAAAAAATGTTTTTGTATAAAAAAAAAATTGTTGGTTTTTAAAATATTTGTATCTAAATTAGTTTTTCAAGTGACAATTAGTTTGTAACAATAAATTAAATTGGCAAATGTTTTTAATAAGGAAATTATTTTTAAATATAAATAATTCTTCGAATTATTGGTGCAATTTCTATGTGAAAATATTTTTAAAAAAATATTTTTAAAATTTATTTACAAAAATTATTTTCCGTTTCTAAAATATTTATATTTTAATTAATTAATAAATTAATTAATTAGTTAATAATTTAAAATTAATTAATAATTTATTAATTTAATTATTTTATAACAGTAAATTGAATTGGCAAATATCTGTCATGTAAAAATTTAATGTAATTTTTTTTTAAATTTGTAGATAAATAAGTGTAGATTTTTGTAAATAAATGTGATGTGTGTTTATGAAAAATAATAATTGAGTTTTATTTTTTTACGGCATTTTATAATTTATATTTATAGAGGAAAAGTATTTGCAAGGATATAATGTGGTTTTTATCATTTTAGAGTTTTTTTCGGATATTTAGTCATTGTTAGTTCATTCAAGATAATTGATGAAACGTCACTTGGAGCCGAAAGTAATGTGGAGAATAATATTTCGGATGTGTGCAAGACCAAAGAATGTTACACATTATGTAAGTTTTTTACTGTTTTTTTTTGTATTATAAATTATATGATTAGCATTATTTTTCATTTATATTTTTTTATACAGATAATTAATGTATTATAAGGCCACATCTCTGATGGAACTTTTAACCCTTTCAAAATTCAATTATTTCTAACAATTCAAGCTCTAATGCTTTTAATATTCAATTATAATCTAAAATTTTAACTTAAATTTAAAAAAATTTAAATTTAATATATTATATATATTTATATATATATATATATATTTATTTATATATATTTATATATTTTAATTTTTATTTTTAAATTTTTTTTTTTTTTTTTTTTTTTTTTTTAATATCAATTTTTAATAGAAAATTTTATCAACAAGTTTTTAAATAATTGAATTCTTTTGACGAATTATTGTAATAAAATTTTTAAGAAATACTACATTTTTCAAGGAATTTGATTAAAATATTGTATTAAAAATAATTGAAATTCTACTATGAGTTTTATTATTTATGAAAATAATTGAATCTTTGGAAAAAAATTTTATTATTTATGAAAATAATTAAATTACTGTGAAGAAATTTATAAAAAATTTGTAAATAATTAAATTTCTGTGAAATTTTTAATTATTTTATAAAAATAATTAAATGTTTGCGTAGAATTTTATCAAGATTTTGTTTAAATAATTAAATTCTTTTCGGAAATTTTATAAAAATAGTAGATATTGAAAATCATTGAATTGGGGAAAATTTTTGAAAATAATTGAAAATTTGCCGTAAATTTTATCAAAATTTTTTTAAATAATTGAATTAATGCGAAGAATTTTATTAAAGTTTTTCAAAATAATTGAATTCTTGTAACGAATTATATTAAAATTTTCAAAAATAATTTAATTTTTATAAAGAGTTTTAATCTTTTTTTAAATACTGGAATTCTAGCGAAAAATTTTATAAAAAATAATTTTAAATGATTGATTTTTTTCGAAAAATGTTATGAAAGAATTTTATAAACAAAATTTTTTTTGATCATTCAATTCTTTTGGGCATTTTTATTAAAATGATTGAAAATAATTTTCAATATATTTTTTGGAAATAACTGAATTCTTTCGACGAATTTTAATAAAAATTTTTAAGAATAATTATATTTTTCGAAGAATTCGACTAAAATTATATATAAAAAATAATGGAAATTGTATTAAAAATAATTCAAATTGTACGATGAGTTTTATTACTTATGAAAATAATTGAATCTCTGTAAAAAAATTTACTATTCATGAAAATAATTGAATTATTGGGAAGAAATTTATAAGATATTCGTAAATAATTAAATTTTTATGAAATTTTTAATATTTACGAAAATAATTAAATGTTTGCGTACAATTTTATTAAATTTTTTTTAAAAATAATTTAATTCTTTTGGAAAGTTTTATTAAAATAGTAAACGTCAAAAAAAATATTGAATTTAGGAAAGTTTTTGAAAATAATAATTGAAAGTTTGCCAAAAATTTTATTAAAATTTGTTCAAATAATTGAATTTCAGAAAAGAATTTTTTTTATTTGTTAAGATAATTTAAATTTTGACGAGGATTTTTTTGAATTTTGAAAAATAATTAAATTTTTGCGAAGAATTTTATTACTTTAAAAAATAATTTGATTTCTAAAAAGAATTTTATTATTTATGAAAATAATTGAAATTTTGTTAAGAATTTTATTAAAATTTTGGAAAATAATTGAATTTTGGGAAATAATTTCATTACTTTTGAAAATAATTGAAATTTTGACTAAAATTTTAATCAAATTTTTGAACATAATTGAATTTCTGCGAAGAATTTTATTACTTTTGAAAATAATTAGATTCCTAAAAAGAATTTTATTATTTATGCGAGAAATTGAATTCTTTTGGAAAATTTTTGAAAATAATTGAAATTTTGTTAAGAATTTTATTAAAATTTTTGAAAATAATTGAATTTTGGAAAATAATTTAATTACTTTTGAAAATAATTGAAATTTTGACTAAAATTTTAATCAAATTTTTTAACATAATTGAATTTCTGCGAAGAATTTTATTACTTTTGAAAATAATTGAATTTCTGCGAAGAATTTTATTACTTTTGAAAATAATTGAATTTCTGCAATAATTTGCATCTGTCCCAAAATTCAATTTTTAAAAAGTATTTTTAACTAAAATTCTTCTATAAATCCATTATTTTTAATAAATATTTAAATATATATTAAAAAAATTTAACTAATTTCAGTAACTTTTGAAAATATTTATATTAGCAAAAAATTTCGCTCACTTGAACGTTCAGAACCAGTTTTGGATCACATTTTATTACTATTTCGAAATTCAATCGAGTAACATGAATACTTTTAATCTTTATTTCTTTGTAAGGATTCATATTACTCTGTTATTCTTAAACAATTGAATATTACAAGTGCATAATTAATAACATTATCGATGACTTTTAACTGAAACTAAATTAAAACTTGATAATTTTGAAAGAAACATTGACATTAAATTTTTTTAAAATTATAAATAAATGCACGAAAAGAAAAGTATTCATGTTTGTATTAAATAAATAAAGAATTAAAGAATATAAATTAAAAAGAAAAGTGTTAATTAAAAAGTAAGTTCAGTTATTAAAATTACTTTTTTTATATTTTTTGTCATTATCTTCTTTTTTTTATTTGATTATTTTTTAAGATTTAAATTCTCGTATTCTTTTCAAACAATACATTAATAGAAGAATAAAGAGCATGAAATTTGTAAAAACATATTTTTTGTTTCTTTTTTTATTATTATTTTTTTTTACTTTGTTTTTTATTATTTATTATTATTATTATTATTATTATTTTTTTTTTTAAATCTAAACACGTATTATATTGTGAAATTAAAAAAAGTTTGACAAAAAATATTCCTTACAGCCGAATTTATAAAAAAAGGAATGAACGATACAGTAAATCCTTGCGAGGATTTTTATTCCTATGTATGCGGTTCATGGCCGGTTAATTATCCAGTTCCTGAGGATAAATTTAAGTGGGATTTAGACTCAATGGTGGAAGAAAAAATAAATATTATTCTAAAAGGTATTTTATAGAATTATAAAATATAAATAAAAAAAAATTAACGTTAAACATTGTGCGCCGTACACTGTTTTGTTTGTAATTAATTTCTTTTATAATTTTTATTTTTATATGCAGACAGCATAAAAACATGTAATGAATGTAATGATAAATTTATTACTTCCAAGTAGAACTCTATACTTTTTTTTTATTCTACTTATAGTGATTTTTTTCAGGAATTTTACAAAAACGATCAAGGACTGAGGACAGTGTGCTATTAAGTTTAGAGAAGAAATGGTTCAAGTCATGCATGGATGAAGGTGATCAGATTTTTTTTTCAATTTAGCGCGTTTAATTTTTATTTAATCGATTTAGATATTGAGGTGAAAAAACTATTTTTTTAATGCAGCTTCGTCTTTTTTTGTTTTTATCTAAAAAGAGAAAAATATTTTTAAACCAAAATCTTTTTCAGTTTTTAGATAAAAACTAGAAAAGATTTTGGTTTTAAAATATTTTTCTGTTTTTATCTAAAAACTGAAAAAGATTTTGGTTTAAAAATATTTTTCTCTTTTTAGATAAAAACTGAAAAAGTTTATAAATATTTTTCTATCTTTCTCTAAAAACTGAAAAAGATTTTTGTTTAGTTTTGGTTTAAAAATATTTTTCTGGTATTATCCAAAAACTAAAAAAGATTTTGGTTTAAAAATATTCTTCTGTTTTTATCTAAAAACTGAAAAAGATTTTGGTTTCAAAATATTTTTCTGTTTTCATCTAAAAACTGAAAAAGATTTTGGTTTAAAAATATTTTTTTGTTTTTATTTTGGTCTAAAATTATTTTTACAAGGATTAATTATTTTCGAAAGAAATTTTCAATTATTTTTAAAAGAAATTTTTTTGTTTTCTGTACTTGAAAAAAAATTGTTTTAAAATTAAATTTATATTCTTTTTAGAAAGAATTAACAGAAAAGGTTTGGAGCCATTGAGAAATATTATCGAGGAAATAGGAGGATGGCCAATGGCAATGAATAAAAGTGCATGGGAAAAGAAGGAGATCACTTGGCAGAATGTCGCACAATATTATGCGAATATTGTTGGCGGATATAGTTTATTTAATATTGGAATACAGCCTGATTCAGAAAATTCCACACGTCAAATAATCGCGGTAAGAACAAGAAGCAATCAATCTTTTCTATATAGAGACAAAATATCCTTGAGAAAAACAAAGCACTTGAAAAATAAAAATGACAATTAAAAAACAATAAAAGGCGGAATAATAGAGATAGTTTTTTTATGTTATGAAACAACAAATAAAGTTCTATATCGTGATGATAATAAAAATTAAATATAAATTATTAAAAAAAAATGTACAGATTGATCAGCCTGGGGATTCTTTGATTGAAACGCGAACTTACGGCGACAAAGAAAATAGTTTTCACTATAAAAAGTTTCTCTCGTATAATTATAATTTCGATGATATTGATGATAATGATGATGATGAGGATGATGATAGTAAAGAAACTGACGATGCTGCTGTTAAATATGTGAGCCTTATACTGAAAATAGCTTTTGCTTATTCAGCATCCGCGGGAGGAAGCGAAAGAAATATCTTAATTGATACAATCAATTTGTTAAAGTTCGAAGTGGCCTTGAAAGAGGTAATATATTTATTGTATTCATATGATTGTGAATTATTCAATAAAATTAAATAATGTGCATTTTTTGGTTTTAAAATAGATTCAAACTCCACCTGATAAAAAGGCCGATATGGAGTTGGTAAATAATAAAATGCGAATTAGCGATTTTCAGAAGAGTTATAATCGGAAGAAACCTGGAAGATATACTGCTAGGGTAAAAACAATTCCTATTAATTATAAATAATATAATATAATATAATATAATAATTTAAAAATTTAAAACAATAGTTTAAAAAATCTAAATAAATTTTGTATCCTTCACTAGTATTCTGATCTCCAAAGTAAAAACTAAAAACCCTATACAGGGTTGCCACAGGTCAGGGAATTGACTCTCCAAATTTGAATTAGGTAAAAATATTTACTAATTTGAATTAGTGAGTGATTTTTTGCGTTTGAATTAGTAAATTTTACTAATAAATTAAGTAATTACTAAAAGAATTAAATTTACTAAAAATTAGTAGAAATCACTATTTATTAGTAAATTTTACTAATAAATTAAGTAATTACTAAAAACATTAAATTTACTAAAAAATTAGTAGAAATCACTATTTATTAGTAAATTTTACTAATAAATTAAGTAATTACTAAAAACATTAAATTTACTAAAAAAATAGTAGAAATCACTATTGATTAGTAAAATTTACTAATTCAAAAGTAAAATGTCAGTCACTAATTCAAATTAGTAAACATTTTTACTAATTCAGATTTAGAGAGCAGGCAAAAGTCAGGGAATTTTATTAAAAGTACTAGAAAAAACTAAATTTTTGGAATTCATAAAAAAATTCTGAATTTTTGTGTCTTTTTTGTTTACCTTATAAACTATGAAATTACCACGAATTCTATAATACAAAGCTTTCATTTTTTATATTTCTGAGAATAATTATTTCTTTTTAAAAAACTTAATTACTTTAAGAACTAATCATAAAATTATTACTTAGAAATTATTTAATGAATAATTTTACTTAAATATTTCAAAATTAATTGAATTTTAAAAGAGTTGCGTTTACACTTTTCATAAATACATGAACTCCAAAAGATATCAATTTGAAAATTTTAAAAAATTTCAATTTCGAATGAATTTATAATTGGAAATTTTAAATAACTTAGAATTTCGAAAAATTTTAATAATTCAAATTCTTCTGAAATTTGTTAAATTTTTTAATATATATTTAACTAATTATTAAAAATAATAAATTTATAGAAGAATTTTAGTTAAAAACGCACTAAAAAATTGAATTTTGGAGAAGTTACAAATCATTACAGAAATTCATGTATTTTCAAAAGTAATAAAATTCTTTGCTACAATCCAATTATGTTCTAAAATTTAAACAAGTTTTTGTTAAAATTTCAAGTATTTTCAAAAATGATGACATTTTTCGCTAAAATTAAATTATTTTAAAAAATTTGAAAAAATTTTAGTCAAAATTTCAAATATTTTTAAAAGTAATGAAATTATTTCCCAAAATTCAGTTATTTTCAAAAATTTTAATAAAATTCTTAACAAAGTTTCAATTATTTTCTATAATTTTCCTCAAGTCAATGACTCTTAATATGTCTACTATTTTAATAAAATTTTCCAAAAGAATTCAATTATTTTCATAAATAATAAAATTCTCTTTAGAAATTCAATTATTTACAAAAGTAATAAAATTCTTCGCTAAAATTCAATTATGTTCAAAATATTTTTAAAAATTTATGTCAAAATTTCAATTATTTTCAAAAGTAATGAAATTATTTTCTAAAATCCAATTATTTTCAAAAATTTTAATAAAATTCTTAACAAAGTTTTAATTATTTTCTATAATTTTCCTCAAGTCAATGACTTTTGATGACTACAATTTTAATAAAATTTTCCAAAAGAATTCAATTATTTTCATAAATATTAAAATTCTTTTTAGAAATTTAATTATTTTTAAAAGTAATGAAATTCTTCGCAAAAATTCAATTATGTTCAAAAAATTTTTAAAAATTCTTGACAATATTTTAATTATTTTTACAAATAAAAAAATTCTTCTCTAAAATTCAATTATTTTCAAAAATTTTTTATTAAATTCTTGGCAAAATTTCAATTTTTACTATTTTATTAAAATTTTTCAAAAGAATTTAATTATTTACAAATTTTTTATAAATTTCTTCGCAATAATTCAATTATTTTTATGATTTTCATAAATAATGAAACTAATTAGGTACAGAATTTCAATTATTCTTAATAGAGTAAGAATTTTTGAAACGTGCCACCTAAAATTCAAAAAATTTATTTTTGGCCAAAATGTTGTTTTTTCTATAGTGCTTTACATAAAAAAACACTATGTCAAAGGATTTGCCAAAAAAAAATTTTTGATATTGTTATAAACAATTAAAGTTTTCAGACACTTTTTTTTTAAAAATTAATTAAAAAGAAACTTGTTAACCGATTTTAATGATTCAAGAGGCATTCTTTTTTATTTGAGTCAAAGTTTTGAATAAAATTTTTTTCGTAAAAAAATATTAAGATTTAATAAATAAACAAATTATTTATTTATAACAAATTAGCAAAAAACCATGTTCTCAATCGAATTTCAAAATGAAAAAAATAGTACTTATTCTCTGATTACCACTGAGTAATATTCCGTTGAGAAAAAAAATGGCACGGCTTGGACAACTGACTTATTTAAACATTGTTTATCCTGAGCAGAACGGGATTTGTATGTGACGTCACGCGCAGCGGTCCTTTTACGCGGGAATCTAAGAGAATATCAGAGGAATATCAAAAATAATATTAAAATAATGTTTAAGTATTTCTTATGGACGAAAAAAACTATAACAATTTAATTAATTGTTTAAACAATTAATTTTTGTTATTTTTTCATAAACAGTAGTTAGGGCTAGAAATTTCTAGTCTTCTCTCAATTTCTCAATTTTTCAATGAGTAAAACATCTACTAATGGTAAAATATAAATTAATTAAACATTGTTTAAACAATAATTAATTGTTGTTATTTTTTTCATAAACGGTACTTAGGGCTAGAAATTTAAAGTTTTTTCTCAATTATGCAATTTTTCAGGCGTAAACATATATTAATAATTAAAACTAAAAATTACTTATTTATTAAATTGTTGAAACAATTAATTGTTGTTATTTTTTTCATAACTGCAATTAGAGTTAGAAATTACTTGTTCTTTTTCTATATTATGCATTTTTTGTAACGAAAGCACTTAAGTATAACAAAACTAAAAATTATCTAATTATTTAAACATTATTTAAACAATTTATTTTGTTAATTTTTCAATTAACTGTACTTAACTAGAAATTCCTTAGTTTTTCTCAATTTTAAATTTTTTTTATAATTTAAACACTTAATTATAATAGTAAAACTAAAAGAATGTTATTTAACCATTGATAAACAATTAATAATTTTTCAATTGATTATACATTTAGGGCATTTATAATTTTTCAATTGATTATAAATTTAGGGCATCTATAATTTATAATCAATTATAAATTCCTGCATTTTTGCCAATAATGCAACTTTTTATAGTAAAAAAACTATATATATATATATATATTTAATTTATATTTATTTTTAAATAAATAATTTTTTATTTTTTATCAGTAGATTTTTTTTCCATAAAAAATTGCACGATTGAAAAAACTTTAAATTTCTAGCCCTAAGTACCGTTTATGAAAAAAATAACAACAATTAATTATTGTTTAAAAAATGTTTAATTAATTTATTTTTTACCATTAGTAGATGATTTACTCATTGAAAAATTGAGAAATTGAGAGAAGACTAGAAATTTCTAGCCCTAACTACTGTTTATGAAAAAATAACAAAAATTAATTGTTTAAACAATTAATTAAATTGTTAGTTTTTTTCGTCCATAAGAAATACTTAAACATTATTTTAATATTATTTTTGATATTCCTCTGATATTCTCTTAGATTCCCGCGTAAAAGGACCGCTGCGCGTGACGTCACATACAAATCCCGTTCTGCTCAGGATAAACAATGTTTAAATAAGTCAGTTGTCCAAGCCGTGCCATTTTTTTTCTCAACGGAATATTACTCAGTGGTAATCAGAGAATAAGTACTATTTTTTTCATTTTGAAATTCGATTGAGAACATGGTTTTTTGCTAATTTGTTATAAATAAATAATTTGTTTATTTATTAAATCTCAATATTTTTTTACGAAAAAAATTTTATTCAAAACTTTGACTCAAATAAAAAAGAATGCCTCTTGAATCATTAAAATCGGTTAACAAGTTTCTTTTTAATTAATTTTTAAAAAAAAAGTGTCTGAAAACTTTAATTGTTTATAACAATATCAAAAATTTTTTTTTTGGCAAATCCTTTGACATAGTGTTTTTTTATGTAAAGCACTATAGAAAAAACAACATTTTGTCCAAAAATAAATTTTTTGAATTTTAGGTGGCACGTTTCAAAAATTCTTACTCAATAGGTACAATTTTAATCAAATTCCTCGAAAAATGTAATTATTCTTAAAAATTTTATGAAAATTCGTGAAAAGAATTCAATTATTTAAAAATTTGTTAATAAAATTCTATATATGAGATTTCAATTTTAAGAAACATTGAATTATTTAATAAATTACTTATTTTTATATTTCAATAATTGAATTCTCGTAGAATTTTCTAATCAAATTTATTTGGAAATGGATTTTAGTTAAAATTTTAGCTAATAATTGAATATTTATTAAAAGCCTTATAGCGTGATTTTTTTTTTTTGTAAATAATTGAATGTTGAAAAGGTTTCAAATTAAAATCTTTGAAAATTTGAATTTTCCATACTTTTAATTAATAATTCTGTCGAATTAATTTTTTTGAAAAAGTTTAATAGAATTTTTTTTGTTGAAATTATTTGAAGTTTTTATTTTCTAATACCTATAGTATATTTAATTGAGAAGAATTTTCGAATAATCGAACTTTTTGGTGAAATTGAATTGCAAACAAATGAATTTAGAAATTCTCAAAAAGAACTTTTTCAAAAATTAATAAAAATCATTGATTTAAAGAAAAATATTGTTAAAGATTCTAGAAAATAATAATGGAATTAAAATGATGAAAATAATTTTGAAGAAGTTACTGTAATACTATTTCTATAATAGAAAATAATTATTTTATCACTTGGTCATTTTTAATTATTATAAAACAATAAGAAAGCGATCACTCCGAGTCGAAGACTCGGAGTAATCGGTTTCTTCTTGTTTTCTAATAATATTCTTATAAGTTGTTGAATTTCAAAAAGATTTGAATTTAAATGTTTTGAAAAATTTTAATTCCTACGGAATAATAATAATGATTAAATATTTATTTTGAATAAAATTTGAAAACTTGATGTTTTCGAATAATTTTCCAATTTAAGAAATTCGTATAATTAAATGTAATTGTAGAACATTTTTTTGAGTATCTAATATTTTTTAGAGTGAATCCAAATATTCCTTATGATCAGGGAAAAAAGTCAAAATTTTGTCTGAAAGTCAGAGAAAAGTTAGGGAAAAACAAATTTTAATTTTTGTAGCAACCCTTCCCTGGTATTTTGAGTAAAAAACAAATAAATCAGAAATAAAAGTTGTGAACAAATCACCTTACGAAAAATGTATTTTAATGGTTTTCTACTTTGGATCGAGAAGTATTTTTATTGTTGTTAATGATTTTATATTGTATTATTTTTAGATTAATTGGCTCGAAATGATTCAGGCCTTATTCAATAATACTGATATCGTAATTGATGAATCGGAAGAAATAGCTCTACTCGATAAACCTTATATTGATAAATTAGTTCAACTTTTGAAGCGTACACCTCAGAAAACCATTGGTGCGGAATAGTAATAAAAAAAATTTGTTTTTGTATATAGAAATAAGATAATGCTTCATATGTGTTTGTATAATATTAGGAGATTTAATTTTGTTTCAGTCAATTACATTCACTGGAGTTTTATAAGCGATGTTCTTAAATATTTGGACGAAACAACAAGACAATGGTTTTCCGAGACGGTCAACACTGCTATGGGTGTCACCAAAGATTCAGAAAGGTGTCAGACTTTGATTTCTTTTTTTTTATTATCAATCAGACAAAAAATGTTTTATGTGGTACATCTATGTAATAATTTTGTTATTTAAAATTTTAAATACAATTTGTCAATTTAAAATTTTAAACACAATTTGTCAATTCAAAATTTTAAATTCAATTTTTCAATTCTAAATTTGATATTCCATTTTCTGATTCAAAATTTCTAGGTGGGAGGATTGCTTAAGTAATATGCCTATCAAGGACGGAATGTCGATCGAATTCATCAAAAGTCAATTTCCTGATATGACAAAACAAACTGTAAGTTATATTTTTTGTTTATTAATTAATAAAATTAATTTCTTATTACATAATATAATAAGATTTGATATAATATTGGTCAAAATTAAAATGAGAGTGATTACGTAAAAAATTTGTATTTTTACAACGATTTTGTAATAATAATAATATGAGAAAATTTTAATTTCTTACAGGCGAGAGACATGGCCGAGGAAATCCGTAAGGAGATCGATACAGAAATTTCGCGGGCCAATTGGATGAATAGCGAAACTAAAACATTGGCAAGGAATAAACTTAAGTTAATGGATGTTCTTATTGGTTATCCAGAATGGTATTCTTCGACAACTGATATGAACGATTATTATGATGGGGTAAGAATATCATCAAAATTTAGAAATATCATCAAATATCATCAAAATTTAATTTTTCACAAAAAATCCATTAATTTAAATGAAATTAATTTCATTTAAATTAATGGATTAATCATTAATGATTGAATTTAATAATTAAATTTAAACTTTAATATTAATGCCACCTTTAAAAAAAATTTAATTATTTTATAATACCATTTTAATTGATATAAGCGAGTAAAACAAATTATTAATTTTTATGATAAAAAATCTTTTTTTTTTTTGCAGTTACAAATTGGACCGGATTATTTTGAGAATGCAATTAATTACTTCAAGTTTATAACACGTAATACAATCAAGACTTTTAGGGAACCATTTGACAAAAATCAGTAAGATAACAATAAATAATTTAATTATAATATTAGGCATTATATATTTTTTTAAAATTATGTTGATTGATTGGATCAAGCAATAAAAACTATTTTCTAAAGTTTCAAAAAGTTTACGTCATATTTCGAACTTTTAAAACACTGAGTAATTATTATTATTAGAAATATCTACATTTGAAAAATAATTCTTTCATTTGAGCTTTGAGGTTTTTGTCAAAATCTTTAGGATTTTATTTTTACAGATGGCTTATGTCACCAATCACACCAAATGCCTATTACCTTCCACCAACGAATACTCTGAGTGAGTTAAAATAAATTTACATTTATTTGCGTAGAACCTAAAGTCCTAAATATTAAAATTGCAACAAAATTTGACAACATTATCTTTGATATTCCATAATATTATTTCAGAAATTTTTAATAAATTAGAAATATTAGAATACTGAGGCAATGTTATCAATATTTTTTGCTGAAAGTTTTGGTGCCTTGGAATTTAATAATAATTATGTATTTAGCCGTTCCAGCCGCACAGCTTTTGATTCCAATATTCCATGCGAATGTACCAGAGTAAGTATTTTTGTATCATTTGACTATACAGGGTTACCACAAAAATTAATTTTTTTCCGAGTTTTCCCTGATTTCCAAACAAAATTTTTCCTTTTTTCCTGACAATAAAGAATATTCTGATTCACTCCGAAAATAATTCGTTACTCAAAAAAAATTCTATTACATTCCTTAACGAATTTTTTTAATTGTAAAATTATTCGAAAACATCAATAACTTATTTTTTTAAATAAATATTTATTCATTATCTTTCCGTGGGAATTAAAATTCCTCAAAACATTCAAATTCAATAAGCTTTTTAAAATTCAACAATTTAGGAGAATATTATTAGAAAACAAGAAGAAACCGATAACTCCGAGTCTTCGACTCGGAGTGATCGGTTTCTTCGTGTTTTATATTAATTAAAACGGACCGAGTGATAAAATCGTTATTTTATTTTATATTATAATAATATTATTACTGTAAATTTTTCAAAATCATTTTCATCATTTCAATTCAATTATTATTTTCTACAATTTTTAACTAAAATTTTTATTTAATTCAATTATTTTTATTAATTTTTGAAAAAGTTCTTTTTGAGAATTTTTAAATTTATTTGTTTACAATTCAATTTTACCAAAAATTTCGATTATTCGTAAATTCTTCAATTAAATATATATTAGAAAATAAAAACTTCAAATAATAATTGCAAAAAAGATTCTATTAAACTTTTATAAAAAAATTAATTCTACAGAATTATTAATTAAAAGTATAAAAAATTCTAATTTTCGAAAATTTTTATTTGAAACCTTTTCAATATTCAATTATTTCCAAAAAGATTTACGCTACAATGCTTTTAATAAATATTTAATTATTAGCTAAAATTTTAACTAAAATTCATTTTTAAATAAATTTTTATTAGAAAATTCTACCAGAATTCAATTATTTAAATGGAAAAATAAGTAATTTATTATATAATTGAATGTTTCTTAAAATTGAAATCTCGTATAGAATTTTATTAACAAATTTCTAAATAATTGAATTTTTTTCACCTATTAAAAATAATTAAAATTCTGTACCTAATTAGTATTATTATTTATGAAAATCATGAAAATAATTGAATTATTGCGTAGAAATTTATAAAAAAATTTGTAAATAATTGAATTATTTTGGAAAATTTTAATAAAATAGTAGATTACATTTGTCCAGAAATTTGATTAAAATTGTACCTATTAAAAATAATTCAAATTCTGTAATTAGTTTCATTATTGATGAAAATAATTGAATTATTGCAAAGAAATTTATAAAAAATTTGTAAATAATTAAATTTTTTTGGAAAACTTTATTAAAATAGTAAATACTGAAAATCATTGAATTAAGGAACATTTTTTATAATAATTGAAATTTTGTCAAGAATTTTATTAAAATTTTTGAAAATAATTGAATTTCTAAAAAGAATTTTTTCTATTCATAAAAATAGTTTAATTCTTTTGAAAAATTGTATGAAAATAGCAGATATTAAGAGTCATTGACTTGAGGAAAATTTGAGAAAATAATTGAAACTTTGTTAAGAATTTTATTAAAATTTTTGAATTTTAGAGAATAATTACATTACTTTTGAAAATAATTGAAATTTTTACTCAATTTTTTTTGTAATTTTTGAACATAATTGAATTTTGAAAAAGAATTTTATTACTTTTGTAAATAACTTAATTTCTAAAAAGAATTTCATTATTTATGAAAATAATTGAATTCTTTTGGAAAAATTGATTAAAATTTTTGAAATTAATTTAATTTTGGAGAATAATTTCATTCTTTTTGAAAATAATTGAAATTTCGACTAATTTAAAAAAAAAAATTTTGAACATAATTGAGTTGCTAAAAAGAATTGTAAAATTTATGAAAATAATTGAATTCTTTTGAAAAATTTTATTAAAATTTTTTAAAATAATTGAGTTTTGGAAAAGAATTTTATTACTTTTGTAAATAATTGAATTTTATCATTTATGAAAATAATTGAATTTTGGAGAATAATTTCATTACTTTTAAAAATAATTGAAATTTTGACTAAATTTAAAAAAAAAATTTTGAATATAATTGAATTTTAGCGAAGAATTTTGTTATTTATAAAGATAATTTAAATTTTGAAATAATAATTTTATGATATTTTTTAAAGAGTTAAGTTATTAAAAAAGAAATTATTGTTAGATATAGAAAATATTTAAGTTTTTGTATTAGAATTCGTGGTAATTTCACAGTTTATAAGACAAACAAAAAAGACACCATAATTCAAAATTTTCTTATGAATTCTAAAAATTAAATTTTTTCCAGTACTTTTATAAAAAACCCTGACTTTTCCCTTATTTTCTTGGCCTGTGGGAACCCTGTATTATTGCTTTTTAAATAAATTAGGGTAAATGCTTTAATTAATAATATAAATATACAGAGAAATATTTTAATATTTTAGCAATAACTGTTCTGTTAAAACTGTTTTTAAAAAATTGTTCTTTTTTTCAGTGCTTTAAATTATGGATCTGTTGGTTTTATTATCGGTCACGAAATGTCTCATGGATTCGATATCACTGGTACGTCTCCAGTACATTAATACTGTTCATGCAAATTTTTATATTTTTTTACTCTAATTTAAATTTATTCAACTATTATCATTATTAGAACTATTTATGTAATGCATTAATTAATAATTAATAATTATCAGGACGAAAGTATGATGGAAATGGAAATGTCATTCCCTGGTGGTCAAGCAAAATGATTCGTGAATATGAGAAGAAGGCTAAATGTTTTGTGGACCAATTTAATGACTACAATGTAAATTAAAATTTAATTATAATAAAATTTAATTCTCAAATTATGTTATTAAATGGAATAATAAGAACATTTATATTTTAATAAGAAAATATATTCTTAATAAATAATTTTCTTTTATGTTAATTAGGTAGACGGAAAACTAACTCAAGGTGAAAATATCGCCGATACTGCAGGTTTGAATGCAGCTTACGGAGCTTATGTGCAAAAAATAAAGAAAGACAAAATTAAAGATCAAACATTACCAGGATTGGAGAATTTAGATTCAAAGCAACTATTTTTTGTTTCTTTCAGTGTGGTACGTTTCTAATTCTAGACACAATGAGAAAAACTATAATTATCAAAAATAAAAAACATTCTAAAATCTGAATTATTAAAAATTACATTGATTTTAATTCAGTTGACTACTTTTCTTTGATGAATCAGTAGAATTAAAGAAAATTTAATTTAAATTAGTAAAACTGTTTAATAATTTAAAATTAGTGACTGACTTTTTCCTTTCGAATTAGTAAATTTTACTGGTAAAATAGTAGAAATGACTACATATTTAGTAATATTTTACTATTTAGTACTATTTTAGTAAAATTTTTCTCATTCAAAAGCAAAAAGTCAGCCACTAATTAAAATTAGTAAACAATTTCATCAATTCAAATTTTAGAGAGTAGAGGGTAAATGTATTTTATACACAAAATTTTAATTTGATTCTATGTATAATAGTAAATTTTGATTTGATTTTTGATTATAGGCATTTTGTCAGAGTGCAACGCAAAAATTTTTAGCGAAAGTTGAAACTGATGTACACACAAAATCATCTGCTAGAATTAATGGAGCTGTGGCAAATGTTAAAGGATTTAGTGAAGCGTTTAAGTGTGGAAAAGATAAAAAATGCACGCTATGGAGTTGATTGGACTATCAACTTTATATCATTAATGTGATAATATATAAGCGAAAATTAAAAAAAATTTTTTTTAAATAACTAAAAACTTGATTCGTCGAAATATGTTTTTGATCTTCGTACAAGTTTTCAACAAAAAGTTTCTATTTTTATTATTATTGTACAATAATAATTTACAATTGTATATGTCAACTATTAAAGATAAGTGTTTTCTAACAAAAGGAATGTTGAGAATTTTAATTTACAACCTTTGAAAATATTGAAAAGTTTCAATTCTTCCTGTAAATTTTTTTTGTCTTATAAACTTTGAAATCACGACGAGTTTGTAATAGTCTTAAATTTTTTTATTTCTGATCAACAATTGAACTTGAGAGAATATGAAATTAAATTTATTTAAAATAATTTAATTCTTCAAAAACTTTTTTAAAATTATTTTCAAAATTTCGTAAAATTATTAATTTAGGGAATAATTTTACTGAAAAAATCCAAACTAATTTAATTTTAGAAGAGTTGTGTTTAGAATTTTTATAAATATTTGAATTTCAAAAGGTTTCAAATTGAAAGTCTGGAAAATTTAAATTGTAAATAATTTTCATTAAATATTTTAAAGAAGTTAGTTTTTTAAAGCTTTTTGTTTAAACTTTTAAACTTTTTTGAAATTCGTTGAATTTTTTAATATTTAACAATTGAAAAATTTTCGAATAATCAAAATTTATTAAAATTGAATTTTTAACAACAATTAATAACTGAGTCATTTTCAGACGGATTATCAGTAATATTCAACTGATTAAAATTAATTAATTATTTAATTATAATAAATAATTATTTAATTAGGGTAAACAATTAATTATTTAATTATAATGAAGAATTAAGTAATCAAATATTAAATTAAACAAAAATAGTTACAACAATAAATAATAAAAATTAAATAAATTAGAATAATTACTATAGGTATAAAAGAGTTACTCAAAATTAGACAAATTGATACTAAGAATCCATTTGATTCTTAGTCGAATTTCACTGATTCTAATTTAAAAATTCAAATTCTAATTTATCAGCTTTTTTCATTGTATGCCTTAATTATAATATTTAATTATTTAAATTTTTTTAACTTTCTTCTGAATTGAATTTGTTCATCGAAAGAATCTTTTATTGTCACTTATCATTACGTAGAACAATTTTAATAAAAAAACATATTAAATTCAATTAAAAATTCTACAGATAAAGAGTGTAATATTCTTTTGCGACTTCAATAAGTGTTTGGAGAATTGAATAAGATTTTTATATTGTATATAGAATAAATAATGCTTATTATTGCTTGCTAATGTATTCAAAATGTATGAAAAAAAATGTGTTAATAATTTATCTATTCTGAATAAGTCATATATAAAGTACAGTGATTTTTGTACAAATTTAACATTATTTTTCAAATTGATAAGTTTCTGCAGACAAGATCATTGACATAGTTTAAGAGAATTTATATTATTTCGTGGTATTGAGAGAATATGTTAATTCAACTTTTATTGTAAGTGTGACGAAAGCAGTGATTTTTTAAGAAATGTATTTTGTTTTTATTTGTAATTAAATAATTCATATTAAAATTTTTATATTTGAAATTAATGATAATTGATAAAACAATTTATAAATTTTTGTAAATTTAGAAAATTTTTCCTGTATTTACTTACTGAAACAACTGTATCAAGAATAATGAAAAAAATTAATCTATTTTTTCTATTCTTTATTCTTATTTCATTTTATACGAAATCCCACCAAAAATCAGTGAATTTTGATTTATTTTTCAGTGATTAAAATTCAGAATTATTTAACTGATTCAGTTTAAGAATTTTTAGTTTCGTATTTTTTAAATATATATACTTTAAATAAAAAGAATTTTATAAATTTTTAGAATTACTTTTGCGTTTGTCGTTGATGTCGAATTATATGTTTTGAATAAATCAAATAATGTCTGTGATTCGGAGGAATGCAGGAATGCAGGTACGTATCACTGCGCAATGAAGACAAATTTATATTATTCAAATAAAAAATCTAGTGTGTTAATTAGAGGAAAGAAAGTTTGTTTATATTTTTTGTTACTAAGACAATAATCTATTTTGTTTTATCAAATAATTAATATTTCTTATAATTAATAATCTTTTATAAATATGCGACTATTGCTGTTTTCCCTAAAATTAAATCAGTAAAATTTGACTTATTTTCCGTGATTTGAATTCGACGAATGCAATCTGTAAAATATTATTGAAAATCAGTCTTAGAATGACTAAAAAATATTATTATTCTTTTTAATTAGCAAATCTCATCATAAACGGTATAAATAAAACGGCAGATCCGTGCAATGATTTTTATAATTATGCTTGTGGTTCATATCCCACCAATTATCCTGTTCCTGAAGGAAAATTATTCTGGGATAACCGTCAAAGAGTGACGAAAGATGTTCGGGATGCATTGATAAGTAAGTTTTTATTTTAGTGTATTATAAAATTATAAAAATAATTAAGTATTCACTGGATTAGAATAAAGAAAATTCTTTTTCTTTATTGAATTGAAATACAGAAAATAAATTAGAAATTTTAATAGAAAATTAGAAATATAATTCAATTATAATTAGATAATAAATTGAAATAAAAATTCAGAATATTTGTAATTCTTCACCAGTATTTAAAAAAATTATCAAATTATACAAACCGAAATAAACTTTTTATTACAATTCAAACACCGAAAAGTGTATTTGATGCAAATTTAACTAAAAAAATCTGTTCTTTTCTTTTTTTTCTGTAAAATAATCCAAATAAAAATTTATTGCTCTTTTTATTGACATAAGTTTTGTATAGGTACAAGATGAATTTTTGATTTTTATAAAATGATATGAAAAGATTTTGAAAAAAAGGTTAATATTTATTCTGTTTATAGAAATTCTGCAAGAAGAACCAAAACCCGAAGACAGTGTTCCATTGTCTATAGAAAAGAAATTGTTCAAAGCCTGTATGGACGAAGGTTAGTTTATTATCTCTAAATTTGAATCTGTAACAAATCGTCCACTAATTTAAATTAGTAAAATTTTCCACTAATTAATAATTATACTGTAAGTATTATTTTAAATAATTTAATTCTTATAGTAAACTTTTATTATTTTATTTATTAGTTTTCATTTTTCTTCTGAAATTCCAGAAACAACATAATTCCTAAGACTTTTATGGTAGCAATCCGTTTAGAATTAAAATTTAACTGCAGTTTTTAATAATAATAATTAATTAGTATTAATAATTAATTATAATTGCACTTTTTTGCAAATAGTATCATTTACCAATTACTATTAATAAATAATTAATTATAATAATTAATTATAATTTTGCTATTATAGAAAGAATTGAACGAAAAGGTATAGAAGGACTCTCGAAAATCATAGAAGGTTCAGGTGGTTGGCCAATGGTTATGGAAGAAAATAAATGGAAGGAGGCAGATTTTCCCTGGCAGAAAGTTATGCAAGGATATATTCAGCAAGATGTTAAAACTCCGTTTTTTGGGATAGGTTTTACTCCAGATTCGAAGAATTCCAGTATTAAACGTATAGCCGTAAGGGAAATTTATTCTCACAGAAGGAATTCTATATTTATGTGCACGGAAAAAATAATTCAGTAAATTTTACAGAAGACTGTACAAAATTTTTTCAATTGTCTTTTCTCGTGCTCTGTAAATATGAATAAGTTAAAAATAACTGATGTTTCAGTAAATTTTTTTTTTTTTTTGATTGATTTTTGATTTTGAATCTTTTTAGTTAAAGAAGTCAAAAGGTGGCGACTTTTTAGAACATGAAATGTTTAAAAGAATATTTAAATCATTTGAAGATGAATTTGGCGATTTTATTACATATTTTGTAGTACTCGAGAATATTCTTCAATTGCCAGGGTATTATGCAAGGAATACTCCAAATTACACTTATGATGGAGAATTTAATGGAAAATCTCAAATTATGTTGTCCTTCATGAGTGAATTCAACTCGGTAAGGCTGCAATGCTTTTTAATAACTCAAATCGTTTACTATGATAGTATAATGATATTATGATAATATAATATTAATATTATATAGAATATTATATTAATATTATAAAATAATAAAAATATTCTAAATTAATATTCTAATTTAATATTATATTATTAATATTATAAATTTATATTATAAATTAATATTATAAACAAAAATTCTAGATCGAAGCCTCCTATAGTGAAGAAGAAGAAAATAAAATGACTATTAGAGAATTCCAAAATTATTATGATCGTAATAATTCAACGAAAAATACATCGGAGGTATGAAAAATAATCTATAAACGCAGGGCTCGAACTAGGTCCGTAAATTCGCTTGAAGTCCGTAAAAGTTAGTTTTAAAAAAATGTCCTTAAAGTCCGTAATTTGATTGAGAAGAAACGAAAAGTTCGTAAATTGTACGATATAATTTGGTGAATTTTAGAGGTATTTTCAATGATTGCAAAAATTCGATTATTTTCAAAAATTAATAAAATTCATTGTAGAAATTCAATTATGTTAAAAAAATTTCAAAAATTCTCATCACAATTTCAATTATTTTTATAAATAATTAAATTCTTCTCTAAAATTCAATTATTTTCAATAACTTTAATAAAATTTTCAAAAAATTCAATTATTTAGAGAAATAACAAAATTCTTCAAAGGTATTCAATTATTTATACAAATTGTAAAATTTTATACAAGAATTCAATTATTTTTAATACAATTTTAATAAAATTTCATAAAAGAATTCAATTTTAAAAAAAAAATTTTAATAACATTTTTCGAGAGAATCCAATTATTATTCAATGATTTACAAATTTTTTCGCAATAAATTCAATTATTTTCATAAATAATAAAATTTTCACAGGGATTCAATTATTTTCGTAAATAATAAAATTATTTTTGGGAATTCAATTATTTTCATAAATAATAAAATTTTTTTCCAAAGATTCAATTATTTTCATAAATATTAAAACTCATAGTAGAATTTGAATTATTTTTAATACAATAAATTCTAATCAAATTCCTCGAAAAATGTAATTATACTTAAAAATTTTATTACAATTCTTCAAAAGAATTCAATTATTTGAACATTTATTGATATAATTCTTTATGAGAATTCAATTTTGAGAAACATTCAATTATTATTTATTCAATAAATTATTTATTTTTGTATCTAAATAATTGAATTCTAGTAAAATTTTTTTTATTAAAAATTGATTCAAAAATGGATTTTAGTTAAAATTTTAGATTATAATTGAATTTCAAAAGCATTAGAACGTGAATTTTTAAAATTAAAATCTTTAAAAATCTGAATTTTTCATATTTTTACCTAATAATTCTGTATGAATTAATTTTTTTGAGAAAGTTTAATGGCGGATTATTTTTTGAAATTATTTGAAGTTTTTATTTTCTAATATATATTTAATTGAAGAATTTACAAATAATTGAAATTTTGCAAAATTAAATTGTAAACAAATAAATTTTAAAATTTTCAAAAAGAACTTTTCCAAAAATTATTAAAAATAATGCATTTATAGAAGAATTTTATTTTAGTTAAAAAGACGAAGAAAAAAATTTAATTTTAAAAAAGTTACGAACTATTGCAGAAATTCAATTGTTTTCAAGAGTAATAATATTATTCCCAAAAATTAAATATTGTTCAAAAATAATAAAATTCTTCTTAGGGATTCAATTATTTTCAAAAAATTTAAATAATAAAACTCATCGCAGAATTTCAATTATTTTTAATACAATTTTCATCGAATTTCTCAAAAAATGTAATTATAGGCCAGTCGGTGAGTGCAAAAAGTGCACATAAGTGCAACCTGAAAAGTCGAAGCAGTTTCTTGTAGTTTGAGGGCCCCAAATAAGAGCCCCATAGTTTGCACCACATTTCCGGTTGCGAAAAATGGTGTAAACAATCGCCAAAGTTCGAAAAACATGGTTTTTCGATGACTGTTGCTTCCGGTTAAATTTTAGGGGAAAAAGTTGTGATTGAAAGTTATAGAGCTTGGAAATAGCTTTCAAATGATTGGTCGCAAGTTAAAAAAGCTTAATTAGTTTAGTTGCAAATGAATTTAAACCATTAAAAATAGCACTTTTTTAATTGTTTAATAACTTTGTTAATAATTATCGAATTTGTTTCTAACTTCCCAGAAATATTCCCCTTGCGAGGCTGAATAAATCCCAAAAAAATCAACTTGATCGGGTAAATAGTTTATGCATAATTCCATTTGTTAACTAAAAACATGTAATTTTTCAACGGAATTTCCCCACTTTTGGACCTGCGAATTTCGTTTTTTTTTCTTGGAGAGTACAGTTAAGGAGTCTAACTTTAATTCCATTTAAATGGGAAATTAATTTTTTTTATTTAAGTGCATAATAATAGACGTTAAAAAAGGGTATGTTTTTTTGACATAAACAAATGGAATAACTCGGCCAATTTTCACTTTATCGATTTCGTGTAAAGGGCATTTGATTTCATTTGTTTTCACAAAACTTTTCCAAAAAAAAATCCGATCTAACTTGAAGAGGTGGAGAGTTAACTTTTTTTAAAAAAAAAATTCCTGACAAGTTAATTATTAATGTTTTTTATTGAAATTCGCACCACTTACAGTTTGATACATGTATTTTATGTAAAAAAATTAAACATAAGGTTTTGTGCTTTTTTTTTTAATTTATAACAAGTAAAAGTAAATGTATCCATTTTTCAACCTCTGAACGGCGGAGTGGGGGTACTCGGAGGAGCGTGATTCTCGCCGCCACAACTGAATTCACCCGTTCAAATTTGCAAAAATGGTCATAACTTCGTTAATTATTTACCGATTTTTATCTTTCTTTTTTTAATTTGATGTATTTTTTTACGCCGAATCCAAAAATGATTTTATATGTTTTCAAATTACAATATTTTTAATAATAAAAAAGAAACATTTTTTAACAACAAATTTTTAATTATTATTTATCATATTTGACAAAAAATTCTTTTCGTACATATAATTCCATTGAATTTAAAATAATATTATGACATAAAAAAATTAAAATTAATTATATATAAGATTGTAGCATCAGGTTCACATATGCACGCCTGTTCAACTATCAATACAACAATGCTACACACTTATAAGTAAATAATTTTATTTTTTTTATGTCATAATATTATTTCAAATTCAATGGAATTATATGTACGAAAAGAATTTTTTGTCAAATATGATAAATAATAATTAAAAATTTGTTGTTAAAAAAAATTTTCTTTTTTATTATTAAAAATATTGTATTTTGAAAACATATAAAATTATTTTTGGATTCAGCGTAAAAAAATACATCAAATTAAAAAAAGAAACATAAAAATCGGTAAATTATTATCGAAGTTATGGCCATTTTTGCAAATTTGAACAGCTGAATTCAGTGGTGGCGGCGAGAATCACGCTCCTCCGAGTTCCCCCACTCCGCCGTCCAAGGGTTGAAAAAAATATTCAAGTACTTTCACTTGATATAAATGAAAAATAAAAGCACAAAACGTTAAGTTCAATTTTTTTTTATAAAATGCATGTTTTGAACTAAAAGTCGTGCGAATTTCAATAAAAAACATTAATAATTAACTTGTCAGGAATTTTTTTTTAAAAAAAAGTTAACTCTCCACCTCTTCAAGTTAGTTTGGATTTTTTTGTGGAAAAGTTTTGTGAAAACAAATGAAATCAAATGCCCTTTACACGAAATCGATAAAGTGAAAATTGGCCGAGTTATTCCATTTGTTTATGTCAAAAAAACATACCCTTTTTTAAGGTCTATTATTATGCACTTAAATAAAAAAAATCAATTTCCCATTTAAATGGAATTAAAGTTAGACTCCTTAACTGTACTCTCCAAGAAAAAAAAACGAAATTCGCAGGTCCAAAAGTGGGGAAATTCCGTTGAAAAATTACATGTTTTTAGTTAACAAATGGAATTATGCATAAACTATTTACCCGATCAAGTTGATTTTTTTGGGATTTATTCAGCCTCGCAAGGGGAATATTTCTGGGAAGTTAGAAACAAATTCGATAATTATTAACAAAGTTATTAAACAATTAAAAAAGTGCTATTTTTAATGGTTTAAATTCATTTGAAACTAAACTAATTAAGCTTTTTCAACTTGCGACCAATCATTTGAAAGCTATTTCCAAGCTCTATAACTTTCAATCACAACTTTTTCCCCTAAAATTTAACCGGAAGCAACAGTCATCGAAAAACCATGTTTTTCGAACTTTGGCGATTGTTTACACCATTTTTCGCAAACGGAAATGTGGTGCAAACTATGGGGCTCTTATTTGGGGCCCTCAAACTACAAGAAACTGCTTCGACTTTTCAGGTTGCACTTATGTGCACTTTTTGTACTCACCGACTGGCCTATTATTCTTAAAAATCTTATTGAAATCCGTCGAAAAAATTCAATTATTTTTTAATTTGTTGATAAAATTCTTTATGGGAATTGAATTTTAATTTTTAAGATACATTCAATTATTCAATAAATTATTTATTTTTTTAAGATATTTAAATAATAATAATTTAAATAATCGTTGAATTTTCTTTTAAAAATTGATTTAAAAATGAATTTTAGTTAAAATTTTCTATAATAATTAAATCAATATAGCTTAAATTTTTAAATTAATTTTTTTAAAAAAAAGTTTAATTGAATTTTTTAAATATTATTTTAAGTTTTTATTTTCTAATATTTATTTAATTGAAGAATTAATGAATAATTGGATATTGTAAACAAATGGATTTGAAAATTGTCAAAGAACTTTTTCGAAAATTATTAAAAATAATCGATATAAAGAAGAATTTTAGTTAAAAATTCTTGAAAATAATAATTGAATTGATAATGATTTTATCACTCGGTTATCTGTAATTATTATAAAACATGAAGAAATGGTCCGTAAAGTCCGTATTTTTAAATACTTTCACTGGTTCAAGCCCTGTATAGATACGAACTTTTTTTTTTTTTTTTTTTTTATTTAATTTTTCTTATTATCAATGTAGATAAACTGGCTTGAAATGATTCGAGCGTTTTCAAGAGGCTCTAAATTGAATATTGATGATTCTGAAGAAATTGTAATTATGGGGGATAAATCGTACTTTGATGCATTATTTAAACTTTTAGATAAAACCCCTCACGATGAGATTGGTAATTATTGTTATAATTATACAAATTTTGAAAAACATAATGTTTTACTTTCTTATTTTTAAGAAATTATTTTTTTTTAAATAATTTTTAAATTATTTTCTTATTTTTAAATTATTATTACAGTTAATTTTCTTATTACAGTTAATTATTTGCAATGGAATTTCATGACAAGCCACCTTCTGTATTCAAATAAATTCCTCAGAGATTTCGCCAACGGAATAGCACTAGCTATAACAAAAGTTCCACTAGTGCCTGAAAAAAGGTTTGTATCAAATTCGTAAACCCTCATAAAAATTAAAATTATTTGAATTAAAATAACTCTTAATTTTCAGAACCGAACAATGCGGAGATCAAATGTTGTTAACTGATGGAGTTTCAAAGGAGTATTTGAAACGAAGTTTTCCTATTAGTGTTTCTGAAACTGTAAGTGATGTAGTTAGAAAATTTCTTTTACTTATTATCCTATTATATGTGTTATAGTTTGAAATTAATTATTGTTAATTAATTTATTTTACTTTAATAAAAATTAATTTACTTTTAGGTTAAAGAAGCAGCCGAAGATATTCGCAATGAACTTGATAGTGGTATATCAAAAGCAAATTGGATGGATGCGACAGCAAAATTATTGACTAAAGAAAAATTGAGAGCAATGAAAATACACACCGGCTATCCTGCATATTATGACGAAAAAAATTTTAATAAGATTTACGACGGTGTAAGAATAATATTTAATTATAATATAAATTTTTAAACACGAAAAAGTCAGTTATTTAAATTTTTTTATTAATGTAGCTCGAAGTTGGCTTGGATCATTTTGATAATGTGATGAAAATTAAGGAATTTGAGAGAATTCTAGACGCGAATGAATTGAGAGAACCATTTAAAGGAAATGAGTATGTTTAATTTAGCATAACATTTATTCAATTATTGATGCGCAATATTATTTGCGTATTTAATATCATATAATATATCAGCAATGTTAGTAATATTGCTGCAAGTTTTTTTTTTTTGAATAATATTAATAATAAGAATATTTATTTTTTCAGGTGGTTTATGGAACCTCTGGACGCTAATGCTTATTATTATCTTGCTGGCAACAGTTTAAGTAAGAAATTCGAATTTTTGAAATTTTATATTATTTTATGATGCTAATGAATTTCAAAAAATTAGATTTATATTAAAAATATTTTTTTCTTTATCAGCCATTCCAGCCGGAATCTTATTTCCTACAATTTATAATAACAAAGAGTTAATGTAAGTTGTGAATAATAATAATTATACAATATTAATTATTAGTGTTGTTATTATTATTATTATTATTATTATTATTATTATTATTATTATTATCAAATTTTTAAAAATTAAAAAAAACATGTATTGCATTAAAAATAGGTTATCGAATTATGGTTCTTTTGGATTTGTTATTGGACACGAAATGTCTCACGGTTTTGATACGAATGGTATTTATTATCAATTTTAATATTAACAGTAATTAACTATATTAATTTGAATGTTCTTTCATTCTTTCATTCATTCACTTTTTCTGTCCCTCACACTCTGAAGTTGTCTTTTATTTATACTTTTGTTTTTTGTTAACATCAGAAAGATTGTATACATATTATATTATTATGTTATAATTATTTTTATTTTATAATAATTAATTCAAAATTTTAATGAAAAATAGAAATCATCAGAATTTTTTTCACATCTTTTCATTAAAAGACTAAAATTTTCTTAAATATTATGTTTTGTCAAATTGAAATTATTTTTGTTCTTTACTTCTAAAGAAAATTAGAAACTTGTTAAACAACTGTGATTAAAAAATAGAAAATTTATTTATTTTGCATTATTTTTGTTTATGAGTCACAATTTCTTTAAACAAAATTATTATTTTGTTTTAGAAAAAGAAGAAAAAAATTTGCACAAATCTCATTTTTAATTTTTTTTTTTTTTTTGAACAGGATTTACCACAGGAATTTGTTATAAAACATGAAGAAATCGATCACTCCGAGTCTTCAACTCGGAGCAATCGATATCTTCATGTTTTATAATAATTAAAGATGATCGAGTGATAAAATCATTATTTTATACTATAAAAATATTGTTACTGTAACTTTATCAAAATTATTTTCATCATTTTAATTCAATTATTATTTTCTAGAATTTCAAATTATTTTTTATGAAAATAATAATTAAATTCCTTAAAAAAATTTTATTATTTATGAAAATAATTAAATGTTTGCACAAAATTTTATTAAACTTTTTTTTAAATAATTGAATTCTTTTTGGGAAATTTTATTAAAATAGTAAATATTGAAAATCATTAAAATTAGAAAATTTGTTAAAAATTATTGAAATTAGGACAAGAATTTTTTCTTCAAATAATTGAATTTCTGCAATTATTTGAAAATTCTATTATTTTTATTAAAAAATTTTTTCGAAAAATTGAATTTTGTTTTTAAATCAGATTTTTTATTTTATAAATATATTTTAATAAAATTTTTTTAAAATAATTGCACTTTTCGTGGAATTCATTTAAAATTGTATGAAAAAATAATTGAAATTCTACATTGTATTTTATTATTTATAGAAATAATTGAATTTTTGCATCGATTTTAATTGAAAAAAAAAATTAAATTCTTCAGAAAAATGTTATTATATTTAGAAAATTAATTGAATTCTTGCCCAAAAAATTGATTAAAATCTTTGGAATCATTCAAATTTTGCAAACAATTTTATTATTTTTGAAAATAATTTAATGTTTCAGAAGAATTTTATTATTTTTATGAAATTAATTGAATTCTTTTCAAAAAATTGATTAAGATCTTTGAAATAATTGAATTCCTCACAAGAATTTTCTTACTTATGAAAATAATTGAATTTTGTTAAAATTTTAAAAAATAATTGAATTTCCCTGAAAAATTTAATTATTTATAAAAAAAATTGAAATCCCCTGAAAAAAATTTACTTATTTATAAAAATAATTGAATTCTTTACAAGAATTTTATTATTTTTTGAAACACTTGAATTCGTCAGAAGAATTTTATTATTTATGAAAATAATTGAATTTTTGTAAAGAATTTTTAAAAAATTTTAAAAAATAATTGAATTACCTAGAAAAATTTAATTATTTATAAAAAAAAAAATTACATTCTTTACAAGAATTTTGATAAAAATCTTTGAAATAATTGAAATTTTGTAAAGAATTTTATTATTTTTGGAAATAATTGAATTCTTAGGAAAAATTTTAATATTTTTTATATTAATTGAATGTTTGAGAAGAATTTTTTAACATTTTTTTTTTTTTTTAATAATAGAATTGTTTTGTGAAATTTTAGTAAAATAGTAATTAAAATTTGAATAATTTTTGGGAAATTTTATTAAAATAGTAGATATTGAAAATCATTAAAATTAGAAAATTTTTTGAGAATTATTAAAATTAGGACAATAATTTTTTTGACGTTTATGAAAATAATTGAATTTTGGAGAAGAATTTTGTTATTTATAAAGTCAATTGGGATTTTTACGAGAATTTTTTTAAATTTTGAACATATTTAAAAAAGGTAGTAAGAAGTTAGCCGCACGCTTTAGCGCGCGAATTGTTTGCTAGTTATAATTATTTTGTCAATTCTACAGAATTGAGATATTATTAAAATTAAAATTAGAAAATTAATACTTTTCTAATATCTTTTTTGTTTATTAACAGGGTACAAGTATGACAAACAAGGTAATGTCGGTTCTTTGTGGTCCGATAAAGTTGAGAAGGAATTCAAGAAAAAGGCCGAATGTTTCGTAAAACAATACAATAATTATGGGGTAAATTTAATTGAATTATTTGAGATACTATTTTCATATTATTAAATTTTATTGTTATAGATGTTAGTAATAATTATTTTCAATTAATAATTTATATTTTCTATTAATAGGTAAACGGAGAATTGACACAATCCGAAAATATTGCCGATGGCTTAGGACTCAATGTTGCTTATGCAGCATTCCTCAAAAAAGCAGAAAGATTCAGAGATATTAAATTACCAAATTTGGAAAATGTTACTCCAAATCAATTGTTTTTCTTGAATTTCGCCAATGTAGGTTTTAACATTTTTTTTTTAATAATAATTCTATTTTTTATCTGAAATTATCTATAGTAAGAGAATGAGCTTTCTCATAAGGGAGCTCTGTTTATATTTTTTTATATCAGTAATATTTTTTCTGGGCTCTTTTTTGTCTCTAAAAAGCCAGAATTAAAAAAAATTCTAAACAAGAAATTTTTATATTGTTACAGAGTTTTTGTGAAAGTACGACTAAATTTTATGATAAAGAATCTGAGAAAGATGTTCATACGAAAACGTCTGTGAGAATAAATGGAGCCGTTGCTAATGTTAGAGGATTTGCTGAAGCTTTTCAATGTTCGGGAAATAGTCCTATGAATCCAATCAAAAGATGTATTGTTATGGAATAATTATTTATTTACAGGAGGAAAGAAAAAAAATTTCTATTTACAAAAAATAAATGGAATTATATGAAACTTTAATTGTAATTATATAAATAAAAGATGTTTTGATTCTTCTGTTTGGCCTCATGGCCAAACAGAAGAATCAAAACATCTTTTATGGCTTCGAAAAATATTGAATTTAATTGTAATTAATACTATACCAATAAAGGTGGTTTTTACTATATTTCACTAATTATGATGATCATTATTTTCTGTACTGTTCTCATTTCTCAAAAATTTTCTTCTTTTACTGTAGTTCATTTTTTACTATGTAATTTATTAATTTCCATTAGGAGATAAATTATTATTTAATATAATTCAATGTATTTAATAATTCTATGTATTTATTTAATAAAATAAATTTACGAAATCGAAAAATTTCATGGCAGACTGCTATTTGCGTGCAACGTCTTTGACTTACATAAACGGAAGGAATAGGTAGAAATTTAGGTGATGACTAAACCATTCATCATGTGTAATGAGCGACAAGTCGATTCTCTCAGTTTCTCGTATAAAGTTTTAGTCAGTAACCAAGCAGAACCATGATAAACAACACTTTATTGTAAGTTGTAACTTGTAAATAAATTTCATCTCAAACATATTATAAACTATTTAAAAAAAAAAAATAAAAAAATTATGGTGCATTCTTTCAGAATACTTTCATCATTGAATGTCACTGTATGTGAAACTGAAAGTTGTAAAGATGTTGGTAATATATATTTTTACTTTTGATAAAATTAAATTTTACAATCATTTCAATGACTTTTTTTGCAATGAGAAAACAATAAATATGTTTGAATCGAACAGTTGTACAGTTAACGAAAAATTATTAGTTGTTTTAGTTTTCATGAAAATGTGACATGAAATTTTTTTTTTTGTTTAGCTAATTTATTTTTGTCGTCGATGAATAAAACGGCTGATCCATGTGAAAATTTTTATGAATACGTTTGTGGTTCTTGGTCCAATGTGTGTCCAATAAGTGAAGAGCGTTCAACGTGCACTATAGATACGGAATTTGAAGATGCGATTCAACAAAGCTTGCAAGGTAGACAAGAAAAATTTAGAAACAACAAATGAATACAAAAAGAATTAAAAATACAATAAAATTCGAATTGAATTATATTATTTTAATTTTATTATTTATTTTTAATTTTTTTTTAAGGTTCAATATTTTTTTTTGTACCAAAATTTTGTTTTGGGTCATTTTTTCCCAAAAATTGTAAAATTCTTTTCTAAAATTAAAAGCTCATTTTCTTTCCTTGTAACTTGATTAACCGTCGGCTGGTTTTTTTCTGCAAATAAAAAAAAATAATTGTTTCTAGAAATTTTGGAAGATGACGCTAGAGACAGTGACAGTACAGCATTGACACTAGAAAGAAAGTGGTATAAAGCGTGTATGGATGATGGTAAAATTGAAAATTTATTTTTGAAATTTCCAAAAACACTTTTGTAGAATAGAAAAATAAAATTTTAATAATTGTTTATTTACATTAGAAAGGTTAAGAGAAAATGGTTTTGCACCTGTTGCGAAACATATAGATAATAATGGAGGTTGGCCATTGGTAATGAATTCTACGGAATGGAAAGAAGAAGAATTTCCCTGGCAAAAAGTCGCTCAATATTATGCAAAAATTTCCGGAAAATACAGTTTATTTACAATTAGTCAGTTCCTAAATCCTAATAATACTGAAAACAAGATTATAATGGTATTTAAACTTTATTATTTAAATATTTCATAATATTCTTCATTTTTTTCATAATATTACAGTTTTTATACAAAATAATTTTTTTTTCTTTCTAAAAAGAGGAGAAAAGAAATAAATTTGGACCAATTATATTTCTCAATCACAAATTCTTAAAAAAAATATGATATGTTGAGAAATAAAGAAAAAAACTTGTTATAAATTCAATTAAAATTTGTAATTTATAGTTGAAACAGAAACTGAGAAGTTGATTTTTACGAAAAGGAGGAAAACCAATTTTATCATTTTTATTTGTCAATCATAATTTTTGTTTTTCAAATTTTTAGTTTCTTTTGAAAAAAAATTGCATAATTACTTATTTCTAATTATGATTTTTGAGAAAATTCTCATTTTTTAGAAATAAAAAATATTGACATAATTTTGTGTTGTACTGATATAATTAAAATTTTATCCATAAAAATTAAAAACACTGTGATAATAAATTTTTTGGTACAATTATCTAATTTTTCTATTAATTTTTTTTTAAATTTAATAATGAAAATAAATGAGAACATAAATATTGCATAATTTTAATTAATGATCAATTCTATTTTTTCAATAACAGACTTAGAATGTGCACGCGCGCTTTAGCACGTGTATTTAATGCTATAGATTACTTGTCTATTATCAAATAAATATTTATTTGAATCAAATAGTTTTTATTGAATTTAAAATCAAATAAATTGTATTTGAATCAATAATTTCATTATTTGAGGCAAATAACATTTAATTGATTTAAATAAAAATTGACTCAATAAGTAAATATTTATTTGATAAAAAACAAGTAATCGTTTATTTAAACCAAATAATTTTTTTTCAGTGCAATAAATATTAATAAATATTATATTATTCTCATAAATTATAATCAATTTTTTTAAAACGATTCAAAAATTTTCAAAAAATATTCGAAACTCAATTATTTTCAATTTCTAGTATTTCCATAAAATTTTCAAAAAGAATTCAATTATTTAAAAAAAAATTGATAAAATTCATCTAAAATTCAATTATTTTCATAAATAATAAAACTCATTGAAGAATTTCAATTATTTTTTATACTATTTTAAATTAATTAATCGAAAAATTCAATTATTTTCATAAATAAAGTTTTTTACGAGAATTCAATTTTATTTAAAATAAAATTTTCATTATAATATTCATTATATTTCGAAAAAATTAATTATTTAGAACAATGTTTATAAAATTCTTACGAAGAATTCAATTATTTTCAAAAATAACAAAATTTTTCACAGAAATTCAATTTTTTTAAACATTTTAATAACATTTTTCGCAATATTGCAGGATTTAAATTCTTTTTAATACAATTTTACAGGAATTGTTCAAAAAAATGTTATTATTTAAAAAAATTTAATTTTAATTCCTCTAAAAAGTCAATAATTTAAAGAAATGTTTTTTTGAAATTGTTTGGAAGAATTCAATTATTTGCATAAATAATTCTTCAAAAGAATTCAATTTTTTTTTATTTTTTGAGGCATTTTTAATAAAATTCTTTGCAAAATTCAATTATTTTCATAAATAACAATGTTCATTAAAAGAATTTAATTATTTTTATAAGTAATACATTTTTTCTTGGAAATTCAATTATTTTAAAAAAATGTTATAAATATTCTTTACAAGAATTCAATTATTTTTATAAATAATAAAATCCATCGCAGGATTTCAATTCTTTTTAATACAATTTTACAGGAATTGCTCAAAAAATGTAATTATTTAAAAAAATTTAATTTCAATTCCTCGAAAAAATCAATTATTTAAAGAAATGTTTTTTTTAAATTTGTTTGGAAGAAATCAATTATTTAAAAAAAATATTAGATTTCACAAGAATCCAATAATTTGCATAATTAATTCTTCGAAAGAATTCAATTTTTTTATTTTTTGAGGCATTTTAATAAAATTTTTTGCAAAATTTAATTATTTTTATAAATAACAATATTCATCACAAGAATTCAATTATTTTTAAAGGCAATACATTTTTTGATGGAAATTCAATTATTTAAAAAATTTTTAATAATATCGTTCGCAAGAATTTAATTATTTTTATAAATAATAAAATTTATCATAGGATTTGAATTATTTTCAATACAATTTTACAGGAATTGCTCAAAAAATGTAATTATTCTTAAAAAATTAATTTCAATTCCTCGAAAATTTAATTATTTATAAAAATGTTTTTTTTAAATTCTTCTGAAGAATTCAAATATTTACAAAAATATTAAAAATTTTCACAGGAATTCAATTATTTTAAATACAATTTCAATTAAATTTTTTTGTAATAATTCAATTGTTCTTTTAGATTTTAATAAAATTCTTCGAAAGAATTCAATTATTTACATAAATAATTCTTCGAAAGAATTCAATTATTAAAGATAAATAACAAAATTATTCCCAAAAATTCAATTATTTTGAGGCATTTTAACAAAATTCTTTGCAAAATTCAATTATTTTCATAAATAACAATATATTCATCACAAGAATTCAATTATTTTCATAAATAACAATATATTCATCACAAGAATTCAATTATTTTCATAAATAACAATATATTCATCACAAGAATTCAATTATTTTTAAAAGTAATAAATTTTTTCTTGGAAATCCAATTATTTTTAAAAATTCTAATAAAATCGTTCGCAAGAATTCAATTATTTTCAAAAAAAAAATTTAATGAAATGCCACACAGACATTTAATTATTCTCAAGAATTTAAATAGAATTTTTTTAAAATTTAATTATTTTTAAAAACTTTTTGCAATTCAGTGATTTTCAATATCTACTTTTTTCATAAATTTTCCAAACAGAATTCATTTATTTAAAAAATTTATTTATAAAAATCTTCATAAGAATTCAATTCTTTTCGTGAATAATAAAAATTTCTCAGGAATTCAATTATTTAAATTAGAATTTGCATAAAATTAGTCGAAAGAAATCAGGATAAGAAAGAAGTAAATACTTTTAATGAAAATTAGGAAAAAGTGAGGAAAATAGAAAATATAGAATGGAATTTTTGTCAGTCTTGTGAAGTGTCTAAAACGATTTTTTTTGGTTGTCAAGTTTAATTTTTCAATAGCTACTTTTTTCTACTTTTTTTTAGTTTTGAAAGCTATTTTTTGCTACTTTTTTAAAATTAATTATCGAGTGCAAAATCTGTAAATACTAATAAATACTTAAAAAAATTATAAATTTCTTTCTAGTTTAACAGACTTGATGGAGTTCAGTTGCTCTGGTCCTATGACGATTTGCTAGACACTGACGACGACAACTATGGCAATGATTATAATTATGATGATGATAATGATATTAATGAATATGATTTTGCCGATGATGATGATATCGATTATACAAATAATAAATTTCATCGTCACAATAGTAATGAAAATAGTTTTGAAAAAGATTATAATGATAAAAGTGATGATAGTTATGATGAGGATTATTATTATTATGACGATGAGGAGATGGAGGAACTCGTTGAAAAATTAATAGAAGATTATGCAAAATCAATTGGACGCAATGTGAAAAATATTACCGATGAAATCACTGAAATTTTTGAATTTGAAAATGATTTATATAATATAATGATAGAGGTAAAAAATAAATGAAAATAAAATTCTATTCCTGATAAAATAGTGTATCCGTGAACTTACTGTCAATTATTACTCATCGCCAACTGTATTATTTATTTGGACAATATTTTTCATTGATCATTACAGACGAGAAATGAAGATTCAGAGAATGAACAGAATGTTATGACAATTGGTGAATTCCAGAAAATTTATGATAGCTATGAACCTGTCAATTTTACTGCAAAGGTGATATTTAAAGGAATTGTGATTTTTTTTTGTACTTATCACTATTTTGTTTAGAAGAAGAAAAAATATTAAGTTAATAATAAATTAATTATTAAGTTAATGTAGTAAATAAATTATAAAGTTAATAATTGTGAATTACACTAAAGTTTCGAACGATCAAATGAATGCGGTGATATTTTTATCACTTTTTTTATTTTTAATTTCATTTAGAAAACTTTTGTTTTTTTTATATTTAATATTATTTAGAATAAGTTGGTTTGAAAATTAAGTAATTATTAACATTAACAGATTGACTGGTTAGATATGGTCCGTGCACTGGCAAATAATTCTGGCACTTACATTGATGAATCGGAAAAAATGTTGCTTTTCAGAAAACCATATTTTGAAAAATTTGCTCATCTTTTGGATGAAACTCCAAATCGAATAATTGGCAAGTACATAATTTAAATTGTAATTTAATTTTCTTTTTTGAAAAGTGTATTTTTGAACATTTTCTTTTCATTTCAGTGAATTATATTCACTGGGCATTTTTTAGAGATGCAACAGTATATTTACATCAAGAAAAGAGACCTTGGTTTGAAGGTATTGATGGCGATGACAGGTTATTATGAAATTTATCTTGAAATTTTCCCTTAATTGACAAAATTAAATAAAAAAATTTTTTTAAATTAAATAATTATATTAAGGTTTCTTTGAATTTTTAATAATTTGGGTATTTTTTAGACCGGAATATTGCCTCGAACACATGATGGGACTTTATTTTAACACTGGTTTCTCACAAGTTTTCATCGAAGATTATTTTACAGATGCTATTAAGGAATATGTGAGTAATTTTTAGGAAAAATAAATAATTATATTACTTTTATTTTCACTTTAACAGATTTTTTTCCCGTTTTGTGAAAGTGAAAACAAAAATCTATTTTTTGATAAATTTTTATTTTTACGCATTAATTTTTACTTTCAATTTAATATTCTTTTTATTTTCACTTTCACCTTGATAGAATGAGAAAATAAAAATCTTTCATAGTGCCAGAGAAAAATGAAAAGAAAATTTATGAAAATGAAAATGATAGTGGAAATAAAATTCTGACAAAGTGAAAGTGAGAATGAAAGTGAAAGTAGAAATGAAGTAACGTAATCGACCGTCAGTGCAATAAATTTTTATTTAATTTGAAAATTCTCTTTTTTTAAATTCAATTCCGTTTATAAAAGTTAAAATCTTTATTTTAATCTAATATAACGTGGAAAAATAATTGTGATCCGTATTTTTATTAATATTATTTTGATTAGGCTAGTGAAATAGCGGAGGAAGTGCGAAATCAAGTGAGAACGGATATTTTAACTTCAAATTGGTTGGACGATGAAGCAAAAAAATTGATAAATGAAAAATTGGAATCAATGAAATTTCACATTGGATATCCTGATTATTATAACAATAAAACATTTCTAAATCATCTCTATGATGGGGTAAATTAATAATGATCGTATTGTCCCAATTATTTATTGATTATAATATATTATTTATTGCTTGTCTATTTATTCGATATTTTTTTATGTTTTAGCTCAAAGTGGGACCCGATTATTTTGAGAATGTTATTAATATGCTCACATTTGATAACGATGACTTTTGGAGGGAACTTAGAGAGCCTTTCGATAAAGACCAGTAAGTGACAAGGATTTTCCTTTAAAACCTATTAATTAGCTAATTATTAAATATAATGGATTTACAGAAGAATTTCAGTTAAAAACACTAAAAGAAATTAAATTTTAAAGCAATTACAAATGATTGCAGAAATTCAATTATTTTCATGAATAAAAAAATTCTTTTATGCAATTCAATTATTTTTATAAATAATAAAACTTATCGCAGAATTTCAGTTACTTTTAGTATAATTTTAATTTAATTCCTCGAAAAATGTAGTTATAATTATTATTCTTAAAAATTTTATTAAAATTCATCAAAGAAACTCAAGTATTTTAAAAACCTTTGCTACAATTTATTTATTAGAATTTAAATATTATTTTCAATAAGTTTTTAATTAAATTTCTTCAAAGAATTAAATTATTTTCAAAAATTTTAATGAAATTTTTTGTAACAATTCAATTTTTTTCAAAATAATTTTAATAAAATTCTTCGTAAAAATTTAATTTCAAAAAATTGTTAAAATTTAATTATTTTCAATATCTAGGGGAACATAGTCTAGGTCGGCCACCTTTTTGACTTTTGTTTATAACTTTTTTTTAAAAATGAATTTGGACAATTGAAGTATATGGTTGGAAAGTCCTGTTTAATAGGAACATTTTTTCTGTACAAAGTAAATTGACAGGTTTAAAAATGAAAAAGTTATAAAGATTTAAAAAAAAAAAATTTGTAGTCCAGGTTGGCCATTACAGTCAAGGTCGGCCATGTTTAAAATTCAAAGGGCATTAATCGTTAAAAAATAAAATAACATGTTTGGAGTTACGGAAAATTGATTCTTTATTGTTTACAGTTTGTAACTTAATGAAATAACAAAATAATAACAATAAACAATATAAAAAAATAAATATAAATAAAAAAAAGTTTTGCACTAAAATATTAATAAAATTAAATAAAAATATTAATAAGATGATCAATTATATTATGAGTTATACAGAATTGCAGTTTTTGCAAATGAAGTAGCTCGTCCTCAACTTTGCGCATTTTAAACACATAGTGGCCGACCTTGACAGTAAGTAACATTACCGAATTGTTGTAAACAAAAAGAAATACGTTTCGGGATTCGATTTTTTACTTTGTTTTCCTTTCAACCATGAGTCCCACAAATTTTCTGCATACTTGCCTTGACGATTCAATTTGTTTTTTATCTTTTATTAATGGTTTTTCACATTATGCACAAAACTTTTTTTGAGCTTTTTTTGTACCGACGTCACAGAAAACACAATTTTCGATTTTCCGAAAATGTAATTGAACAAAAAGTTAGGTTTCACTAAGACAAGCTTCGACAAAAATGCGCGTAGGTGGCGCTAGTGAACTTGACAAAAAAACGCGAGTGGCCTACCTAGACAGTAGGCCAACCTTGACTACATTCCCCTACTATTTTAATCAAAGTTATTTAATAAAAATTAAATTTATTTTAAAATTATTTTATTTTTATTTTTTATTTTTATTATTTTTTTTTTATTTTTATTTTTTTTATTATTTTTTTTTAAATTTAATAAAAGTTATTATTTAAAAAGAAATTTTAATAAAATTCGCCTCAAGAATTCATTTTCAAAAGTAATATAATTCTTTGCAGAAATTTCAATTACGTTCAAAAATTTACAAAAATTCTCCAAGAATTTTGAATTATCTTTATAAATAATAAATTTAATAAAATATTTATTTTTGTATTTAAATAATTGAATTCTCGTAGATTTTTCTAATAAATATTGATTTAAAAATGAATTTTAGTTAAAATTTTAGATTATAATTGAATATTGAAAGCATTATAGCGTGAATTCCATAAAAATAATTGAATTTTAAAAAGGTTTCAAATTTTATTTTGTTTATTAAATTTAAATAATTTAATCTTGAATATAATGAGAGAAAAAATTCTATTTAATTTTAAGAAACTTTTTTTAACTTTGAAAAAATACAGAAAAAATAATACAGAGTTTGAAAGAGGACTCGAAAAAAATTTAATTTGTTTCAGATTTTTGTCAAATCCTACAATTATTAATGCATTTTATAACGAATACGACAACAGCATAAGTGAGTATTTAGTATTTTAGAGTATTTCAAAATTTTCTCAATTTTGATGTAAAATTATTAAAACTGTACAAAAATTGGAAATAATTTTAATTTGTTTTTAACTATTAGAAGTTATTGTAAAATATATTTTACTTTTCTGTTACACAGCTATTCCTGCAGCGGAAATTCTTGTTCCTTTGTTTAATTCGACAATGCCACTGTAAGAAACAATTGTTCATTTGTTTATTATGATTGTAATTCTATATTAATATTTGCTTTTTTTAAATTATTTAACTTGAAAATTTTTCAGTTTAATTACTTTTATAATTACATAATTATATATTTAATTATTTTTATTTTCAGATCTGTAAAATACGGCTATTTGGGATTCACTGTTGGTCATGAAATAAATCATGGATTTGATAATGATGGTGTTTATATTTATAATTAAATAACATTTAAGAAAAATATTATCAAATTTGATTAAAAGTTAATTTGTGATTGAATCCTTAACTGACCAATATAATGAGCTGTTAAACTGAATTTAATCATCAATTATTTTTTAATCAGATTTTGTGAAATTTGCCCTTAGACTCCGGTAAACATATTTTGCTTTTTAAAATTAAAAAAGAAACTGTTTGAGACTGTTTATGTTAAAATTTATTTTGAAAAATAATTTTTTTAAATTTATGTTTAAAAAAACTGTTTTTTTTATTTTTGTAATTAATTGAACAAATTTTAATAAGCAATGCGATTTTTTAGGGCGGACTTATGATAGAGATGGAAATCAATTACCATGGCTTGCTGAAGAATTAATTAATAAATACGTTGATAATGCGAAATGTTTCATCAATCAATTTGATGATTACGGGGTAATTCATTTAATTTACATATATAAGTGAGAGAACGAACCCTTTTTCAAAAATAATTTTTTTTACATTTATATTTTTTTGGGTAAAAATTACAATTTGGAGATAATAAAACAAAAAACGTGTTTGAGTAAAAAAATTAAAATTATTTTTTTCGGCCCCTTATAGGTGAATGGATCTCTTACGCAAAATGAGAATATTGCCGATACGGCAGGATTGAGATCATCATTTCAAGCATACAAAACTAAAATGAAATCTGGAAACTATCAAGATGTCAGATTACCGGGATTAAATGGTCTCAGTGGGGACCAATTATTTTTCATTTCATTTGCTGCCGTATGTTATTGAATTTTTTTTAGTAAAATTATTTTTAACTTTTCTCATTGCAGAAAATTAAAATTATTGTAAATATTTCTTTTCAGTCACTCTGCTCAAATGCAAGTCCAGAACTTGAGGAATATTGGATGCGAACAAATGAGCATTCAGTTCAACCTTATAGAATTAATGGCGCTGTGTCTAATTTACATGAATTTTCCAAGGCTTTTCATTGTTCCGAAAGCAGTCCAATGCATCCAAAAAATAAGTGCCAATTATGGAAGTGATTTTTTTTTAATGCAAGAACTTTGTTTTTCGAAAGAAATTTTCTTGAAATAGGTTTTAAAAAATACTGGGATTTTCAACAAGAAAGGAAAATTTTAGATTTTATTAAAATCTAACAAATTTTTCATATTATACTAATAGAAAATTTCATGTAAAATTGAGTCTTGAAATTGATTTGAAATGAAAAGATTTGAAACGAAGCAATTGAAAATTAGTTACTTACAATATTCTCTCGTCAATTACTTTTCATTTCAATTACAACTATTATAAAATTTCCACTAAAAATAACGACTTTTAATATTATCAAAATTTTCTATTTTCAATGTTAATAATAGTGTACAAAAATTATTCAAATTTTTCTCGAACAATAATTAGCAATATTAAAAATTCTTAATTTTAAAGTAAACTTTTCTATTTCTGAAGTAAATTTTCCTTATATTTATAAAAAAAAAATTATATTCGAAAATAATAAAAGTTATTCTTATTACAGACTATAGGAAAAGATAAAAAAACAATTGTAATATTTAACAGAAAAAATTTAGCAAAAAAAAATCTGATTTAAATTATCTGTAATTAAGAAACAATCTTAAAATTAAATTGTATTTGCAAAAATTAAATTAAAACAAATTTTTAAATTACCAAAAAACTTGAAATAATGAATTTATGTGGATATAAAATTGAATTAAATTCAAAATAAATTTTTCAATTAGAAAATAATTTTAATAAAAACACAAATATATAAATAAATACACATATTTATTATTCATCATTATTTATTAAACAAAATTTTTTTACCAAGTTTTTAAAATTATTTTTGTCTGAAGAAAAAGTTTCACATAATCTGCATTTTATTTTAAAGCTATATTTTTATTTGCAAGAGCGATAACTTTTTATTATTGTTTTCAATAATCTCCGAACGTTAATAAAAAAATTTAAAAGAAACGTTCAAAAATTGTAGAAAAAAAATTGTGTTTAAAAATATGTTTGAGACCGTCAATTTGTGAGTATATATTTAAATTTTAATTATTTTTTTAGTATTTTTAATAAATTTTAATTACAATTAAGGTGATGGATTGGTGAAATTTCAACTTTTCAAAAATTTATGTTGTGAAGTTGAAAATGCTTCATTCCGCATGCATAATAAGTAATTCTTAGGAACTGCTAAATTATAATTTTTTAAATAAAAGTAAAATTTTCAAAATATGTTACAAGTTATTAATATACAGTATTTGATGTCTTCTTCATAGACACTGAGGTGAAAAATAATTAGAAGAGCCGACAATAATTGAAAGAATAGAAATTATATTAGGTCTTTGATAAAAAAATTACTTATTTGTTATCCAAGTGGCTGTATAATGAATAGAATTAATAAAAAATAATTAGTAGTAACAGAATTAATTATTATCTATAAAAATGTTATTATTCTAGTATTTTCTTCGGATATTTAGTCATTGTTGGTTCGTACAAAATAGTTGAAGGAACTTCACTTACAGCAGAAACTGATGGAGGGAAAAATATTTCGGAAATTTGCACAACAAGTGAATGTCAAGAATTATGTAAGTAAACTAATTAAATAAAAAACAGAAATATTCAATGATTAATTGAAGCATTGGTAGCAACAGGTGTGTACAACATAAAACAATCTATAAAATATTATTGAAAATCAGTATTAGAATGACCGAACAAATTTTATTATTATTCTTTTAATTTAGCAAATTACATCATCAACAGTATAAATAAAACGGCAGATCCTTGCAACGATTTTTATAATTATGCTTGTGGTTCATATCCCACCAATTATCCTGTTCCTGAAGGAGAAATAATTTGGAATCACAGTCGAAATATGACAAAAAATATTCAGTACGAATTAATAAGTAAGGTTTTTTCTACTGTATTTTGAAAATAATTAAATAATTATCCAATGAATTTTTTTTTTTTTGAAGAAAGTCTTATTTATTCTGAAATTTATAGAAATTTTACAAGAAGCACCAAAACCTGAGGACAGTGTTCCATTATCTGTAGAAAAGAAATTGTTCAAAGCCTGTATACACGAAGGTTAGTCCAAATTTGAAACTGTAAGAAATTGTCCGCTTCTCATAATTAATGGAATGTTTGGAATTGTTTCTCATATTACATTTGGTCAAGGAGTTAATGTACCCAAGTACTGGAATTCCTTTTGCGTCAAAATTAAACTCTCTTTTTTTAACCTATATCAGGGTTGCCATAGGTCAGGGAATTCAGGGAAAAGTCAGGAAAAGTAAAATTGGTCAGGGAAGTCAGGGATTTTTAGTAAAAAAACTGGAAAAAATTGAATTTTAAAAATTCATGAAAAAACTCTGAATTTTGATGTTTTTTTTGTTTGCCTCGTAGACTATGAAATTACCACGAATTTTAATACAAAACCTTGAATTTTTTCTATTTCAGACAATAATTTCTTTTTAAATAACTTAATTTTACAAGAACTATCATAAAATTATGACTTAGAAATTATTTAATGAATAATTTTTACAATTTTCATAAATACTAGATTGATAAAAGAATTTTAGTTAAAAATACTAAAAAAATTGAATTTTGGAAAAGTTACAAATAATTCCAGAAATTAAATTATATTCAAAAATTAAAAAAAAATTCTGGTCATTTCAAATTATATCTTTAAAAATAATAATATTCTTCTCCAAAATTCAATTATGTTAAAAAATTTTTTTTAAATTTATAAAAAATTATAAAAATAATACAATTCTTCTTCAAAATTCAATTATAAAAATAATTGAATTTTGAAAAAGAATTGTATTAAAAAAAAAAAAAAAAATTTTAATAAAAATCTTGTCAAAATTTGCTAGGAATTCAATAATTTACAAAATTTTTAATAAATTTCTTCGAAATAAATCAATTATTTTCATAAATAATAAAATTTTCACAGGAATTCAATTATTTAATATTAAAAATTGCAAAAAATTTTTCGAAAAATATCAATTATTTAAAAAAAATTTTATTTAATTCGTCGCAGGAATTCAATTATTTAAAAAAAAATTAACAAAGTTTCTTTCAAGAATTCAATTATTTTTAGAAATAGTAAAATTTTTCACCGAAATTCAATTATTTTTATAAACTTGAATAAAATTCGTTGGAAGAATTAAATTATTTTTAAAAATAATAAAAATCTTCTTCAAAATTCAACTATGTTCAAAATTTAAAAAAAATTCCTGTCAAAATTTCAATTATCTTTATAAATAATAAAATTCTTTAATATTCAATTATTTTAAAAATTTTTTTAAAAATTCTCGCCAAAATTTCATATATCGTTATAAATAATAAAATTCTTCTTCAAAATTCAATTATTTTCAAAAACTTGAATAAAATTCTTGTTATAAAATTCGTCGCATGAATTCAATTATTTAAAAAAAATTTACCAAAATTTACCAATTTACCAATTTTTAATTGAATTTTCAAGAATTCAATTATTTTTATAAATTATAAAATTCTTCACCGATATTCAATTATTTTAGAAAAATTTTAATAACATTTTTGGGAAAATTTTAAATTATTTTCATAAATAATAAAACTCATCGCACGATTTTAATTAATTTTTGATACAATATTTCAATCGAATTCCTCAAAAAATGTAATTATTCTTAAAAATTTTATTAAAATTTGTCAAAAGAATTGAATTATTTAAAAATTTGTTGATAAAATTTTTTTGGGGAATTAAATTTTAAGAAATATTCAATTATTAAATAAATTATTTATTTTTTAATTTAAATAATTGAATTCTTCTGGAATTTTATAATAAAAATTGATTAAAAAATAAATTTAACGAATAATCGATTTATTATTTATGAAAATAATTGAATTATTGCAACGGAGTGACTCGGAGTGATGGCCTTCTTTATGTTTTGTAATAATATTCTTATAAATTGTTGAATTTCAAAAAGATTTGAATTTAAATGTAAGAATTAGAATGATTAAATATTTATTTAAAAAAGAAATTATTCATGTTTTTTGAATAATTTTACAATTAATGAAATTTGTAAATAAATGTAATAGAACATTTTTTTGAGTATCTAATAATTTTTAGAGTGAATCAGAAGATTTTTTAGGGTCAGGGAAAAAGTGAGAATTTTGTCTGGAAATCAGGGAAAAGTCAGGGAAAAATACAGTTAAATATTTGTGACAACCCTGCTATATGTTTTTAATATTCTTTACCAATCACCAATAATAAATAATACTATTTGTCATTACAGATAGAATTGAACGAAATAGTATAGAAGGACTCTCGAAAGTTATAGAAGGTTTGGGTGGTTGGCCAATGCTTATGGAAGAAAATAAGTGGAAGGAAGAAGATTTTCCTTGGCAGAAAGTTATGCAAGGATACATTCAGCAAAATATTCAAACTCCTTTGTTTTCAATTGGTTATTCTCCAGATCCAAAAAATTACAGTATAAAAGTTATAAGCGTGAGTGTCATTTATTGTCATATAAAGAATTCTATTTATTTACAAGGAAAAATATAATTCATAAAATACAGAACATTCTGAACTAGTGGATATGAATTATCTTTTTCCGTGTAATTATGAAGTACTATTTTTTTCGTTAAATTAAACACAATTTATGATAGCTACTTATATTAATAATAAATAATATTTAATAAATTTTTAGTTAAAAAAGGGAATAGGTAGCGACGTTTTGAAAGATATCTTCTCTCAAGTATATAAGAAAAAGATTCCTTTAATAGTCATGATAGATAGGATTGACTTTCCATCACCATGGCTTTATAGAGTATATACTCAAAATTTCTTTAATCTTTCAAATCTTTTCAAGAAATCTCACCGATTGCTAAAGCTTACGATAGTAATTGAAAAGGTAATGTAATATTAATAATATGTACCTACTAATATAATTAGATTAAAAAAAGAAGTATAATATGTAACAAATAAATTAATAAAATAAAAAAAATTCTAGATCCAAGCCTTTTATAGTAAAAAAGGAACAGATAAAATGACTATTAAAGAATTCCAAAATTATTATAATCGTAATAATTCAACGAAAAATACGTCAGAGGTATGGAAAATAAGAAGTAAAAACTTTTTTGTTTTTTTACTTTACTTTTACACAGATTTTTTAATGGAAATTAGAAAACGACACACTAAAACTTAGTTTTTGAGATGAACTTTCGAATAGAATAAATAAAAAAACGTTTAAAATAAAGTTTGTGCAAAATAAAACATATTAAACTTCATGATTCATGTGTGGAGAAACGACAAATGTGCATTTTTTAAACATTTGCAATTGAATTACAACTTTTGTTTTAATTAAAAAAATTTTTTCGATTATGATATTACTAAAAAACATATTGAAGATTAATTATGCAAAAGTTTGAAGTAGATTAGATAACAATTTTTCAAGTTATTAAATAGGAAACAGAGGGGAAGCAAAAGTGACCACTTTATGAAGAATCACCCATATAGGTATTTTTTATAAATTATTACGAATTATATTATATTATATTAAAAATAATATGAACTACACCAAATTTGTTAGAAGAGTTTAACATTGTTCGGACAATGTTAAACTGTATATTACAGAACTGCATTGCAACAGATGTTTAGACCAATTACACAACAATGTTCATACACAGTTATAGAACAAGGTTGGAACAACAGTTACAGAAAATTTGCGACATTAAAGTTATGTAACTCTTACATCACATTGTGATAGAACTGTGACATAAGCATAATACAGAACTATTCTGTAACTAACTTGTAACTATGTTCTAGAACTCTGTTACAATCAGGTTCTATCACAGATCTATAACTAGTTAGGAACAAATGTTCTATAACACTGTAACCTCACTGTTATAGAATACTTATATAACGTGTTTGCTGGGTAGTGAGCGGGTTTACCCCAGTCTCCCCTACTATTAAAATTTAAACAATAGTACATTGTGCAAAATGGCAGTAAAGTGAAACTCAAACCAATTCAGCAGAATAATATAGTTCACAATTAATTAATAAAAGAATATTCACTTTTTAATAGAATTAGGTATATATTATTTTACTCAATTTATTGAAAAAATTACTTATTTGTTATCCAACTGGCTGTGTAATAAATATAAAAAAAATAAAAGTAGTAACATAATTAATTATTATCTATATAAATATGTTATTATTCTAGAATTTTCTTCGGATATTTAGTCATTGTTGGTTCGTACAAAATAGTTGAAGGAAAATCACTTGCAACCGAAACTAATGGAGAGAAAAATATTTCGGAAGTTTGCACAACCAGTGAATGTCAAGATTTATGTAAGTACATTAATTAAATTATAAGTGGAAATATTCAATGAATAATTGAAGCATTGGTAGCAACAGATGTGTACAACACAAAACAATCTGTCAAATATTATTGAAAATCAGTATTAGAATGACTAAAATATTATTATTCTTTTCATTTAGCAAATTTATTCATAAACAGTTTAAATAAAACGGCAGATCCATGCAACGATTTTTATAATTATGCTTGTGGTTCATATCCCACCAATTATCCTGTTCCTGAAGGAGAAATAGTTTGGAATCACAGACAAAATATGACAAAAAATATTCAGTACGAATTGATAAGTAAGCTCTTTAATTTTGACATAAATTGTGTATGGGTATTAGTCCAATTTTTGGTCTCTATAAAATGTTATGAACAGATTTTGAAAGAAGCTTAATTTATTCTGAAATTTATAGAAATTTTACAAGAAGAACCAAAACCTGAGGACAGTGTTCCACTATCTGTAGAAAAGAAATTGTTCAAAGCCTGTGTAGACGAAGGTTAGTCCAAATTTGAAACTGCAACAAATTTTTCGCTTATCATAATTAATCGAATGTTTGGAATTGTTTCTCATATTACATTTGGTCAAGGAGTTAATGTACCCAAGTACTGGAATTCCTTTTGCGTCAAAATTAAACTCTTTTTTAACCTATATGTAAATAATATTATTTACCAATCACTAATAATTAATAATACTATTTGTCATTGCAGATAGAATTGAACAAAATAGTATAGAAGGACTCTCGAAGATTATAGAAGGTTTGGGTGGTTGGCCAATGCTTATGGAAGAAAATAAGTGGAAGGAAGCAGATTTTCCTTGGCAGAAAGTTATGCAAGGATATATCCAGTACAATGTTGCAACTCCTTTGTTTTCAATTGATTATACTCCAGATCCAAAAAATTACAGTATCAATGTTATAAGCGTGAGAGTCATTTAATGTCATATAAAGAATTCTATTTATTTACACGGAAAAATATAATTCAGTGAATACAGAACATTGCTACTAATAATAGTATATAATATTTAATAAATTTTTAGTTAAAACATGGAATAGGTAGCGACGTTTTGAAAGATATTTACTCTCAAGTAGATAAAGGAGAGATTCGTTCAGAAGACATGATACATAGGATTGATTTTCTATCACCATGGCTTTATAGAATATATACTCAAAATTTCTTTAATTTTTCAAATCTTTTCAAGAAATATCACCGATTGCTAAAGCTTACGATAGTAATTGAAAAGGTAATGTAATATTAATAATATGTACCTACTAATATAATTAGATTAGAATAAGGAGTATAATATGTAACAAATAAATTAATGAAATAAAAAAATTCTAGATAGAAGCCTTTTATAGTGAAGAAGGAAAAGAGAAAAAGACTATTAGAGAATTTCAAAATTATTATAATCGTAATAATTCAACGAAAAATACGTCAGAGGTATGGAAAATAATCTATAGATACAAACTTCTTTGTTTTTGTTTCTTCGTGAATGAAGCTTTGTAGTCGTTAAATTTATAACATTTTTATAACTGCTTTAAACAAATTTTTCTCTATATAAGAATATGTTATATAAGACCCTGGGGTGCGTTAATATATATAATAAAAATATTGTGAACTTGATTTTATAAATATTAGATTGTATTACAAATTACTTAAAAATTAAATTTAATTGTCGTTAATGCTTCTTCCACGAGGAAGCAAATTTTTTTGCTGATCGTAAAAGTGGAAGCAAAATTTTCATGTAATGAACATCTGGATTCACAACTTGTTTTATTATTTTTAATGTAGATAAACTGGCTCGAAATGATTAGAGCGTATACAAAAGACTCTAAATTAAATATTGATGATTCTGAGGAAATTTTAATCATAGGGGATAAATCGTATTTTGATACGTTATTTAAACTTTTAGAGAAAACATCTCACTATAGAATAGGTGATTATATAATTATGTAAATGTTGAAAAAAAATGCACAATTGTTTCTTTGTTTTAAATTATTTTTTATTGTAGTTAATTACTTACATTGGAATTTTATGACAAGCCAGTTTGTGAATTTAAAAAGGTACAATAGAGAATACATAAAGAAGTTAAAAAAACGCAACACTGGAATTTCAGTTGACCATAAAAACAGGTATATATCAAATGCATACATTTTGTTGAAAACTTAATAGTTAATAATTAATATTATTACAATTTTGTATTAAATTCTATTTTTTGTTCTTTTAAAGCTATAATTCATCATTTTAATTTAAAATAAATAATTTTAGACCCGAGGAATGCGTAGAACAACAATGGCTTAAATATGGAGTTTCAAAGGAGTATTTGAAACGAAATTTTCCTAATAGTTTTTCTGAATATGTAAGCAGTAGTTACAAAGTTCTATTTACTTACTCTTCCATTAACAAATTTTAAAATTATATTATTTATTTTATTATTATGTCAATTATAGTGTAAAGAAGTAGTTGAAGAGATTCGCAATGAAATTGATAGTGGAATATTAAGAGCAAATTGGATGGACGCCACAGCAAAATTATCGACTAGAGAAAAATTAAGAGCTACTAAAGTGCAAATTGGTTATCCTGAATATTTTGACGACGAGAAAGAATTTAATCAGCTCTATGACGGTGTAAGAATAATAATTAATTATAATATAATTTTAAACACGAAAAAGTCATTTATATAAAGTTTTTGTATAGCTCGAAGTCGGCCTGGATCATTTTGATAATGTGATGAAAATTAAGGAATTCGAGAGACTTCAAAAATTGAATGAATTAAGAGAACCATATAAAGGAAATGAGTATGTTTGATATAACATTTAAATTATTGATACTAACGTATCGATAACACAGGATCACAAAATTTTTTTTAAAGAAAGTATTGACCGGACCAAGTTTTTCATATGTTTTTTGAGTCGCTTAATTCGAATCCGAACACAGTTTTGCGCCATCACGTCAAGTTTCTTCAAAATGGCGGATCCAATATGGCTGTCGAATTTTTTAAAAATGTATCAGATTTACTTGAAACTTGTTACTTGGAGGTTTTTGGGGTCGCTGAATACGAATTTCACCTTAGTTTTAAAAAATCCAAGATGGCGGATCCAATATGGTTAACGAATTATTAAAAAATTTATCAGATTTTGAATTTTTGAAAACTAAGGTGAAATTCGTATTCAGCGACCCCGAAAACCCTCGAGTATAACGTTTCAGGTAAATCCAATAATTTTTTTAAAAATTGATCAGCCATATTGGATCCGCCATTTTGAATTTTTGAAAACTAAGGTGAAATTCGTATTTAGCAACCCTAAAAACCCCCGAGTAACAAGTTTCAGGGGAATTGGGTGAATTTTAAAAGAAACCGACGCCATATTGGATCAGCCATCTTAAATTTTGAATATTTACGAGTTTCTTTGATTGTTTAACATTATATAATATTTTTCCAGTGTTTTGAAGTTGTTTTTTAATAGAATCTTCTGCTTATTTTTATTTAAATCTTGTTTACAGTCAGTTTTTTTAAAAATTTTATTAATTTGTGAAGAAACTTGACGTGATGGCGGAAAACTGAGTTCGGATTCGAATTCAGCGACCCAAAAAACATATAAAAAACATAGTCCGGTCAATATTTTCTTTAAAAAAATTCTGTGGTCCTGTGGTCCTGTGTAATTAAGACTGTGATCATTTATATTATGTAATAAGTTTACTATTAAATTTTATAATTATTCTATTTCTTACAATAAGTTGTATGTATTAGCGTTTTTATTTATATGACATTCACTGTTATTGTTATAGTATATATTAAAATTGTTAAAACACAAATTTTTGAAAATTGTATAATTTTATATATTTTTTCAGATGGTCTTTTATGAATCCTCTGATGCTTAATGCTGTATACCATCCTTATCACAACAGAATAAGTATGAATCCCAAAAATTTTATTATCATTTTATAATATTAATGCATTTTTAAAAATTAAATACGTGTTAAAGATATTCATTAATTTGCATTGATTATATGTAGACCATATTTGTTCCTTTTCAGCCGTTCCAGCTGCAAAATTATTGCCCAAGAGTGATAATATGCAACTAATGTAAGTTGTGAATACAAATAAGAATTATTCTTGTTAATATTTGTGATAAAAAATTGCTAAAAATTAACAAAACCTATTTAATATATTGCCTTTAAAAATAGGTTATTGTATTATGCTGCTTCTGGACATACTATTGGACACGAATTTTCTCATGCTTTTACTACTGGAGGTATTTAATATCAATGTTATTAAGAGTAAATAGATAAGGTTGTTTACAAAAAATAGTTTTTGTTTATTAACAGGACGCAAGTTTTACAAGCAAGAAAACTTTGCTCCTTTGTGGTCTGATAGTGTTGAGAAAAATTTCACGACAATAGCTGATTGTTATATAAAACAATATAATGATTATGGGGTAAATTTAATTGAATTATTTAAGATTTTGTTGTATTATTAACATTTGCAATCAGTTTATAATATATTATACAATTATTTATTTATTTCTATTAATAAATAATACATGTTTATATGTATTAATAGATAAATGGTGAATTGACACTGGCTGAAAATATGGCCGATAGCTTAGGCCTCAGTGTTGCTTATTCGGCATTTCTCAAAAAAGCAGAAAGATATACAGATTTAAAATTACCAAATTTGGAAAATGTTACTCGAAATCAATTGTTTTTCTTGAAATTCGCCAATGTAAGTGAAAGTACTTTTTGAATAAGGCTATTTTAATTAATAGATAGGTTAATATCAGCAATGTTTTGTTTTCGGCTTTATCGAAGTTTTCCAAAAGTTGTGATGTACAAAATTTATTTTCGGATGAAATATTTAAAATTTAAAAACTATTATACTAATATTTAAAGTAATTAAATTTAAATATTATAAAAAAATACAAATTTAAAGACTATTTATTTTGGATTTTTTACTCTGGAGATTGTAACTTTGGACTTTTTGTACTTTAAATTTTTTTTCTTGGATATTTTGGATTGGACTTTTTGTTCTATATTCGAACTAAAGAAATATCGTCGTTCATTTGAATGTTGGAAACTTTTGTAAATATCTTTATGAAGCTGATTATAAAAATATTAAATGAGACTTTTTTACATCGTTACAGCGTTATTGTGAAACAAAAACTAAAATTTTCGAAGAAAAACTCAAATATTTGAATCATGCCAAAGCGTCTGTGAGAATTAATGGAGCCGTTGCTAATGTTAAAGGATTTGCTGAAGCTTTTCAATGTTCCGAAAATAGTCCTATGAATCCTACAAACAGGTGTATTTTGTGGGAATAATTATTTATTTATTTGAAGAGATAAGCAGAAGTAAAGGATAAAAATTTGTTTCCCAGTTCCATGTATAATTAATAGTAATAATATAATAATAGTTTCATAATGAATTATTATATGAAACAATAATTGTAATTAATACTATTCCAATAAATGTGGTACTTATTTTACAAATTGTGATGATTATTATTTTCTAATTTTTTGAAAATACCAAAAAGTAATTGTATTCATTTTTTAAAATATAGTTTATTGTAATATATTTAAAGAAAAATTATTATTTAACCCTTTAACGTCCAGCGGTACATATGCTGTACCATAAAGAATAAAAAAACCTATCTTCAAATAGGGTTAATATATTTAATTACAAAATGATATCTAGGGGTTTTCGGGGTCGCTGATTACGAATCTGATGTCAGATTTTGAAAATTCAAAATGGCGGATCCAATATGGCGTACCGAAAAATTTAAAATTTGATGGATTTTCATGAAACTTGGTATGTAGGGGTTTTCGAGGTCCCTGATTACGAATCTGATGTCAAATTTTAAAAATTCAAAATGGCGGATCCAGTATGGCGGACAAAAATATAAAATTTGATGGATTTTCATGGAACTTGGTATTTAGGGGTTTTTGAGGTCGCTGATTACGAATCTGATGTTGGATTTTGAAAATTCAAAATGGTGAATCCAATATGGCGTATCGAAAAGTTTAAAATTTGATGGATTTTTATGAAACTTTGTCTTTAGGGGTTTTCGAGGTCGCTGATTACGAATCTGATGTCAGATTTTGAAAATTAAAAATGGCGGATCCAATATGGCGGACGAAAATTTACAATTCGATGAATTTTCATGGAACTTGGTATCTAGGCGTTTTCGAGGTCGCTGATTGCGAATCTGATGTCGGATTTTGAAATTTTAAAATGGTAAATCCAATATGGCGGATAGAAAAATTTAAAATTTGATGGATTTTTATGAAACTTAGTATGTAGAGGTTTTCGAGGTCGCTGATTATGAATCTAATGTCAGATTTTTAAAATTCAAAATGGCGGATCCAATACGGCGGACGAAAATTTAAAATTAGATGGATTTTCATGGAACTTGGTATCTAGGGGTTTTCGAGGTCGCTGATTACGAATCTGATGTAGGATTTTGAAAATTAAAAACAGCAAATCCAATATGGCGGACCGAGAATTTTAAATTCATGAATTTATATGGAGCTTTGAATCTAGGGGTTTTCGATGTCACTGATTACGAATTAGATGTCATATTTTCAATATTCAAAATGTCGCATTTAAAGATAATGGATAAATTTTAGAAACTGTATTAGGTCTTTAATAATTTTTAAATAAGAAACCAACTTACACTTTGCGTGACCCAGAACTAACGACGTGGACTTAGTAAGCCACTAGTTCCAAGCTACATTGGATTTATAATCAGCTACCACAAAAACCCCTACATACCAAGTTTCATAAAAATCCAACGAATTTTAAATTTTAGGTCCGCCATATTAGATCCGCCATTTTAAATTTTTAAAATCTGACTTAAAATTCGTAATCAGCGAACCCGAAAACCCCTAGATACCAAGTTCCATGAAAATCCATCGAATTTTAAATTTTCGGTCTGCCATATTGGATCCGCCATTTTGAATTTTTAAAATCTGACTTAAAATTTATAATCAGCGACCCCGAAAACCCCTAGATACCAAGTTTCATAAAAATTCACCAAATTTTAAAATTCCGGTCCGCCATATTGGATCCGCCATTTTGAATTTTTGAAATCTGACATCAGATTCGTAATCAGGGACCCCGAAAACCCCTAGGTACCACGTGTCATGAATTTTGAATGGAAAAAAAAATTTGGACGTTAAAGGGTTAATATAAGTATTGTATACTTATTTATTTAATACCTAATAATAATACCTAATACCTCATAAAATTTTTATTTAAAATTTTAAATCAAATAATTTAATAGGCTCTGAGACGAATAAAATTTAATTCCTCCGGTGTACAATTATTTTTAAATAATAGCTTATAAAAATTTTGCAAAATATCAAGAAGAAGTCAAGTCAGTGATCCTTCCTCTATTCTACTTCCAAAAAAGTTGGTTGTCAAATATTATTTTCTTTTTAAATGAGAATGTTTTACTAGGAAGTATAGTTTAAATTTGAGATATGAGAAATTATTTATATTTTTCCATGCGTATGTAACGAATAAATAATATTTAATTTGACGTCAATAAAAATAAAAATCTTTAAAGGATTTGCGTAATTGCGTGAAAACAAGTTAAAATTTGCAGCTCCACGCGCAAGTTCAAGAGGAATAGAAGCGAGAAAAAAATATATCAGGAGGCGGTTCAACAATCCATTTTATCTCAGGAAATTATATACGGAAGTTGTAGTGTTTTACAGTTCTTTCAAATACACCATTCACAGAAATGACGTTCTCTATCTTTTTAATGTAAGTAATTTTACACTTTTTTTTAATCCCCTAAAAATGTGCTTTAAAAATAAACGGTAAATTTTTTTTTATTTCATTTGAAAAAATTCCTAAAATATCAATTTTATCTAATTTTTTATTAATAAACTTTTTCTCTGGGTGTAAAAATTTACACCCAGAAATCAAAACCTACGAAATTATTTAATTATTTTTGTTTTATTTGTATAAACTTTTTTTTGTTTGAAATAAAAAATTTATTCGGCAACAATAACATTTTTATTTGAATCAAATTGAATGTATTTTTAAATGAAAAGTTTAGTCAATAAATTATTATTTTCACTCAGTAAAATATTTTATGAACCAAATATTTGTATTAAACAAATTTTCTCGACTTTTCATTTCTTTAAAACAAAAATTTTATTTGGATTATAAATTTTCATTTGAAGGAAGTAAAGTTTTCATTTGATTTGTATAAAATTTATATAACAAATAAATGTTATTTTATTTAACAAATAAATTTCTATTTGGCTGTGAGATAAAAATATTTTCTCTCTGGAGTTTCTCGTTCAGGTGGAATGACAATTTTTTCAAAACTATTTTACTTCTAATATTTTTAAAAATTTATTTTATTATAACTGTTTATAATTAAAAAAATAATTTTTAAATAAAAAAATTTTTGAATGAATCGAACGATCAAAAGTAAAAGGAATAAAAATAAAAAATGAATGCATTAATAAATTAGCATTAAATTATTTTTTCGTTTTAGTTAGAAAATAGTAGAGAGAAAAAATTGAAATTCCATTAAAAATCGTCAAAAGTTTTAACTTTTGACGATTTTTAATGGAATTTCAATTTTCTAAAATAATGAAACATAATGAGTCATAGATCAGTGAAATCTTAACTGACTCAGTTTTGTGACGAGTGCAATTACAATTCGGGAATCCCACTCCAAAACCTATTTGATTTAAACGTTTCTTGCTTTAAAGAGATTTGTGTCTCTTACGAAGAGTACAGGTTTTTTTTAATAGTCATTCATTAAGCAGTTTTTATCAATTGATTTATCTTATATGCCGGATGCAGTTTGAAATTGCAAGATTTGACCATTAATAAAATGTTTTTTTATTTGATAATAATAATTTGTTGAAATTTTTATTATTTTTTAATACATTCTTTTATAATTTTTTATTTTAATTTTAATTTCTATCACTGCTATGTAATAATTTTATTTTTTAATTTTAATTTATTTATTTAACACGTTGGTGAAAATTGCATCGTTTCAAAGCAACAGTTCGAAAGAAAAATAATTTTTTATTCAAAAGTTTTATCTGAAAAAAATTTTATATTCTTGATCAACAACTTAAAAAAATATAAAAACGTAAAAGATTCTCTTCTGAGTAAAAAAAATGCTTTTTTCTTTCAATCGTTGATAAATAAACGAATTGTAAATTGCAAATTTTTAAATTAAATATTTTTCATTCCCAAACATTAATAATTATAATTTTGTTTTGATTATTTTTTTATTTATTCAAATCAGAACAGAAAGAATGAGTTTTTTGGAAAATATTCTGATAATTCCTTCTGATAAATTGTTTTCTATTTCAAAAATAAAAAGAGGAGAATAAAAATTTAAAAATATCAATATTTTAAATTTTAATTCTCATATTATTAAATTTAATATAATAATATTAAATATTAACAATATTAACAATATTAAATAAGATTAATGAAATAATTTTTAATTATTTTCTGACAGATTTTTTTTAGTAAACTTAAGTCCAGTTTTTTTGCGGAAAAGAGAATACACAACTTGTGATAATGAGGAATGTCAAAATGTTGGCAAGTACTAATTAAATATAATTTGTATTATTTTTTTAATTTTTAATGAAATTTTATTAATTTTTCTTTTAAATATTTCCAGCTAATATAATTTTGAGTGGCATGAATCAAACTGTAAATCCCTGTGAAGATTTTTATAGTTTTGTTTGTGGTTCGTGGTCCACTAATCATCCGGTTCCGAAAACAAAAGAAAAGTGGAGTCTCAATACAATGCTTGATGAAAAAATTCAACTTGATTTGAAGAGTAATAAATAAATAATAATAAATAAATAATAAAATAAATAAATAAATAAATAAATATAATTTCTAAGCTTAGAAATAAAAAAATATAAAAATAGCAATAAAACAATGAAATTTTTATTTCAGATATTTTAGAAGGAAATATAACAGATAATGACACACTGGCGTTAAAAGTAGAAAAACAATGGTATTCAGCATGTATGGATGAAGGTAACAAATTTAAAAGAAATTTTTTTTTCTTTTTTTCTTTTTTTTTTAATTTTTATTTCTTTATTTATTAACACCCAGAGAGAAAAATTTTATTTAAACCAAAAATAATTTATTTAACTTAAATAAAAGTATATTATTTCTCTTAGAGCCAACTAGGTTCATTATTTGTTTTAAATAAAAATGTTATTCGGCATAAATGAGGAAAACTTTTATTTGAAGTATTTGAACCAAATAAAATTTTATTCTATTTAATTTATTTAATTGAAATAAATTTTATTTCGAACAAATAAAATGTCTAGTTGGATCTGAGTCAAATATAATTTTTCTTATGGGTATAAGAATAGAATTTTTCTGATTGAAATTTTTTTCTCTTTTAATTTGTTTTTTAGAAAGACTTCGAAAGAAGGGATTCGAACCAGTTAGGAAATTAATAGAAAATGTCGGTGGATGGCCATTGGCTTGCGATAATAATTGTAAATGGAATGAATGCGAATTCTCGTGGCAAAATGTTGCAAAATATTATGCAGGTTTCTTTGGAGAATATAGTTTATTTTCCATTAGCATCGATTCTCTTCCGAATAATTCGAGCATTAAGGTTTTATCGGCAAGTATAAATTTTATATGTTAATTATTTTATACATTGCATTAATTTTTTTTATATTTATTTTCTATTTTTATATTCATAAATAATTCATAAATAAATTTTAATTAATATAGTTATAATTTAAAAATTTTTTTTTAATTTTTATTAATAATTTTTATTTATAATTTTAAAAAAATTTTTATATTTCTCGACAAAAAATAAAATTGAAAGACTTGATTTCAGTTGGATCGTACAAGTTACTCTTTATTTCGAACTTTACTGCCAATCAGTATCGCTGATGATGATGATGATGATAATGATAATAATTACAAAGAAAATGATGATTCTACTTTTATGGAAGAAGAAAAAAAACTTTTGATAACAGTCGTGAGGGCTTATGACAAATCAATAGGGATGACAACAGATTTAAATAATAAGGACATTCAGAAAGTGATCAATTTTAAAATAATGTTGAAGAAGGTAAAAAAAAAATATTTTTATAAAATATGAGTATAAATTAAAGGAATGCTTATTTGAGGATTTTTTCAGATTAAAAAAGTTCAATCTACGAATAATTCTTCATTAATAACTATTCTTGAATTACAACAATTCTACGATCAGCATAAAACTGAATCATCAACAGCTGAGGTATTAAAATATTCCCATAGATTTACACCCAAAGAAAAATATTATTATAAATATTATTTAATATTATTTATATTCACAGTAAATCGTGAGGTATTAAAAAGTGTTGCACCAAAAAAGATTAAAATAATCAATTTTGGTGTTATTTTTTACAATGAATGAAATTTTAGTTCATTAAATTTTTTTATAACTATAAAACATGAAGATATCGACAACTCCGAGTCTTCGACTCGGAGTCATCGATTTCTTCATATTTTATAATAATTAAAGATAACCAAGTAATAAAATCATTATTTTATATTATAACAATATTATACTTCTTCAAAATTATTTTCATTATTTCAATTCAATTATTATTTTCAAAAATTGAAAACTACAATTTTACTTTATATCTATTATTTTTAATAATTTTCCAAAAAGTTCTTTGGCAATTTTCAAATCCATTTGTTTACAACATTCAATTTCACGAAATTTCAATTATTCCTAAATTCTTTAATTAAATGCATATTAGAAAATAAAACCTTCAAATAATATAAAAGAAAATTCAATTAACTTTTTCAAAAAAATTAATTTCAAAATTCAATTATTTCTAAAAATTCACGTTATATTGCTTTTAATATTCAATTATAATCTAAAATTTTAACTAAAATTCCTTTTTATAAAGTGAAAATCAATTTTTATTAGAAAATTCTACAAGAATTTAATTATTTAAATGCAAAAGTAAATAATTTATTGAATAATTGAATATTTCTCAAAATTCAATTCTCATAAAGAATTTTATTAACAAATTTTTAAATAGTTAAATTCTTTTGTCGAATTTTATTAAAACTTGCATGAATATAATTACTTTTTTCAAGGAATTCAATTATAATTGTATGAAAAATAATTGAAACGCTGCGATGAGTTTTATAAGAATTTTCAAATTCATTCGTTTACATTTTAATTTTACAAAATTTTAATTATACGGAAATTCTGCAATTAAATATATATTGAAAAATAAAAACTTGAAATAATTTCAATAAAAATCCTATTAAACTTTTAAAAAGAATTAATTCTACAGAATTGTTTGTCAAAAATATGAAAAATTAAGAATTTTAATGATTTTAGTTTGAAACTTTTTCAAAATTTAATTATTTCTAAAAAACCACGTTACAATGCTTTTAATATTTAATTATAATTTAAAATTTTAACTGAAATTCATTTTTAAAACCATTTTTATTAGTAAATTCTACGAAAATTTCATTATTTAAATACAAAAATAAATAATTTATTAATTTCATGTTTCTTGAAATTAAATTATCATAAAAAATGTTATCAACAAATTTTTTAAATCATTAAATTCTTTGGACCAATTTTAATAAAATTTTTAAAAATAATTACATTTTTCGAGGAATTCGATTAAAATTCCATTAAAAAATAATTGAAATTATGCAATGAGTTTTATTATTTATAAAAATAATTGAATTCCTAAAAGAATTTTATTATTTATGAAAATAATTGAATCCCTGTAAAAATTTTATTATTTATGAAAATAATTGAATCCCTGTAAAAATTTTATTATTTATGAAAATAATTTAATTATTGAGAAAAAATTTATAACAAATAAAAAAAATTAAAAATTTTTTTTTTTTTTTTTTAAATTTAAAATTATAAAATTTGTAAATAATTAAATTCCTGTAAAAATTTTTATTATTTATGAAAATAATTGAATGTTTGCGTAAAATTTTATTCAATTTTTTTTTTATTAATGGAATTCCTTTTAAAAATTTTATTGAAATAGTAGATATTGAAAATCATTGAATTCTAGAAAACTTTTGAAAACAATTGATATTTTGACAAAGATTTTATAGAAATTTTGTAAAATAATTGAATATCAGAGAAGAATTTTATTATTTATAAAGAAAATTGAAATTTTGACGAGAATTTTATTAAATTTTTGAAAATAGTTAAATTCTTAGGAAGAAATTTAATATTTAGGTAAATAATTATTGAATTCTTGGGAAGAATTTTATTAAATTTTTGAAATAATTGAATTCTGCTGAAGAATTTTATTAAATTTTCAAAAGTAATTGAATTCTAGAGAAGAATTTTATTTTTTATGGAAATAATTGAAGTCCTAAAAAGAAATTTAATATTTAGAAAAATAATTGAATTCTTGGGAAGAATTTTTTTGAATTTTTGAAATAATTGAATTCTAGGGAAGAATTTTTAAAAATTTTTTAATAAAATAATTGAATTCTGGGAAGAATTTTATTAAATTTTTGAAAATAATTGAATTCTAGAGAAGAATTTTATTTTTTATGAAAATAATTCAATTCCTAAAAGAATTTTATTATTTATAAAAATAATTGAATCCCTGTAAAAATGTTATTATTTATGAAAAGAATTGAATTCCTAAAAGAATTTTATTATTTATAAAAATAATTGAATCCCTGTAAAATTTTTATTATTTATTATATTATTTATTTATTATTTATTTATGAAAATAATTGAATGTTTGAGTAGAATTTTATTCAAATTTTTTTTAATAATGGAATTCTTTTGGAAAATTTTATTGAAATAGTAGATATTGAAAATCATTGAATTTTAGAAAAGTTTTGAAAATAATTGAAATTTTGTAAAATAATTGAATATCAGAGAAGAATTTTATTATTTATAAAGAGAATTGAAATTTTGACGAGAATTTTTAAAAAATTTTGAACACAATTGAATTTAGTAACTATGTTACTAAGTTAGTAACTAACTTACTAATTTACTATTTTCCCTGGAGAAGCTAAATTCGTTGATTTTTTACAAATCGTTGACTTTGGTTTTTTATTTAAAGTAAAATTTCATTCACTGTTAAAAATAACACCAAAATAGATTATTTTAATCCTTTTTGGTGTTAATTTAATCTTAGAGGGATTAAACTGTTGCAGATTATTTTAATCCATTCTGGTATTATTTTAGCACTTCACGTTTTACTGTACGTGTTATTTAATATTATTATTTTACATTTAATTATTTAAATATTATTTATAAAATTTCAGATCGATTGGCTGGAAATGTTTCGTGCTCTATCAGTGAATTCTGGTGTAAAAATTAATGAGGATGAAAAATTACTACTTCTGGATAAAGTGTATATTATAAAGTTAGCCAAACTCTTGAGTCAAACATCTCACAAAACTATTGGTTAATTTCTTTTATAAATTTCTCCAATTACAGATAAAATAACTAAAATTCTAATTTCAACGTAAAATTATAATTGTTTTTGATTTTCGAAATTATTTTTCAGTAAATTACATTCATTGGACTTTTGTCAAGGATTCTTTGAAGTATTTGGATAAAGAGAAGAGGCAATGGTATTCGAATGCGATGAACTCGATTTATGGAATTAAAGAAGACAAAAAGCGGTTCGTCAAATATTTTTTTTTAAATTATGAACAAAGCCTACTAAACTTTTTAAATAATAAATAATAATAAACTTTAAATATTTTTGAATAAAAGGCCAATATCGTTTTTTTAAACAGATAAGCCTTTTATTTAAAAATATTTAATTATATCTATAATAATCGGTCACTAACTTCAAGAATAAATAATAAACTTTGTTTCAAATTAATTTTATTTGGACCAAATAAAAATTTATTTTTCGAAATAATTTGAAAAATTAAATTTATTCACTGCTGTGTTTATTTTTAACTGAAAATAATTATTTTCAGATGGGAATCATGTATCGAACACTTGCCTCTGGTTTATGGCTATAATCAAGCGTATGTGAAAAAATACTTTTCAGAAAATTTGAAAATCATTGTAAGTGAATAATACCAGTTTACATAATATTGAATATAGTGCATGAATGGAGAATTAATTATTTTAAAGGCTAGCAAAATGGGAGATGAATTACGCGATGGAGTTGAAAAACAAATTTTACGCTCCAATTGGATGGATGAAAAAACGAAAAACTTGGCTCGCGAAAAACTTGAGGCAATGAAATTTCATATTGGTTTTCCGGAGACATTCAAGAATGAGACGTTTTTTGACTACCTCTATAATGGCGTAAGAAAAACAAAAGTTTGATAACAAATTTTCTATTAGTTGCTAATTTATAATTTCAAAATTTTTTTATTTCACACACAGAGAAAAGTATTTTGAATTCAACCTCATTTATTTCAAATCAATTTTTATTTTTTTCAAATTAATTGTATTTGAATTAAATAAAATTTTATTTGATTAAAATTAAATTTCATTTGATTAAAATTAAATTTCATTTGATTAAAACTAAATTTCATTTGATTAAAATTAAATTTTATTTGATTAAAATTAAATTTCATTTGGTTCAAATAAAATTTTTACTTGTGTCAAAGAAAATTTTTATTTAAAAGAAATGAACAATTTTTTAGGCTCTGAAAAAATATACTTTTATTTGACTAAAATTATATTTGGTAGAAATAAAATTTATCTCTGGGTGAAATCTAAAGTAATATAATAATTATTATAAAAAACACTAATTGCATTTGATTCAAATAATACCGATTAATTCAAATAAAAATTTACTTGAGTCAAATAAATTTTACTTAAGCCATTAAATTATATTTGAACCAATAATTTTAGTATTTGAAGCAAATATATATGAATTGAACCATTTAATTGAGTCAAATGAAAATTATTTAACAAAAATAAATATTTAATTGATAATACACAAGTATAATCGTTTATTTTAAACAAAAATTTTTTTTGTAATCATTTTTGAGTAAATAAATAATTTTTTTTAAATTACAGCTCAAATTGGGACCAGATTATTTTAAAAATGTTTTGAGTTACTTTATACATGGAACAAAACAATCATGGGAGAAATTTAGAAATTCAGCTGATAAAAATGAGTAAGTTTTTATTTAATTTATGAAAACTTTTTAAAGTTTTTTTAACTTTTTTTTAATATTACTTTTTAACTTTAAAAAGATTTCATAAATTAAATTAGAAAATTTTTTAAAAAATGTTTATAAATTACATTTACTGTAGGTGTCATTTTAATTTTAATTCGTATTAAGAAAAATGATAATAATTAATTTATAGTATTCTTTATTTTTTTATTTATATTAAATAATGAAAGATAAAAAAAAATTTTTTTTAAATAAAATTTAAAAAATGAAATTAGCTTTAATTTAGTAATTATTGTATAACTATAAATGTTACAAAAATTGTAAAAGAAATTATTTAAGAAGATGAAAAATTAAATAAATTTAAAAATTCAAATTTTAGTTTCGCAATGTTACCAACAACTGCCAACGCCGTTTACTATATGCCCGACAATGCGCTAAGTATAATTTTTCTTTCTATAAATATTTAAAAAATATAAAGATTTTTTTGGAAAAAAATAATTATGAATTAAAAAAATTAAAATTTGTGTATTTTATTATAATATAGCTTTACCAGCTGCTCAGCTTAAATCACCTTTATTCAGCGATGCATTACCAACGTATGTTATTAAAGAAAACTTATACAAAATTATTAGTCGATAATAAAATTTAATTCAAAATCTTTAAAAAATTAAATTTGATCATAATTATAATTATAAATCATAATTTAGTCATAAAAAATTGAGTTTATTTAAAAATATTCAAAAATAAAATTCAGTTTTTATAAAATAAATATTTTCCAGAGCTGTTAATTACGGATCCACTGGTTTTATTATGGCTCATGAAATTTTTCATGGATTTGATAATGAAGGTAAGTTTTGTTTAATTAACGATATTAATTTTGTAATTGTTATAAAATTTACAGCATTTAAACTTTTCTTTTGAAGGTCGAATGTATGACAAAAATGGAAATAAAGTGAATTGGTGGTCAGACCGAATGGTTGAGTTATACGAAGAAAAATCGCAATGTTTCGTTGAACAATTCAATGACTACAAGGTAACTCGATATTATTAAAATATTCTTTAATTATTTTATTTATTTATTATTTTACCTAAAATATTCTTAAATTATTTTATTTATTTATTATTTTATCTAAAATATTTTTTAATTATTTTATTTATTTATTATTTTATCTAAAATATTTTTTAATTATTTTATTTATTTATTATTTTATCTAAAATATTCTTTAATTATTTTATTTATTTATTATTTTTTCTAAAATATTCATTATTATTAGTTCATACATTTTAAAAAAAAAACTAAGTGATTAGGTAATTAGGATAATTAGACAAAAAATTAGAATTTTAGTAAAATTCGAAAAATTTCTCTCAAAAGATAAATGGCGAACTTACTGAAGGGGAAAATATTGCAGACACTGCTGGATTAATTACAGCTTTTGAAGTTTACAAGAATAAAATAAGAAAACACAATAGTAATGATATGAGACTTCCGGGACTTCAAAATATAAGTAGAAAACAACTTTATTTTATTTCATTTGCTGCTGTAAGTTTTTAGATTAATATATAAAATTTTGTTTATATTTTGAATAAAATTTGTTTTTGTATTTATTTTTCAATATAAAAATCCACTGAAAAAAATTTATTTAATTCAAATAAACGATTACTTGTCTATTATTAAATAAATATTTATTAAATTTAATAAATTAAATAATTAAATAAATTAAATTGATTCAAATAATTTTTATTTAAATCAATTAAATGGTTCAATTCATATTTGCTTCAAGTACTAAAATTATTGGGTCAAGTATATAATTTTTGTTATTTAAATAAAAATTATTTGATTCAAGTAAATATTTATTTGGTAATAGGCAAAAAATCGGTTATTATTTAGGTCAAATAAATTTTTTCCCAGTGGCAAAATTTAGGAATTATTAATTTTTGTTAAGTTTAAGAAAAACATTTGTTTAATACTATTTTTTTTCTTTTTAGACATTTTGTAGTAGTTTAACGCCCGAATATAGAGAACAAATGAGGAAAAAAGATGAACATTCAACAACATATTATCGAATTAATGGAGCAGTTTCAAATAGTGAGGAATTTTCGCGAGCTTTTAGATGCTCGAAAAGCTCTCCAATGAATCCTGATCGAAAGTGTCATATTTTTAAATAATTTTTGTCGAAAAGTATTAATAAATTAACACCACAGTTAATTGAATGAATAAATAAATAAAAGAAATTATTGATTACAAATAATATATTTAATGTTATTTTATGAAAATTTCAATTGTAATAATTTAATAAGGTTATTTTTAAATTAAAAAATTCGAAGAAGCATCATTAAAATTTAGTTGATTTTTTAATTGGTTTTTTAAGCTTTTTTGAAGCTTTTACCGATACTTTTAACTATATCTAGAAAATAATTTATATATTCCATAAAATTGTTTTTATAGAAAATTTTTTTTTAGGGTAATTTGTAGAAAATATGTTTTTGTATCAACAAAAAAATCGTTGAATGAAAAAATTGATTTTTTACTATTTTTTTGGAGCAGTTTTTTTGGAGTTGAAAAATAGTCATCAGAATATTTTCTGAACGTTATTTTCTGAGCATTGAATTCGTCTCTAAAAATTTACTGCATAAAAACAATTTTATGGAATATTTAAATTATTTTCTTGACAAAAATTATTTTCAAAAATTGTTTTCCAAGAAATTATTTTGTTAGGATACAATAAATCGACAATTATTATTAAATACAAAACTCTTTAATACTTAATAACAATATTATCTATAACACAATGAGTTATGCGCATAAATAATCGTCTACTTCTAAATATGTACATTCTATGGCTGTTTTTCATTGCCTTCTCCATAAAGAATCTCTTCAAAAGTCACAAATTCAAATAAATTCACAAATTACCGAAATAAAATCGCAACAATTTTTTAAATTTATAGAATTTAGTTGCGTTATCAATTTTAGAGTGTTTTTTTTGTAAATTATTACATTTTATCATTATTTTTTACAAAATTAAAAATTTTTCAATTGCAATAATTTAGTTACATTATTTCTAAATTAAAAATTTAGTTTAAAATAAATAGTTAGGAATTTATAATCACATGTACTTTCTATTTTTTTGCGAAAACGTCGAAATGCAGTATTAATTTTTGAAAAATCATCTATTTCTCCCTAAATTTGAATTAGTAAATTCAAATTTAAATATTTAAATATTCAGATTTAAACATAAATTAAATATTTAATTTAATTTAATTTTTTTTTTAAATATTTAATACTAATTTGAATTAGTGACAGACATTTTCCTTTTGAATTTGTAACTTTTAGTCTTTTATTAATAAATTAGTAGAAATTACTATTTATTAGTAAAATTTACTAATTTAATTTACTGAATTTGACTAATAAATTAGTAGAAATTACTATTTAATAGTAAAATTTTCTGTAATAAATAGTTTTTTCTACTAATTTAATTTACTAAATTTGACTAATAAATTAGTAGAAATTACAATTTATTAGTAAAATTTACTAATTCAAAAGCAAAAATTCAAATTAAGTGAACATTTTAACTAATTCAAATTTAGAGAATTTTTTTTTGTGAATATGTAGATATTATTTAATAATATAAACACATCGCAGTATGAACATTATAATCAGACGCATAAATGCGTGTTTAAAAATATAAAATTCATTTGAAAATTTTCTCTTTAAAAATCATAATGAGAACAGTCAGTTTCACAGATTCGTTGCTCTCTTTTCTTGTTTAAAAACATTTAACAATTTTACAGTTACAAAAACAATCACTTTACATTCTCTCAACAAATTCTGTTTTAAATTAATATTTACACTTATGAGGATCACAATTTCAGTTATTTTTTTTCTCTCTCATGTAGAAGAAAGATTTTTTTTTTCGAAGTATATCAACCCAATCTGTAGACGTACTGTGGTATACTGAGGGCAAATTTTGGAATCGCCATCACAACAGACATTCTGTAAATGATAATTATTTATTAATTTTTGAATTTTTGAATTAAAATAATTTAAAATTTAACGTAATTTAACGTTTTATTCAAATTTAGTCATATTTACTTTATGTCATGCAAAAGAATGTGAAATTATCAAAATATTTTACTACAATTATCAATCTGTAATCTGTAAAAATTGATAATTGATTATTAACCGCTTAAGTGCTCTGGCAATGATTTAAAGAGTAATTGTAAGAAAAACAAATTTTTTACCCAGAAAACAATATTTTTTTTGTCGACAAATTTTTATTTTTTAAACTGTTGATGAACTGTTTTAATGTTGATGTAACTGTTGTTAAAAAAAATTGTTTGCCAAAAATTTGGATAGAAAAAAAAAATTGTTTTCATTAAATCGTTTATTTTATAAACGTTGTGAACTTTACCAACGTTAAAATTTTTTGCTATTGACACTTGAGAGGTTAATTTTTGAATTTTTACACTTTTGTTTTATTATATAATAATTATAATAGTAAATTTACTTTGTCATGCAAAAGATGAATCGAAATTCTTTTTTACTCACTGTCGTGTTTTAATGATAGTCCAATCACCATATTCCACCACCATAGAAAAATTTATCTATTTACTTAAGCATTTACAGTTTTTATATGAGGCACAAAAGAATTAACATATTCTGAAAAAGCTTCATGATTAAGAAAATGCTGTTCGATAAATTTTATTCAAACAGGAACAAATCTTCAAATATTTTTGAAGAGAAGATATTTTGTCTCTATAGTCAGAGAAATGTTCAATTTGAACCAAATATAATTTATTTGGTCTAAATATAATTTATTTGAGTCAAGTAAAAGTATTTCAAACTTCTAATAAAATATTTCTAAACATTTTTTTGAAAAGCTTCCTTTGAGATTAAAATCTCCGTCTTGGGAAAAGCTTCCACTGGAATATAGAAGAAAGCTTTTCTAAACATTTCAGTGAAGGAAATTCTTCATTTCGAAATGAATTTTTGTGCTTTATGCTCTTTTAAAAAATTAGGAACGTAGCTTTAAAATACTTTATTGGAAGACTGAATAAAAAGAACTAAATAAAAATGATAGGAAAAATTCGCAAAAAATTGAGAAAAATTGAGAAAGTTGTGTGTTCTAAAATAATAGCAGAGCACAGGTAATAATAGAAACGAATTTATTAACACTTATAATAGATTATTATTTAATACTTTAGAGTATATTATACTACTGAGTTGCAACATTTTTCGCTACGAAACCCCTGAAACATACAATATGCCAAACGATTACGGATTCACCAGTGTTTAAAAATTGAAGTTATAGATTTCTTAATTTTCTATTGCTATGAAAATTTACATTTTCTACAACATGAAATTTTATATTTACAGAGTCTTAACACTTATTGAGATCAGTATTGCATTTTCAATTTTTTTTTTTTATAGATTTTTACATCTAGAAAAAGCTAATAACCAAAGTTGATTCGATTTTATTTTGATTGAGTCAAATAAATACAGACCCAATTTTTCAAAGTACTTTTAATTTCTACTGAATTTGACAGCAGAGGTAATAATTTAATTTCTTTCTGAAGTTCGTTGTTTGTTAATAAAAAAATGTAGTATAGATTTTTTACATTTGTTAGTACAGAATAATTTTATACCATCACCAAGAGAAGTGTTTTGATTATATGTTAACTAAAGTAGATGAGAAATGATTTTATGTATTAATGATTTCATGTCAAACTTGTTTTTAATTTTCTATTATGGTTTTGGTGTGTAGGTTTCATGCCACCAATCTTGTACATACGAGAGAGCAAGGCCATTGTATATCCAGGCACGCCAGCCAATTTTTGTTTCGCCATCAATTCTTGACTCGAGACTCTGACAAAGAGCCTTTCTGTCGTGGCTTCTTCCACTCCTCAGATCGCAGAGCAGCCTTTTGCGGCACTCGTCATTGCATGCCGGTCTCACTGGCGAATCTTTGTAGTAATGCCTGTTAAAAATATTTTTCATTTTTAACTTTTAATTTTTTTTTCATTTTTCATTAAAAAATTATTGCCTATTGACAGTAGTTAATTTATTTGGCTTTCCCTGTAGGGGTCATACACATCATGTCAAAGTAAAAACCTAGTAAGTACCTTTTCCGTAAGTGGACGTCGATTTTACGGAAGATGTGGTTACTAGCTTTTCACTTTGGATAGCACATCTACTATCCAAAGTGAACGTCGACTTTACGGAAGATGTGGTTACTAGCTTTTCACTTTGGATAGCACATCTACTATCCAAACTGAACGTCAACATTACGGAAGATGTGGTTACTAGCATTTCACTTTGGATAGCAGATGCTATAGCATCTGCTATCCAAAGTGAAAAGCTAGTAACCACATCTTCCGTAAAGTCGACGTTCACTTACGCAAAATGTAGTTATAAATTAATTTAATTAGTAGAACAAAACAAAAATTACTTGTAGTAAAGGTCGAAAGTCATCGGTTCACTGGACATCTTGTCAATCAGAGAATCCCAGTCCTTGGGCAGAAGAGAAGACATCTGATAAGCTTGTCTTGCACTATACGATTTGTACCAGAATGGATAGTCGTACAAATTGGCCTCCTTTAGGTTCATTACCCAACTCTCATGATCGACTACCATCTTTAATAATATTTTTTCCCGAATTAGTAAAAAAATTTCCCTTTTAAAAAACTATTCACTGAGAATAAAGTAGCAAAGAGCGAACTTTTTCTTACCCTCGTCGTTTTTGCATGATCGCCATCGACATAGTATATTCGATAGCCAGGATTAAGATCATAGTAAGGCGAAACAGAGGGTCCTACGTAGGCAATGCTCAATGCTCTTCCAAGATCAGTGGTGTCGTAAAATACCTCAAACTCATCGAAATGCGTGTGACCAAAGAATTGTGCCGTTATTGTTGATTCATACCTGTTTTTGTGGTGAAAAGAAAATCTTGTTTTAAATTCCATTTGCGTTCTCAAGAAAGTTGGAATTTAGGAGCCGGTTTCAAATTCAAAACAATTGAGGACCCGCGGATCAAAGAACTGACACTTGCTGACGCAACTTACCGATTTATTATGTGATAGTAATTTCTAGACCAAATTTTTAAACAATCGGCGTGTCCAGGCGGAATATGTCCAATAATGTGCACCTTCTCGCCACTCATTTCTGCCGTTTGCAGTTCGTAGATTAACCACTGCAGTTCATTAACTGGATCCGTACTGTTTATCAATAGCCACCAATTTTTATTGTTACAGTAATTTGTGTTTATGGATAGAATTCGAAAACCCGGTCGTACTAGAACTGAATAGTAGGCTCCCATTCTGACCGTTCGAGAGACTGCTGAAGGTAACCATTTTTTCCACTGGATATCGAGTTCGTCGTACAGCCACGATATACTGTCATTGTCGGTTATGAATTGTGGTGGAAAACTGAAATATTGGTAATTTTTTTAGTTACATTTTGAAAGTGGAAAATTCATAGTTGTAATGATTTCAATTGTTGGTGATTCCAGTTATGTGAAAATAATATATTACCTATTTACTGGTGCACTTTCGTGATTCCCAAGAGCGGGAAAAATGGGTATTTTGGGGAAGTGCTCGATCATTTGTTGAACTGTATCCCTTAATATGTTTAGGTTTTCTTCCCTCGTTTGGTTCCAAACGTCGTGAGGTGGCAGGTCTCCAGTCCATAGAATGTAGTCTATATCCTGTTTTGATGCAAAGAATTAATTTATTATAGTGAGTACATATATTGAAATAATTTTTCAAGCAAAAATTGAAATTTTTACCGCGCACGCGCGAGTCTCGACAGACCACGTGTTTGTAAAATCATCCTCAGTTTCGAATTTCAGTTTCTAATTAAGTGAGTGTTAATTTCGGGAATGTTCGAATTTAATCGCGATCGAATTTTAATTTTTATTAATCTACATTATTTTGGATATTTTAACAAAATCCGAGATCAATAATTTTAATATTTTTCGAGAAAAAAAGTGATTTGCAAATTAATATTAGGCGACGATCACGTGACCCAGTCACAGAATGGATGCCAACAACGTGCGAGTGCAGCTGAAGGATGGAGATCGGATTCAATCAGTAATTTCTCTGTAAGTTTACTCTAATTTTTTATGGCAAAAAATATTTTTCAGATACGGTTGTATTTTTTATAATTTTCTCTATTTTCTTTCTATATCATGGTTATTATGCTATGTAATAAAAATTTAATAATTAAACGCATAATTTATTATTTTCAAACATCAACTTTAATATTTGAATAATTACAGATTCAAAATTTTAAATATTCATTTATTTACTAAATAATTATTATTGTACATTATATTCAAAAACTTTAATAAAATTCTTCATAGCAATTCAATTATTTTCAAAAAATTATAATAGAAATCTTTGTACGAATTCGTTTTTCTCATAAATAGTAAACTTCTTCGTGGAAATTCAATTTTATTAAAAATAAATTTTAATAAAATTCTACAATAAAAGAGAATTGAATTATTTTCAGTATAATTTGAAATAAATTCGTCGATAAAATGTGCAAGAAGTCAATTATTTTCATAAATAATTAACGTTTTTGCAAGAATTCGATTATAATAAAATCTCTTAAATGAATTCAATTTTTTTTAAAATTTTAAAAAATTTTTCGAAAAAATTCAATTATTTTCATAAATAATAATTTTTTTTTTATAAAAATTCAATTATTTTCAAAAATTAATAAATATTTTTTTAGAAAAATTCAATTATTTTCATAAATAATAAATTTTTTTTAGAAAAATTCAATTTTTTTTATAAATAATAAATTTTTTTAGATAAATTCAATTATTTTCAATTTAATTCTAATGAAATTGAATTATTTTCATAAGTAATAAATTTTTTTAGAAAAATTCAATTTTTTTATAAATAATAAATTTTTTTAGATAAATTCAATTATTTTCAATATTGATTTCTAATAAAATTTAATAATTTTCATGAATAATACAATTTTCTACATGAATTAAATTATTTTCATAAATATTAGAATTTATTAGATAAATTCAAATATTTTCAATTTAATTTTAATAAAATTCCATTATTTTTATAAATATTAAAATTTTTTAGAAAAATCGGAAAAATTCAATTATTTTCATAAATAATAATTTTTTTTAGAAAAATTCAATTTTTTTATAAATAATAAATTTTTTTAGATAAATTTAATTATTTTCAATATTGAATTCTAACAAAATTTAATAATTTTCATGAATAACAAAATTTTCTACATGAATTAAATTATTTTTATAAATATTAGAATTTATTAGATAAATTCAAATATTTTCAATTTAATTTTAATAAAATTCCATTATTTTTATAAATATTAAAATTTTTTAGAAAAATCGGAAAAATTCAATTATTTTCATAAATATCAAATTTTTTTAGAAAAATTCAATTATTTTCAATTTAATTTTAATAAAATTCAATTATTTTCATAAATAATAAAATTTTCTAGATGAATTCAATTACTTTCAAAATTTTTTATAACATACTTTATAAGAATCAAGTTATTTTTAATGCAATTATAATATTCAATTCCTCGAAAGAAGTTCATTATTTTCAAAAATTTCCAAACAATTGTTAAAAACAAATCAATTTTTTTTCAAAAATATTAATATATGTAATTCTACACAACAATTGAATTATTTCACATTTAAAGTTATAAAAGAATTACAAAAATTCAATTATTTTTATAAACAAATATAATTCTTTAGCTGTATTCAATTATTTTTCACTGGAATTCAATTCCAGTTAAATTTCTCGAAAAAAATTCAATTTTTTTTAATTTTAATAAATTTTTAGCAAAATTTTATTTATTTTCATAAATAATTGACTTCTTTTGATAATTTCAATTATTTGAAATATAATTTTTAATAAAATTCCTCGCAAGAATTTAATTATTTTCAAAAATATTACAATATTCTTCGCATAAATTCAATTATTTTTATAAATAATAAAATTCTTTAGAGGAATTTTCAATTATTTTGAAAAATTTCTTACAAATTTTTTTATAAGAATTCAATTATTGTCCGCATAGAATTATAATTGAATTCCTCAAAAAAAGTATTCATTATTTTCAAAAATTTTTATACATATTTATTAAAAACAATTCTTTTTTTTTAATTTTAATAAAATTCTATGCAGCAATTTTAAATTCTTTCATATTCAATTATAAAATACTTATAAAATTTTTGAGGAAGATAGTTTGTGAAGAACTTTTATTTACATATTTTTGAAATTAAGTTGAATTTTTAAATACATATTACACTGAAAAATTTTAAAGTTGTTGAAATTTCATACACTGTAAAAAGAAAGGTACTAATTTAGTACCAAAATTGGTACTAAATCGTAATTTGGTTCTATTTTAGTACCGAAATCAGCTCTAATTTAGAACCTTTTTTTTATAGTGTAAAATTGAATTGTTAAATAATTGCGGATTTCAGTATTAATTTAGATAGATTTTTTTTTATTTAATAAATAATTGAATTCTCAAGGAACTTTTTAAAAAATTGTTCGTTTCAAGTGAAATTAATTATTTATATTCAAAGTATAAGCTAATTTATAACACAGCTTTTATCACAGTACACAGAAAAAAAGAAGTGTTGTTTTAACACTAAAAATAGTGTTAAAACAACACGCAACATTTTTAACCGACACTGTGTGATTTTAACACTTCATTGGTGTTAAAATAACACAGGAGTGTGTTAAATTAACACTAGAGGGTGTTAAATTAATAAAAATTTTTAATGGAGTTAAAATAACACCAAAATTGTGTTAAAATAACACCATCTGAAAACTGCAGGCAACAAATTTAACACATATTTCTTTCTGTGATTCTAAGGATATCAAATTGAGACAAAAATAAATGAATCAAAACGTTGCTTCGCAACAGTTTTGATTCATTTATTTTTGTCTCAATTTGATATCTTTAGAAAATCTATGGATTACTATGTTAGAATTTAAATAATGGTTGCTTAAAGGTCCCTACTGACTTAATTAGGTAAACAAATCAAGTGTTTTAAAAACCGTATGGACTACTTACAGTGTGTGTTGTTGCAATATGATTCAACATGTGGTCGACAGTTCTCTTAGGAGTGTCACATTTTCTGTAATCTCCCCATCTTCCGGCAGCGGCAGAAGCGGTGAGGGGACGTCCATTAGTATATCGACAACAAAGGGGTTCATTGCACTCGGCATTTGAACCCTCCATGTAGTAAGGATCGTAATGAGTGTCAGATATGTGAAGGACCTTGAAGGTCGGAGCACCTTCCTTGGGCGGAATAGGTGGTTGAATAGGCGGCTTATTCACAGGTGGGAAGGCCACTTCCCATTCATGCTGCGGATTATACGTATCTTCACATGCATCTCCAATTACAAAGCTGCAAATTTGAGCTGGCCCCAAATCGATCTGCTTCAAAACGTATATCACTTCACCCTGCAAGAATTTAGTTTTTAGAAAATGCCTAGCTCTCTTAGTATTAGGACCAGTTTCACGAATAGCCTTTAAATTATTTAGAGGTCCGGGCTGGCAACTATAGTGGTCACCATTTATTTTGACGAATCCGTATGATTTAACATTATAGCAGACAGTGCTGAATTTAAGCCTGACCTTAAATTAAGATTTACTTTTTCCTGTGACAAATCATGAGCCGTTAAACCAGCTTTAATCTTAAATTAACTTTTAATTGTGCTTGGCGGAATTAGCCCTTATTGTTCAGTAGAAGAACAAAATCTTACCCCAAAAAGATCAGTAACTCCAGAGCAGACTCGGGGGCTTTGAATTTTGAAATAGGTACAAAATTGATAAATATGCTGTAGAATTTCGTTGTCACTTTTTCCTGATTTGATGTAGTGCTGCAAAAGACCAGCTCCCACTTTACATGCCGAGCATGATACTTTAGACATGACGGAGGTTTCAACCTCTATCATAACTTGTCTCAAATCTAAAAGTTTCACTGCCTTGTCAACAAACAGGGAAAGATGGCCTCCTTGTTGGGTACTTTCCATGTTCCACAACATTCGCGAATAATTCACCTGCAAAAAATTATAGTTTGATAAATATCTTTTTTTCAAAAAGAATACAAAAAATTAAAGTTTTTCTTTCTCTATAGACAATACAATTTCGTTATCTCTATTTTATAATTTTTTACCTAACATAACAGGTTGGATAGAAACTATAAATTATCTGCACGTTATTGTTGATTATTTGAATAATGTAAATATTTCTTCATACAGTGAAATTAAAAATAAAAAAACTTCAGTATTTTTGGTATTAAAAATGGTTATCACAGGTCAGGGAAATCAAGATATTTAGGGAAGAGTCAGGTAAAGAAGAATTGGTCAGGAAAATCAGGGAAAAATCAGAGAATTTTATAATTAAAAACACTAAAAAAGTTGAATTTTGGAGAAGTCACAAATGATTGCAAAAATTCAATTATTTTCAAAAGCAATAAAATTCTTCGCAGAAATTCAATTTGTCCAAAATTTTTTTTTTAATCTCAATTATCTTCTAATAAATAAATAAATAAATAAATAATTAAATAAATAAATAAAATAAATAAATAAATTAGAGGTTATAGAGAACTTTGATTATTTTCAATAAAATTTCTCGAAAGATTTCAATAATTCTAAAATTTTTTGATAAATTACTTGTCAGCATTCCAATTATTTTAAATTCTTTGCAAGAATTCAATTATTTTCAAAAATTTAATAAAATTCTTCCCAAGAATTCAATTATTTTCATAAATAATCAAATTCTTCCCCAGAATTAAATTATTTTCAAAATTCAATAAAATTCTTCCCCAGAATTCAATTATTTTCGAAAATTTAATAAAATTCTTCCACAAAATTCAATTGTTATTTTCGAAAATTTAATAAAATAATTAATTCGCAATAATTCAATTCTTTTCGTAAATAATAAAATTTACCGCAAAATTTCAATTAGTTTTCATATAATTTTAATTCGTCGAAAGAATTCAATTCTTTAAAAATTGATTGATTAAATTCTTTATGAGAATTCAATTTCAAAAAAACGTTCAATTATTCAATAAATTATTTATTATTGTATTAAAATAATTCAATTCTGGTAGAATTTTCTCATAAATAGGTAGAATTTTCTCATAAATATTGATTTAAAAATTAATTTTAAATAAAAATACTGTATAAAAATTCTGTAAAATTAGTTTGTTTGGAAAAGTTTAATTGAATTTTTTAAAAAATTTTTCAAGTTTTTATTTTTTAAATATTTAATTGCAGAATTTCTGAATAATCAACATTTCGTAAAATTGAATTGCTAACAAATTAATTTTAAAATTCCCAAAGAGCTTTCTCAAAAATTATTAAATATAATAGATAATTGAATTCTTTCGGAGAATTTCAACAAAATTTTTGAAAATAATTACATTTTTCGAAGAATTTACCTACTTATAATATTGTATTGAAAATAATTGAAATTCTTCGAAGAATTTTATTATTTAGGAAAATAATTGAATTTTGCAACGATTTTTTATTACATTTCTTTTAAATAATTGTAATCCTGTGAAGAATTTTATTATTTATGAAAATAATTGAATTCTTGCAACGACTTTTATTAAATTTTTGTTAAATAATTGAAATCCTGTGAAGAATTTTATTATTTATGAAAATAATTGAATTCTTACAACGAATTTTATTACATTTTTTTAAATAATTAAAATCATTTAAAAATTTTATTTCAAAAATTAATTAATTTATTTATTAATAATTTATTATTATTATTATTCTTATTTATTTATTTAATTTTAATTTATTAATTTATAAAATTAAAATTTTATTTCAAATTAAAATTTTTAAAAATTTGAGTTTAATTGAATTGCTAACAAAATAATTTAAAAATTCCCAAAATTCCCAAAGAGCTTTTTCAAAAATTATTAAAAATAATTGATAATTGAATTCTTTCGAAGAACATTATCAAAATTTTTGAAAATAATTACATTTTTCGAAGAATTTACTTGAAATTTTATTAAAAATAATTGAAATCCTGTGAAGAATTTTATTATTCAGGAAAATAATTGAATTCTTGCAATTAATTTTTAAAAATTTTTTTTTAAATTGAAATCCTGTAAAGTATTTTATTATTTATAAAAATAATTGAATATTCTTTCAAAGAATTTTATTACATTTTTGTTAAATAATTGAAATTATTTAAAAAATTTATTACTTGTAAAAATAATAAATTGAATTCTTGCGAAGGATTTTATTAAAATTTTTCTAAATAATTTAATTTAAAAAAAAAAATTTATTGAAATTTAAATTATTATAAAACATGAAGATATCAATCACTCCGACTTTCCAATTAAAGAATATTCTTTAGGGTCAGGGAAAAAATCAAAATCAATCAGGAAAAAGTCTGGAAATCAGGGAAAAACAAAATTAATTTTTTATGGCAATCCTTTTCGAAAATATTTTTTCCCCTGGTGGTTATTTTTAGCTTCGCGATTATTTTACTCAATTCTTGTAATATTTGTAATTTGTACATTTATATCTCATGTAGTATTGCAAATTGATGAATAATGCATAATAAAAAAAAAATATTTGTATTTTTCTGACGATGCAACTACAGTGAAAGGATTTTGGTATGGAAAGTGAAAGTAAAGGATTGAATTGTCCAGAAAAAGAAAGATAGTAAAACGGAATTACTTCAAGGCCACTATAAGCTTTATACACTTTGTGTTTAGAAAAAGAACAAAATGACTCGAATTTCCTGATGGTAGTTAAGCATTAAGTGCGAAATACTACTTTTACATCATGGTTAGACTTTTACATAATAATTTACTTTCTCGCAATATTTTTCAGTACAATTTTTTTTTTTTTATTGTTGAGATTTAACATTTTTTTATATAAACAATTTTTATTTTTAATTTAGGTAAATAAATTCCGAGCTCGGTCGAGTGTTTTTTTTTTAATAACTTTCGCCACTTGTGCGACTAAATTGGTTCTTCAATTTTAGAAATGTTTATTTAGAAATTTTTTTTATGAAATTAAATTTTTCTTAAAGAATATTTTTTGCTAACAAATAATTAAAATTTGAAGCCACTCTTTAAACTTGAATTAGTGAAAAGTCTACTAATTTGAATTAATAAATATTTCTCCTATAACTTTTCATCGAAATTTCTGTAAAAAAAAAATTAAGAACTACTAAATAAAATTTAAAAATTAGTAAAATTCAAAAATTGAAAAATTAGTAAAAATTTAATTTGAATTAAAATTAGTGCAATTTTTTTTTTTTCAAATTTTTTGGTTTTGAATTAGTGGACAATCTTTTTATTAATTTAGAGAGTCGATAGAATGTTTAAAAGAAATGAAAAGTGCTTTACCCTGGAATACTGTTCTTTATTCATTCCGTTGATAACAACCGATTCAGTTGTTGATGAAAGTTGATGAACTTTTTGAGTAAATGGAAGAATTGTCACACTATAGTTAAGAGTATCATTTTTTTTTTGCCACCATTCTTCAGCTACTCGTGTCCAATTTGTGGACTCGATTTCTGCTTCTTTTCTTGACACTGTAGGTTTTCCTGTTTTTCAATTTCGGAAAAAGAAAATTCCAAGTTAAATTAAAAATTTTTTTTTTAATTTTTAAAAAATTAAAAAAATTTTTTGAAACAATGTTTACACAATGAAAATAATTTTTGGGGTAAATAAGAACTAAATTAATTCGATCATTAGTAATCAAATAATAGTAAGAGTAATGACAATAGAATAATTCTTTATTGAGTCACTGAATTATTTCTTTATAGTCACAATTCACAAATGAATTAAAGATTCAGATATAATTTAAAAAAAGATATAACTTTTATTTAAAATTAAAATTTAGTTTTTTTAAATGTTCTTTTTTTATTTAGGTCTTTTTTTTATTTAAAAAATTTTTTTTTTATTTTTTTTGTTTTTTAAATTTAAATTAAAATTTTTAAAAATTTAAAAAAACAGAAAAACTTACCGAGGACCGTCCATGATTGAGTGACGATTAAAAATACACAGGCGGCGCTTATTAATATCCATTTTTGTTTTGGCATACTATTTTGATTCTTTGGTGTTGTCACCTATAACACACAAGTAACAAAGTACGATATCAATTGAACTGTCCAGAAAAAATTATTCAGCCAACAATTTATATTGCCACAATGCTGTCCTTGATTTTATAGATGACTAACAAGATCAATTGTCTGAATTTATTTTAATCATTCCGTCTCAAAGGAGAAATAATAAAATATTTAGAAATTTAGACACAATGTTATAATTTATTCACAATTCACTTTCATAGTGTTAAAAAATAATTTTGTTAAAAAATAAATGTTGTTAAAAAAAATTTCGTTAAAAAAAATTTTGTTAAAAAATAATTTCGTTAAAAAATAATTTTTTAAAAAAGTAATTTTGTTAAAAAATAATTTCGTTAAAAAATAATTTTTTAAAAAAGTAATTTTGTTAAAAAATAATTTCGTTAAAAAATAATTTTGTTAAAAAATATAATGTTGTTAAAAAATAATTTTGTTAATAAATAATATCATTAAAAAATAATTTTTGTTAAAAAATAATTTCGTTAAAAAATAATTTTGTTAAAAAACAATTTTGTTAAAAAATAATTTTAGATCTCTACTTTTCTGAAACTCTATTTCAAATCTTATGTACTTTTTTGTAAAACTGGTTGTAAACAAACAAATTGAAAAAATTATTAATTATTTTCGACTACATAGTTTCTTTGTTATTTAGGACAATAATTATACCGTTTGTTAATTTCAACTCACTGAGAAGAAAAGAAATAATAATTCATAATAATAAAGAAGAGACGTTTCGCTTAAGTGGAAAATGAGGACGCACTCGATAACGACATTAAATATTATCCAACGCCGGCAGTGTTTATATTATAATTTATAAATTATACAATGGGGGGAATCATCCTGACATCTATAAATACATGCTTTCATTGATGAATGGTATATATACTTTCAATAATTATCAATCTTTAAAAATTTTCTATTTTCATCGTATAACTTTTCATTATAATACTTACAAAATGCAACAAACGTTTTGCTTGTGTATAAAACATTGTTTTATTATTGATGATTCAGACAATTTCACGTTGACTTTAATTTATGTTTTTGCAAAAATCAATATTTAAAGAAAAGAATTATTGTGAAATTTTTCAACACAAAAAAAAATTGAATTTGCTACAAAAATTGAAATTTGTTTTTCCCTGACTTTTCCCTGATTTCCAGATGGAATTTTGATTTTTTCCCTCACCTTAAAGATTATTCTAATTCACTCCCAATTTATTGGATACTCAAAAAAAAGTTCTATTACATTTATGTACGAATTTCTTTAATTTGGAAAATTATTCGAAAAAATCAATGACTTCATTTTTAAATAAATATTCAAACATTATTTTTCCATAGGAATTAAAATTCTTCAAAAGAATCAAATTCAAACATTTTTGAAATTCAATAAATTATGAGAATATTATTATAAAACATGAAGATATCAATCACTCCGAGTCTTCGACTTGGAGTACTTGAAATCTTCGTGTTTTATAATAATTTAAATTTTAATAAATTTTTTTTTTTAAATTACATTATTTACAAAAATTTTAATAAAATCCTTCGTAAGAATTCAATTATTTTTACAAGTAATAACATTTTTTAATGATTTTAATTATTTTAAAAAAAATGTAAAAAAATTCGTTGTAAGAATTCAATTATTTTCATAAATAATAAAATTTTTCACAGGATTTCAATTTAAAAAATTTAATAAAATTCGTTGCAAGAAATCAATTTTTTTTATAAATAATAAAATTCTTGACAGGATTTCAATTATTTAAAAAAAATATAATAAAAAATCGTTGCAAGAATTCAAAATTCAAAATTCTAAAATTCTTCACAGGATTTCAATAATTGTTTTTAATACAATTTTAAGTAAATTCTTTGAAATTCTTTTTTTAAATTAATTTTTATTAGAAAATTCTACGAGAATTCAATTATTTAAATACAAAAATAAATAATTGATTGTTTCCCAAAATTAAATTCGCATTATGAATTTAAAATTGTATTTAGAATAATTGAAATTCTGAAATGACTTTAATTATTTATGAAAATAAATGATTTTCTAAAAAGAATGGAATTATTACGATGAAATTTATTAAACATTTGTAAATAATTAAATTTTCGCAATCATTTTGTAACTTTTCTCCAAAATTCAATTTTTTTTTTAGTGTTTTCATCTAAAATTCATTTTTAAATCAATATTTATTAGAAAATATTACGGGAATTGAATTATTTAAATGCAAAAATAAATAATTTATTGAATAATTGAATGTTTCTTAAAATTAAATTCATTAAAAAGAATTTTATCAAAAAATTTTTTAAATAATTTAATTTTCGCGACGAATTAAAATTGTTTGAAAACTAATTGAAATTTTGCGATGAATTGTACTATTTATGAAAATAAATTAATTATTGCGAAGAAATTAATAAAAAAAAAAAATGGTAAATAATTAAATTTTATTCCTGTGAAATTTTTATTATTTATGAAAATAATTAAATGTTTGCGCGTAGAATTTTATAAAAAAATTTAAATAATTGAATTCTTTAGAAAAATGTTATTACAATAGTAGATATTGAAAATCATTAAATAGAGAACAATTTTTGAAAATAATTGAAATTTTGACAAGAATTTTGTTAAAAATTTTGAAAATAATTGAGTTTTGGAGAAGAATTTTATTATTTTGAAATTATAATTGAAATTTTCACTTCAATTTTAAAAATTTTTTGAATATTATTGAATTTTTGCGAAGAATTTTATTACTTTTAAAAATAATTGAATTCTTTCGAGAAATTTTATTATAAATAAATAATTCAAATATTGACAAGAAATTTTGTCAAAAATTTTAAAGACAATTGAATTTTTTTTTAAATTTATTAAAAATAATATAATTCTTGCGGAAAATTTAAAATAATTGAAATTCTACAATAGGAATTTATCAAAATCTTGAAATATAATTTAATTGTTCTATAAGAATTTTTATTGAACATAGCTGAATTCATGCAAAAAATTCAAAATAATTGAAATTCTGCAAAGAAATTTATCAGTTTTTAAAAATAATTGAATCTGATATTTTATTAAAATTACAATGAAAAGAATTGAATTCTTGCAAAGAATTTAATATAATTGAAATTCTGACAAGTAAATTATCAAAAAGTTTTAAAATTATTGAATTCTTTCGAGAAATTTTATTGAAAATAATGAAAATTCTTTAAAATTTCTAATTAATTACAAGATAATTGAAATTTCAACAAATTAATTAATTAAACAAATTTTTTTTTAATTTTTGAAAAAAGTTAAATTTTTGCGAAGAATTTTATTGCTTTTGAAAATAATTGAATTTTTGTATTATTTATGAAAATAATTAAATGTTTGTGCAGAATTTTTGAAAAAATTTTTTTAAATAATTGAAATTCTGCCAAAAATTTTATAACTTTTGAAAATAATTGAATTTTCAAGAAGAATTTTGCTAATTATAAAGATAATTGAAATTTTGACAAGAATTTTTGAAAAAATTTTTTTAAATAATTGAAATATGCCAAGAATTTTATAACTTTTGAAAATAATTGAATTTTTAAGAAGAATTTTACTATTTATAAAGATAGTTGAAATCTTGACAAGAATTTTTGAAAAAATTTTTGAAAATAATTGAATTTCTGACTTCTCCAAAATTCAATTTTTTTTAACTAAAATTCCTAGACCTATGGCAACAATGTAGTAAAGTATTTTTCAGTTTTGGTATCAAAATTATTATCCACGTGGGAGGATTTCTGGAAAAAATCGAGATATCTTCTTCCGGAACTAAAGATATCCGGAAAATTTCTGGAAATCCTTCCAAATAGATAAAGTAAATTTGAATATGAAATTTTTTTTGTTTAATTCAATCAAATTTTTCATTCAAACAAAAAGACGGTTTTTGATTTAAAGAAATTTTTTTTTTATTTAAACAAATTTTCTTTGATTTAAATAAATTTTATTGATTCAAGAAATTTTTTCTTTAAATACGGTTTTTGATTCAAAGAAATTTTTTTTTTATTTAAACAAATTTTCTTTGATTTAAATAAATTTTATTGATTCAAGAAATTTTTTCTTTAAATCAAACATATTTTATGAATATTATGCATTAATAATATTATTATAATATATTATTAATTAAATTAACAATATAATTAAAAAACAATATTGTTAATTAAATGAAAAATATTTGTTCCCTATTGGATCTATTATTATTTCCCTTTATTCGAAGGCATAACACATACCACTGAGGCTTGCGCGATGGAATTAAAATTTATTATGAAAACTTATGGACAACGGTTTTTTTTCGGTATCGAAATGCGATTCGTGAAATATAAAAGGAGTGAGTAAAAGACGGCAAGTGGAATAACGTGGCACACCGTTATTTGACCCATCGAGCCTAACGAGAAAGATACTCGCTCCGTCTCGCCATGTTGATCTTTAATAGAAAGAAAGATAGACAGCTGTGTGTTAAAATTATCGATAAGCATCTCGTAGTACCTACCAGTAGTACCACCTTCTATTAATATCAACCTTTTAAAATAACTTTTTTACAAAAATTCCAAATAAAATACCGTTTTAAAGAAACGGATTATGTCAGTGAAATGATTGATACACTGCGACCCAGAAAAAAGCCAATGACGAGAATAATAATAAAAGGAAATGGAAAAATTAAAAGGAAATTTCCTTTTTTAATAGTCAGTTTATATCCTCTTAGAGTAACAATTTTTTATTAAAAAAAATTATAAAAATTTTACATTTTAATTTATTTATTGTTTATTGCGCTATTTATTGTTTATTTAATTAATCTCTTTTTATTTATTAATCTATTAATTTCTTAATCGAACAACCGACAGAAAAAGATTATTTTGTATAATAATAGCGGAACTTATTATTTAATTTATTAATTATTCTTCTATTATTTATGAATCTATTTTTTATTTTAATTCAATATTTTTGGAAGCCATAAAATTATATAAATAAAAGATGTTTT